GTGGTTTAGAACCTTAAGGAAAATCTCTAGCTTGATCTACAATGAAACTTGCTCCAGGCACCGGTAACTTCTATGGACACAGCATTTCTCCTGCTTCCATGTTAAACAGGTGCAGGCCCCTTAGCTCCCTGTAGGGCACAACATACCTTAAAAAATAAACTACAACAAAGAAAAGAAGAATTTTTAATCTGATCTTTGTTTGATTCAGAGTTTTTCTTTGTATTTGTGATGTCCTTGAACGGAACATCATTCCAATTCAGAATACAAAAAATGTTTTGTTGAGAAAGGATTTTATAGCCTCCATTTGCCTAGCCTTTCTTTGCCAAATGTGTTGGCCTTCATTGACCTTCATCTCAGATGCCATGATTGCTGTCGCTGAGGGAGCTATAGTCAAGACATCTGGGCCACTGCTTATGAGAAGGATTTGTTAAACATATTATATATTTTTTCTTTTTAATTTATGTGTTTATTGCTAAAAATTTGAAGTACAAAGAAATTAGCAAAAAGCAAGATGACACAAAAAGGCTGTTAAACTTGAATTTAAAAATGTAATTGAAAAAGATGAAAAGTACATTACTTTTTGGTGATATATTTTCTGCTTCTTTTACATTTGTATCCCCAACCAAAAGTCACAGTTTAGGTATTTAAAATTTGTACTAGGAATTATTGGTTTCTTATTTGACTGAGATACAAAAATTCTTGCTTGAGGATATTATATCTTCTGTGTGTGATATTGCTACTTAAGGATTGGGAATCCATAACTAGGAACCATTAAGTTGATCCAGTGAAAGACTGCAAATCCTTATTCAACAAACTATTAAAAAAACTAAGATCATGGCATCCAGCCCTCTCAATTCCTGGCAAATAGATGGGGAAGAAATGGAGGTAGTGACAGATTTTATTTTCTTGGGCTCCAAGATCACCGCAGATGGGACTGCAGCCAAGAAATTAAAAGACACTTTTTCCTGGGGAGGAAAGCTATGGCAAATCTAGACAGCGTACTAAAAAGCAGAGACATCACCCTACCAACGAAAGTGTGTATAGTCAAGGCTATGATTTTCCCAGTTGCAATGTATGGCTGTGAAAGTTGGACCATAAGAAAGGCTGAGTGCCAAAGAATTGAGGCCTTTGAACTATGGTGCTGGAGAAGACTCCTGTGAGTCCCTTGGACTGCAAGGTGATCAAACCGGTCAGTCCTAGAAGAGATCAACCCTGACTGCTCTTTAGAAGGCCAGATCCTGAAGATGAAACTCAAATACTTTGGCCACCTAATGAGAAGGAAGGACTCACTGGAGAAGAGCCTAATGCTGGGAAAGATTGAGGGCAAAAGAAGAAGGGGACAACAGAGAACAAGGAGGTGGCTGGATGGAGTCACTGAAGCAGTAGGCGTGAGCTTAAATGGACTCCAGAGGATGGTAGAGTACAGGAAGGCCTGGAGGAACGTTGTCCATGGGGTCACAATGGGTCGGACACGACTTTGCAACTAACAACAACAACAATTCAACAAACTTATTGAGTCTTCTATTCAATAAACAAAAAAAGCAATACAAGGTTTTATGTACACTGAAGTTGCAAATTGCAGGCCTTTTATATTAAAGATTATAGCTACATTAATACATTTTTTACTACACTTCCTTAGACATTAGGAAAATAAGCTACTAATCCAGGGGTGACTGCTTCTGCATATTTTACAGATGTTTTAGCTATGATTTTTTAAATGATTTTGCTACAGTTTAAGCAACAAAGTTTTAGGGATGACTAGACAATCCGTAATGCTTTGGATCATTGTTTCAAGAATATTTCCTTACCTAAACAGAGAATTACACCAGGTGGGCAAAAATCAGTGGGAGTGGGACAACTTCCAACTTCTGGTTGGTTTCCCTATTGAGTTTCCTTGTGGGAAGCTGGCAGTAAGTGGCAGAAATCCTTCCCTCCTTCCTTCCTTCCTTCCTTCCTTCCTTCCTTCCTTCCTTCCTTCCTTCTCCTTTTCTTTCCAGCTTGGACACAGTGAGTCAATTTATTGTGGAAAGATCAGGTAAGTGCATCACTTTCAATGACTCTACTTTCACTTTTATTTCTGCTAAATAGTCAAAAATTGATAATATGTCCATGTCCAGTTAAGCTTTGCCTAGACACAAGTTCTGTATTTCATTTTTAGAAATCTCTTCCTTGCAGCTTTTTGTAGAAAGTGCTCCAGTCAAGCATGTAGCTGCTGAGGAGAGAGGATTGGTGTATCTAAAATGTCTAAGGAATTATGTTCCTCACTGTTGTTGTAAGATCCTCCACTGGACAAAGTTTGATTGAGTAATAATGTTAACATTCGTGCAGTCATTACTTAAGTTTTTGTTTTCACATGCTTTTTTAAAAATGCATTTATTTTTTATTTCTTCAGAGGTTTGAGAAATACATGTATGACAGAATTCTTTTTTTTTTTTTTTGCCATTTCTTCCTCTTTCCTCTTTTCCATGCTATAATTTCCTCTTTATGCATAGGATCCAGTAAAAAGATTAAAAAGATAATATAAGATTAAAAAATAGAAATTTACCAATGCACTCTGATCACTAGGTTTCATTTGGCCATTTTGGTTCCTTCCAATTTCTTAAAGGTGTATATAAGTCTTATCTCTCTGCTGCCAGTTTACTATGTAAAGAATAAATGCTGGGAGTAGCATAAATCTTCAATATCTATTTTGCACCAATGCTTGGCACATCTTTATTCAATTTTAGGAAAGTGTAAAAAAAATAGCTCATTTTTTCCAGTAAAGAGATAAAAGGTTTTTTTCCCTAAAGCTTTGTGACATTTGCTCTTATGTTAATAAGTGATACTCCAATTCAGTTAATTAAGTTAAGTTTAGTTCTGAGAAGACGTGCACTATTAAAGTATTTGTTTTTCCTTAGACTCCTTATGAGAACATTACATCTCTAATAATCATATTGAAAATGTGGGGAGGGCGGGTTGGTATGCCTTCAGATCAGTTTTTGACTCCTGGAGCTACCCTGGACAGATTCCTGCAGTTATAGTAACAAGGTTTTCCTGAAGTAGTTTGCAATTGCTACTCCTTCCTAGGAGTGAGAGAATGTGACTGGCTCAAGATCACCCAGATGATTTTATGGCTAAGGCAAGACTAGAACTCACAGTCTCCCAGTTTCTAGCATGGTGCTTTAACCAGTAAACCAAACTGGCTGTTTTTAAATATGTATGTTCATTAAATTCCTCAATAATATATTATTGAGAAAGGCAGCCATTTTATAGGGAAATTGTTTTATTCATTTATATTGAATAATAATAACAATTAAGATGATCTGCTGTGGATACATCAGGATTCTCTGCTGCATCAGAATTGCTTCTTGATGGGCAAATCCTGTCCTTGGATGTAACCTGCCCAGAATAATCTGGAAGTCAATTAACCTACAAATCTAATTAAATAAATGGATAATGAAGTAACCATTTTTAAGAGAGCATAATGTAGGGTACTCCTAAGAAAATAAATAATAATAATAATGAAGGATTTGTAAATGTTAGTTCAATGATAGTTCATCTGCCTATAAAGCAGTAACCTTGGCAATAAAAATACAAAATCACAAAAAAACATTACATCTTGCCATTTTAAATCTCAAATTTCTAAGTTGAGTATTTAAGCAGCTGGTATCAACTGGATTTCACATTCTTTTCCATTTGGATCATTGTTTTCACTTTGAGATTGGGACTGAACTAATCTTTATGATTAATCTTTATGATTCATAAACTAGTTTTTATGATTTAGACACTATACAAGAGGAGCATATTCCCACTGATTTTACTAGATTTTGTTGGGAAGGTTGTTGAACTGATGGTAGTGAACCAATTTCACAGCATTTTAGAGAAAATGGATTGATCAGGTCCAGGTTTGAAGACTTGGGTCGGTATAGTGAACCCCTTCTAAACTAACCTTTCAGTGACTTTTTATACCATCAATCATGGTATCCTGTTGGACTATATGCAGAGGTTGGAGATAACAGACGATGGCCTATAATGGTGCTGCTCCTTCTTCAGTGGTTAGTTCCAATCTGTGACATTGAGGAAGTAGAGATTGTCTAAGTGGCCCCTGAGTTGGTATTACTGCTTGATGTCATCCAGCGGGGTAATGTATCCTGAGAATGCTGATGATACCCAGTTGTACATCACTGTTGTTGATGTTCTTTTCTGGTGCCTGAAAGCTACCTGGGTCTGGCTGGAAAAAACAGCTGAAGGTGAAGCCTAGTAAATCTGAACTGCTGTACATGATAGCAGGGTTCTCTGTTGCATCGGAGTTGTTCCTTGATGGTCAAGAACTTGAGTGTTTGTTCTGGTTGGTTTCCTAGTACAGTTTAAGGTGTTAGTTTTAATCTTTCAAGCCCTTTACGGCTTGTTGCCTAGTGCAATGCAGTCTGCTCCAGCCATTACTGGATCCATCACATAGGTCAAGCATAGAGAACTATTACTGATCCCACATTTTTGGAAGGTCCAGGAGGCTAAAGTTAGAAGTGCTACCTTTCTCTAGTGGAACCAATTCTGTGGATTGGCCTCCTAGTTTTAATTAAGCTACCGTCCTCATTGATATTATAGAAGTTTTTAAAGATGGAGTTACTCAAAAGACTTTTCCTAATTTTATTATGCCATATTTACATATTTATTTTTATTGTGTTTTGTGTTTGGGTGGTGTTGCTTTATTGCTGTAATCAGTGAATGTTTTACTTGCTTTTTGTAACCAATGTCAGCTTTCAAAAGTCCCTAAATTGTGGCAGAGTAGAAATTTGGTTAATAAATGAATTATTATTAAAAAAGAAAATGTATTAAATATTAATGCTGGAAATATACAAAGTAGAATTATTTGAATAATGTGAAATTATTTGTTCTATTTATTCATTTGAAATTCCAAATTATGAAAAATTATATATGAATTATACCACTTGCATTGTCTCAACCAGGACACATTTATTGATTGTATTTAATTTTAGCTCCATTTTGTTTATTTGTTACAGTTCCACTTAGCAGCCCTGGCATCTTTGAAAGGCGACATCGTTGATCTTAATAAGCGCTTACAGCAAACAGAACGAGAGAGAGATTTGTTGGAAAAGAAATTGGCAAAAGCCCAGGTTAGTCATTATTCAACTTACTAAAATGGTCTTGGCTCAATACCTCAAGCATTTAAACCAATCAAAAGAATTGTTGCATCAAAGGCATCAAATGTGACTTTTCACAGATGAATATAACAAAGTCTATCAGAGTAGTTTCTTGATACTAAGGGCATTGGGGAACAAAATTGTGTTATTTTTCTAAACAAAAGAACATAATACATAATCAAGTTATTGCCCTATTCAAAGAGTTTGTACAGTTTATGAAAAACAAAATTCCTGCAAATATGACCAAAAAATGTCATACCATGGAAGTGGTACATTCAGTTCAAAAGGGTATGCATATTTATTGAGCTTCTCACCCGTTGAAACAAAATTTCTGTTTGTAGAAAAATTAATTGATTTATAAGCGCTTGAAAACAGTTATCATGATTCAGCATGGATTTCTGAAAAATGCAAGTCTCCTGCAGTGTCTTGCTAGACTAGCTGTGTTTTACTTTCTGGTATTAAGCTTTCTTAATAGATTGTGGCAATATACATATACTATACCTTTATTTTAGCAAAAGATTTGATAAAAGGGCAGAAAATACTTGATTAGCAGACTGGGTAAGGCTGGACGAGATGACATGACAGGTTGATGCATACAGTAATAGTCTCAAAATTGCACTTGAAGAATATTCGCTACTGACTATTTCATCATATTAGAGTGTTATTGGGTGTGATGCCACAAGACTGGAACCTGATCCTAGACTCTTAAAACAGTCTTGTAATGACTTGGATGAATTGGTAGAAGGAAACAAATGTCAGATGATACAAAGTAGAGTAGGACAGTTAATACCAAAGAAGACAGAAGCAAAATTCAAAACAATCATGAGAGTTTAGAGAAATGGGCTGAAAGATAATATAATGAATTCAGTAAAGATAAATACAAAATTCTTCACTTAGGAAACTAAATGAAGCCACAAGTAAAGGATGAGAATACCTGGCTTGGTAATAACAGTTATGAAAAAAAAGGTGAGTAGCAATGTGATGCATTGTAAAAAAAAAAAAAAGTCAAATGCAAAATTAGGCTATATCGATAAGAATATAGAACAAATATTTCCTGTTATAGATATTAGGATGGTACAAAATATTCAGGAAATACTCAAGTGGTTGCTAGTGAATAGTTTTTTTTCTTTAATGCTACAAAGGTGTGAAGAAAACAAATTTTAACTTTCAGTTTCTTTTTAGGAATTGTTCATCTACTATTTATCTCTGAATTGTTAATGTCAGATGCAAACTATCAGGTCCACACATAAAGGTTTCAGTTTATTGATTTATTGCTCATGCCTATACATTGGAATCTTCTTATGCCCCAGGAAAAACTAGATGGGGTTCGACAGCATTCAAGATGTTCGACCGTCCTCTTTTGACTACATAAAGACTTTAAACTAATTCCCTGCTTCACTCCTTCCCCTGACTCTGCTAGTCTGTCTCCTACAGGTTCAGCTTTGACTGCTTTCCCAGACTATGTTAGAAAAGGAAAACTTGACCAGAATACTTTATCAACTTGTTAATTTGAGAAACTAAAATTTGGCTTCACCTCTTTTATACCTTTCCTTGTTTTGTCATCATTATATATTTGGAGCTAAGTTGCCATTTAAATTCTTCTTGTCCATGAACCTTGCAAAGTTCCCTCCTTCTTTTCCCCTAACTTTTTTCTATATTTTGTAAATGGTTTTTTTTATCACTGCCACTTGATTTAGAGAGATCTTGATTTCTTCCATTCCTCAGCACTAATATCTGAGCTGCTGTCTTTGACTAGGTTTCTCTCTTGCCATCTGTGGGGGTGATTTATTGTCCTACAGCAGAAACCTCTGACTGTTCTCAGTTGGAATTTTATGTTGCAATTTCAGCTGAGTTTCTTTCCTCCAATGTCAGCTTTTCTGCTGCTGGAGGCCATACTCTGTAGCCTAATACAAGGGAACTGCAATTGTAATTCCTGGCCGTGGCTCTTCCTCACTTGACAAACTTACAAAATTAAAGAACCATTTCTTTTTCATGGGCTTCATTCTCTGCTAACCAGTTTATTAGCCAAAATCTACATTGAACGTTGCTATGGACAAAGCTTGACTGCTGGGTTGAGTAACCCATTGGTACTGCAACTTGCTTCTACTTGCTACTTAAGTATTAAGACATACTTATTACTCCTTGCTCTTTGTATTTTCCCCATAACAACAAGCTAGAGAGGTGAGTCGGGCTGAGAGAAAGTCACTGGCCCAAAGTCACCCAGCCAGCTTTCATATTTAAGGTGGGACTAGAATTCACAGTCTCCTGATTTCTAATCTAGGATTTTGTTTCAAGTTACTGGAGACTATCTGCTAACAATAATAGCAGGAAGATCAAAAAAGAAATGGTTGCTCAATTTGGAGTTAATACATACACCAGAATTGTGTATCCTTTGATTAGTATTAATATAATTTAATAATCACAAACTATTACATTCATCACATTTCTATTGTTGTTTGTTAGTCTGCCTTAAATTCTCTGAGTAGTTTCCTAGTATGCAGTATATCTATGGTGTTGTCAGTGCAAAGCATGATTACTTCACTCCTTTCAGTATGAAATCTGGGATTTTTTTTAATATGGGGAAACTACGATATCAAGCAGGCAAGTGTACAGTAAGATCATCACATCACCAGATAATTATTCTTTGGAGATCACATACTAGCTATAATTATTAATTTTAAGGAGGATTATAATATACCTACACTGGGAACAATTTTGTTTTGAGACTGAAGGAGTTTTCAAAAAAAGTTGTTAATCCAGAAGGAAGAGCACTAGAGGCATATTCTGTCACCTCCACTTTTCAGTGCCTATACTGAAAAATATTTGATGAATTAAGACCTTCACCCTGATCGTCAATAAATAATATATAATTTAAGATATACAGATGGTACTATGCTCCTAACGGAATAGTAGAGGAACTAAAGAGCCTGAGAATAGTGAAAAGTGTAGGTTACATTTTAATACAAAACCCCCAAAGTGAAGATGTAAAATAAAAACAATAATCAATTATACCTTTCTTTAGCAAGACAAAAAAAAAATGACAATTTTGGAAACTTAAACTTAGAAGATGAGAAAAAAACTGGTGGTGTAAAGAAGCAAATAAAAATTGCCAGGAATACTGTTTTAGAAATTAAAAATATTCTAATCTCAAGGAAAATAGATTTAAAATGAAGAATTAGAATGATCAGAAGCTGTATTTGGTCAATTCTCCTTTATAATTGTGAAACATGGAGAATGTCCAAGGAGACTAAGAACAGTCTGAAAGCCTTTGAAATATAGTTTTAAGGAGAATCTTGAGAATCTCTTGGAGTAACAAAAGATCAAAGCCTGGAAGTCCTAGAAATGGCAGAGGGGGGGGAAAGGTTCATAAGGACCATAAAAAACTTAAATATTTGGGTCATAGATGCATCTCTATATAATGGACTTGGTTAGAAGGAACAATAGAAAAGAAGTAAGATCTCACAAAGCAACACCTACAGTAACCATTTACATAATTGGATTTCTCTAAATTATGAAGAATTGCAAGAGTAGCATAGAGGGGATATGGTCATCCACATCCTGGAAGGAGAAGACACTTGAACTATATTAAACGTATTAATACACAGATACTCTTTGATAAAAACAGATTATTAATTAAAGAAAAAACCATTTAATAATCTTTGATATACTAGAAATATGCAATTCAATATTTTTAATGATTTGTACTATTAAAAAATAGCTGGTATGTGGCTGTGAATATTTTAATATACAAGATAACTAATATCAGTTTTCTAAATTCTGATTATTTCCAAGTATTAAAAATAATTGTTCAATTAATTAAAATGTTATATTGTGAAATATTTGCTGCTGTGATAAAAGAGTGAGAAATAGCATGGAGTAACTTCTTTAAATGATTTGACAGTTCCATAAAAAAACATGAATTGTTTTCCAGTGAAGTTAATGGGGTAGTTACAGTATGTAATGGATTGCACAGTTATCTAGCTTAGATTTCTGGTCTAGTTTTCAGGCAGTGGTTGTTTTACCGTAAAATAATGGAATATGTATTCCATAAACCCATCAGATATGTGAAGATTATCCCCATATCAGGATTATTAAACATTCTCATCAATCCACTGTCATTAAAGCATTATCCCAGCTACTCTAAAGAGAAAAAGGTTTTGCATCCAGTTTTGCTCCTACTCTAAATGAGTTAACTGGAAAACTAGCCGCCTCTTTTCCTTCGACATGACACACCTTGTAAATTATCATGAATAATTTGATTGATACATTGAGTAATGTAATGATCCAGTCTTCCTATGGAACTTCCATCACTTAAAATTTAAATTTAGTCTCATAATTAGCTGAGTCTACAGAGGTATAGTCTTTCCTTGTAATGAAGCTACAGTATGTTACTATAAGGTGTTATATTTAAAGTGAGAGGACCCATTAAGTTGTTGTATCAATATCCTAAAACTGATGGGGGTTTTCATTCCAAATTCTGTGATTCATATATACATTATAATGTTTTACATAAGTTGCCATCAGGAATGTTCCAGATCAATGTTTTTTGTAGGAGTCTTCCAGGGGTGGGTTCTACTTACCTTTACTACCGGTTCACAACAGCGCATGCGCAGAAGCGTCCTGATGACGTCGGAGTCAGTGCGTGGAGCCTCCCACCGGTTTTACTACTGGTTCTATACAACCGGTCCAAACCGGGAGCAATCCACCACTAGAGTCTTCCTCTTCTTTAATATTAGGTTTGAGATTGGTATATAGCCAAAAATAATTTCAGTGTGGTCGATCTCACCAGGCGGGACACTTCTTTTTAGCAAACATACTGAACAGATTGGCCTCTTCTCTTTATAGTGGGAATGACATCCAGATGTCATTGCCACCTTTTTTTGCAGATCCAAACCATCCAGAAATCAACCTTTTTACAACTTACTAGAACAGGAAATGCACATGATAATATAGCAGGAGGTTGTTTGAAACCAGTATTGTGCAGGAAGATTCAAAAGTTCTGAAAATTGTAGTTCAACAGCATTTTAAGGTTTTTTTTTATTATTATTTTTATTTGATTTATATGCTGCCCTTCTCTGGAGACTCAGGGCAGCTTACAATGCGTTAAGCAATAGCCTTCATCCTTTTGTATATTTATACAAAGTCAGCTTATTGCCCCCACAATCCGGGTCCTCATTTTACCTACCTTAGAAAGGATGGAAGGCTGAGTCAACCTTGAGCCTGGTGAGATTTGAACTTGCAGTAATTGCAGGCAGCTTTAATAACAGTGCTTTAGTCTGCTGCGCCACCAGGGCTCTTAATAGTTTATAGTTTCTGTTACCTACTATAAATTATATTATGGTGATGAAAATACATTATCCCTGTGCTGTGACTGTGCACAGTAGATTTACTTTGTTTTATTTAGTTAGTACATTTATATGGCAATTCAAATCAAACTACTGTATATAATTCTCGGTGGTATACAAAAATAATCAAATAAAAATACAAAATAAAAAGAACAGATACCACAAATGGAAACTAAAACAATTAAATGGCAATCAGAAATAAAATATACTGTATCCGACCAGCTTGGAACTTTCCTCATATAGCCCCAGGAGCCTAGGGACAGAACAGGGTTTTAAATATCTTTCTAAACTTCATTTGGTGCTTTTTTATTTTTACAAAGACAAATAATTTCACAAAATAGTGAGATTCACACAAAAATTAGTATTATTACGGGTTATATTAATCCTTGAAGGATTTTTTTTTTTTTTTTTTTTTTGTTAATCAGTTTAACAATCTAAACCTAATTATCAGTTTTTATATGTTTGGGAAGATGATATAAAATAACATGATGCCTCATGTTCCATATTGCTTCCATATGACCTCTAAATGTTTTTTTACACTGTTTAGTGTGAGCAATCTCACCTAATGAGAGAGCATGAAGATGTGCAAGAGCGTACAACGCTTCGTTATGAGGAACGGATTACAGAGCTTCATAGCATTATTGCAGAGCTAAATAAGAAAATAGATCGACTGCAAGGAACTACTATAAGGTACAATGATAAATGTATTTATTAACAAGATACTACCATGAACATACTGCTTGGGTTTCATGAAAACAATTTCTCTTTCTAAATATACATTCTTCCAGACTTTAGTTTATAACACCAGTGACTTAATTCTGTATTCTGCAGGACATTAAATATCCTGGACATTTAATAAAACCTCTTGCCCAACATTCAAATCATTTCTGAATATCTTAATAATAACTGCAAGTCCACCTATATTGGACATTTTTTCTAAGTCCTTAACATTTACATATCAAATAACACAAAATTAAAAGTTCATTTTTAAAAACCCTTAAGCTTAACTATTTATAATAGGAATAAGAAACTTGAGGCCTTCACAGTCTGTCAACAATCTTCTGATCACTGGAGAAGATTATATTATTGATAACAGGAACAGAACATGTTTTGTTTGCAGTAACCATGAAGATTGAGAAGCTGTAACACTCATTCCAGTAATTTCCATGCCAGTGCTGGAGAATATGTTCAATGAGGGTTCATAGATAAAACTCTGCTCCATAGTAGATCAGGAGCCCTGTAATGAAAGAGAAAAAGGTATTTTACTCTTTAACAAGATTGCATTTCCAAAAATCAACCATAGAGTTGTTGGTAAATTAGCAGTGCCCAGATTTTGCCAGGGAACATGATACTGTGCTTTGCTGACCATTTTTGGCATTAGATGATTCTTAATATCTTTCTTTAGCTTCTTACATCTTCCAGAGCTGTCTATCCTTGAAACATTAAGGCATCACACACTCTTGACTATAAATGAGTATTATTCATGAGTAGTCCATATTAATTCTACCAACTACTCTGATCCATTGCTTTTATACAAGAAAACTCTTTAGTGTTACATAGATTTGTTGTCCAAATCATAAGCTTTTATCACTATATGGTAAAACTACATGTACAGAGTATGCAAAATATATGGAGAGAAACATTTTAGTAATGAAGGCTAATAGTTTTTTATTCAGTATTATCTGTGTATGTAAGACTTTGCAAAGTAAGATCCATACCAAATTACAACAATAAGCTCTTAATGCAATTCCATTTGTTATTCTTTCTTATTCATTCAGTGGACTTATATGGTTGCCTATCTCATATTCATGACTATGGACAGCTAACAAAATAAAAAAACCTGATAAAAATATATGCATTTAATATAAAACCCATAGCAGCAGAAAAAATTATAAAGGCCCAATTGAACAGTCAACATAACCAAACTGGGAGCCCATCTCTAGAGCGCCCAGTTTCAAGCACAAAGCCACATCTTCAAGGCCTTATGAAAGGCCAACAGGGAAGGGACCAACCTTGTGTCTGAAGGAATGATATTTCAGAGGATGGAGTGCCATGACTGCAAAGGTTTTCGTCCTGGGCTCTGCCAGTTGCCTTTCACTCATACTGGACTGAATGGCACAGGTAGAAATAATTTAATGACGTCAAAAATTAATGTAAGCAGAGAGAGTGCAATACAATATAATATTATATATTTCTTCTCTAAGACTTTCTTTAATGACAGGATTGATTTGGTTTTTAGTTTTACCAAAGATCTTACAAATTTATTTAACAAAGCATACACGAAGCCACAAAACAATATGAGTTGGATAAGACATTAACACTTTCAAATGCATCTGATGGAGGTGACATAATAATTAAAAAGTCAAGCCAATTATCATTCTGAATTGTCTTACAAAAATGCAATTGCTTATTCTCCAACTGCTTGGAATAACATATCTTTAAAGAGGTGCAGTTATGTACAATTTAATATGAGATTTGAAATCTGAAATAGGGCTGGTTAGTTGTTTTTAACAAAAACTTGTTACCAAAGGTTTGTGAAAAATAGACTGTAGCATTGTAAATTATGTGACTTGTTCATAAATTGTTACAGCAAAAATCAGTATTCTAGCTCCGAGTATTGTGGCAAAGTGGCTTGGAAGTTGTAATTATTGTAATGAAGTCAAATAAACCCTCTTCTGTTTGGTATGCAACAAAATATATTGACTAAATTCCTGTGTTTTGGAATTTGAATACCTTTGGAAGAGACAATCAACTACAGCAGATCCAGAATGCTGTGACCAGGCTTCAATTGGGTAGGGTCCAGCCCAGGGGTGAAATCCAGCAGGTTCTGACAGGTTCTGGAGAACTGGTAGCGGAAATTTTGAGTAGTTCGGAGAACCGATAAATACCACCTCTGGCTGGCCCCAGGAGTGGGGAGGGAATGGAGATTTTTCAGTATCCTTCCCCTGCCACGCCCACAGAACTGGTAGTAAAAAAAATTTGGATTTCACCACTGGTCCAGCCTCAGCTTCACGGTTTACCATGACTGATAAACATCATTGTTTCCATGTCAAATTTAAAATGCATGGTTTTACATAAAAATCTCTTTAAGACTTGGGAACTGCCTACTCCATTAGTATATCACTCAAGTCATCATTTGTGGAGTGTTGCCCAAGTAGAAGCCCAGCTGGAATCAACCATGGCCATTGGTACACAGTATCTTTGCCCCAAGGGCCATATTAAAACATAGAGTATAATCAAAACTGAGTTCTGACTTCTGAATTTAGCTGACGGGGCAAAGAATTAACTGATGAAGTAAGATTAATTAGAATGTGTCTATAGGTTGCCACGGAAGAGAAGGTTGATCTGAGATTTTTCAGAGGGCATTATAAAAATTAATTGTATAAAGTAGACCTTGGTTAACAAATGGTAAAAGATAAATTTGCAAATTACATCATTAATAAAAATACTAATATTCTTACACATTTGATTAGTCAATGTTTTAAAATGTAATTATTAATAAAAAATTTAATAACAAGTATGCAGAAAACTAAAATCTTGATTTCTAGTAAGGAAAAATATTAGGCGGCAATTGTTGTGATAGATCAGGTTAACCTCCTGTTATGTGGCAAATAAAACTATAATGTTACCAAAGCAGTAAAGGAAATAACAGAGTTAATTAAGTTTTATTCTCTCTTTTTAAGTGATACGATTTTGAAATTATAATCACCTACTTATAATCACTGAACCAGTTATAGCTCAATGTATTTTCATTGTACTTTTTAAAAAGGGCATCATGTTAAAATTCTTTCAAAATATAATAGTGGATAGTTTAAATTACAATTCCCTTTTTAATGATAATTAAAAGTTATGATTCATAACTTTTTAAAATGATGTGAAAACCTTTTCCAGTTATATAATGAACAGAAAGTTTTGTTGTTATTATTATTGTTTAGGGCTCTGTTCGGTATGAAATGATAAGCTTCAGCTCCTATTATAGTATATTCTTGTGCCATTCATTCTGTATTTTTCTGCCAGAATAAGGTCAACATTAACAATATCTCATGTGGCTATCTTAGGAAATTGGAAGCTAACACTGATGCTTTAATAGATATATCATGTGATTAATAATAATATTATACATTGTCACAAATTGTCCTTGCTTACAATTTATTCTCCATGCACATGTAATCCTTAACCTTATCAGCTCAAATATAGATGAGGAAATTAAAATCTCTTGGTTCATTAAGGATTCCCTATATAGTCATGGCCTTATGAACTTTTTGAGCTCTGCTACATTGCTAAAGAAATTTGCCTATGATTAGACCCACATCCCTATTGAGATTAAAACGGGAAGGGAGCAGAGCAGCTAAATATTAGGAAGGATAACAGGAAGGATGAGGACAAAAATGTGCTAATAACTTAAAGTTTGATAGTCATATCTAATATTTTCTATTGGATTATGATTTATTCTAATGGTAATTGTAAGTATAAAAGTAAAATTTGCAAATAATTCAACTTTTTATAAATTTTTAAAGAGGTAATAGTGGAAGGATCTTTTAAAAACATGTGGAGTGTTTAAAGTTATAATTATAACTATAGAGTATCTTAGAAATGTAAATAAGACCTAGAGTTAAGTTGAAACCTGTTCTTTGCATCCATACTAGTTTTTTTGTCAGGGTTATGAAAATAGTTTACCATTTTTCCTTCTAGGATTTTTTTACATCATAGTGTACTTATGAATAATTTAAAGAAAAAGATAGTTAAGCACCGCATTGTTGAATCTTTAATATGCTATAAAGTTTGCATCAAAAGATCTAATTCTTCTATTAAAAATATAGGCATTGCTCTAAAATTCATTAATGCAAACAAAGGAGTACTGACAATATTCACTACTTGAAATCATTATTTTCCTATTGAAAAATTGAGCTAAAATGGAAAATATCATTGCTGCTCGCTATTTTTTCTTTATTCTTTGTAAGGTGTTGTGTGTGTAAATAGATAAATAGATGTTAGTTCAAAATATACATTTTTATAAGCAATAGGGTAAAGCCTTGTTTCTCATTTAGCTTAACTAAAATAACATTTCTACATCCATTTATTATGTTGTGGATTATATAATTAATTTAGACCAGTTTATCTTGCCACTTTTGGAAGTCTCTGAAATAATGACTTGAAAAAAGCAAACTGTATTTGATTAACTCTTCTTAATTTTAGGAATCCTTAACTAGCGAATGTAGAGATGTTTAACTTCTGCTTAGATCTTTACTGGTATGTGACATACCCTACACATTGTCATTTAGAATTCTGTAAAAGCCTATCTTGATAGCAAATAATTCTATGCTTTTATGCTGCATATTTATTTTACACTATAAATTTCTTAGAAGGAAGATTTCTTATTGTTTCTTAATTTTCTTCTAGTGAAAAAATATTTTTTTCTCTTTATACCCAAAAAGGATTTCCCTTTCTCCATATTCCTTAAAATATAAATCTCTTAACTTTGCAAAATTGATTTGTTGTTCAAGGGAACAAAGTCACCTATTCAGATTACCAAAAGGTCAGAAAAAAATGAAGGATTGTTAATCAGTGTCCATATGAGAAAACTAACAGTGAGAAGATTTTAACACAAATATTAACATAACTTGAATTATAACAACTCTTTTATTCACAGAGGATTTCATACCATAGATATCAAGGTATTGTGGCAGCACTGATTAAAACAGAATGAAAGTTGGAAAAAGGCCAAATTTTAGATTGTATGTAAACCATGAGAGAATTACTATGCACACACACACTGTTTGAATTCCAAATTAATTCCTTAGCGGAGGAGTGTATGGGGAGTAAAAGTAAAAATTTGTATAATTCCTTGAATTTAATGAGAAAAGCAAACTTATCTGATTTGTTATTAGAAAGATAAGTAATAACTGTAAGTTAAAATAGGATTGTGATGTGATTGAAAGTTAGCAATGGCTAAATTAATAACTAGAAAATTAGGTTTTTGTAGAGAGAGCTTTGATTAACTCAGCATATTTCAAAATACTTCTATTATTATGTATACTTAATAGTTCTCAAAAATAAATTTAAACAGCATAGCAATTAGCTGTGCCCAGAATGTCACATATATGATATTTCTTTTTTATGTATATATTTATTATATTTTATCAATAGGAATAAAATGCAGAACAGAAAAAACAAAAAACATACATCCATCAGTAACAATAACAAAAAAGAAAAAAAAATGACCCAAACATCCAACATTAAACATATTAAAAAAAATCCATCCTGGCTGGATGCTGAAAAGGAAAATTTAAAAAACCTGATAAATATATATTTCTTGAAACATTAGATAGATAGCTTTATTGATTAGCCTATAGGCCATATTAAAGCACAAGGTTCAAACACATATCACCAATAAAATCGTATACAAACAATTTAAAATAAGAGTAGAGTAAAATACAATAGTTATAAGATATAATTTAATACATAAATATGTAAAATGGAATAAAATGACATAAAATTATATTTTGGTGTCACCCTTACAATCTACCCCAATCAGTCCCACGTATGCAGATCTCAACTGAACCCTTTTGTTTAAGTACTGTGCTGTGTTAAATGTTATTTTCAGGTTCTGGCCGCACATAAAGTAAGTTGTTTTGATATGGGGATCCCAATGGTTCATTCGTTTGGTATATAGACCAAGGTACCTGTTTCTCACCCCCTTATACAAGCAAGAATCAAATAGGATGTGAGCCAGGTCTTCTACCTCTGCCACTCTGCAAATGCAGAGATGTTCATTGTAGGGTATAGAATGGAATCTCCCATATCTGACCGTTGTGTCAAGCTATTCGAATCTCGCTTGCGTAAATATCTCTCTAAGATGTTTTGGCAGTTGTAACTTCAAATAGCTGTCTACTTGAAAAGTACATTTGTATCTTGAAACATTAGTGGTCATGCAGACTTTAATATGCTCTCATTAGGACAATGTATTATATCATTGAAAATTGTATGTAATATCTTCTGAAAATATCACCTATCATAAGATGGTATTTGTGATTTGAAAGTATTAGCCTTCCTTCTCTAATTCTCTAAGGAAGACTGTTAAAGTGTTTGGTAATTATTTTAATTATCAATCACACTTTCAATTAAAACAACAATAACACATGCATAAGGTAAACAACAACTTTATTGAAGTATCAAAATAAAATGCAAAGTTAAGCAGCAATGGTATTGAAATATTAAAATGCAAGATTTAAAAACTCTGAGAAAAAATGTCAGTCTTCTTAAAGAGAGGCCGATTCCAAAAATGTGTATTAAGAATACTGTTTCCTCAGGTAAATACTTTGAAAGAAAACCAGCAATTATAATTTCCATAACTTGTTTGATTTGAAATGTTTACATATGCCATACACTTACTAAATAGCCTTACATAAATAGCTTTCAGTCTGGGGTCATACTGTAATACAACTTTCCATAGCAGAGTCTTCCGGATGTGTTGAACTTCACAATTCTCAGTCAGTACGACCAATACATCTATAGCAGGGGATCTCAACCTGTTAGGAACTGGGCCACACAAATAGTGAGTGAGCATGCAAAGCTTCACCTGTGCATGTGCAGGATCTAGGTTGCACGCAAAAACCAGGGCTGTGGAGTCGGGAGATAAATGTTTGGACTCCGACTCCTCAGTTTTTTGTACTTCCGACTCCGACTCCAGGTACCCAAAATTTCCTCCAACTCCGACTCCACAGCACTGTCAGGGCTATGGAGTCGGGAGATAAATGTTCCGACTCCCGACTCCTCAGTTTTTTGTACTTCCGACTCCGACTCCAGGTACCCAAAATTTCCTCCGACTCCTCAACTCCGACTCCGACTCCACAGCACTGGCAAAAACACCACTCTGCAATCCATGCAAAAGTTGTCTTCCGTGAAACCAATCCGTAGTGCCAGAAAGGTTGGGGACCACTGACCTAGAGGACACCAAAAAAATCAAACGTTTTGATTCCTTAAATAAAAAAGATGGTACAACACTTTTTTTTAAGAAAGTACTTACTTTCTTCATATAAGTATAATACATATATGTATTTATTTTTGTATATTTTAATATATGTGATATCTATGGGAGATGGGGCCATTTATTTACTAAATAAAATATGCAAGAAGAAAAAAATGCACAGTATAAGGGTCTTGTTGGAAATACAAGTTGTGTGAAATGAAGTCATACTTAACTCAGAAATACTAATATTAACATGAGGCAGGGTATAAGCTTGCATATGTTAAAAAGAAAGGGAGCACATTAATCTGAAATACATTAAATTAGACAGATTTCTTTCAAAACTAAATTAATTTTGAGAAAGATATTCCTTAAATGGATTCTATAAAATGAAAATTAAAGAAGACTGATCAATCTTTCCTTTAAATGAAGGAAATTGTATGTATAAGGGATGCCCTCCAAATTGGCTGTACTGTGTTCAGCTATAACAAGTATGTGATGTTTATTTTCATACAAAAAAAGCTAACATAACCTCCTAGTTTGAATTTAACCCAATTTGGCTAAACAGAATAAATTTGAGATTCATTGCATCTTGTGTGTTCAGTTTTAATATGGTGAAAAGCTCATTCACCAGGAAAGAAGTAATTCAAGTTTTGAAATGAATGACTAATTGCAGAGAGTTGACTAAGTAAGCAAACAAATTATCCTTCTAACCAAAAAAGACATGTCTTCAACATCATGGTAATTTTTTTTTTTTTTGCTTAAGGCTAATTATTGTTGGAGTGTAATGTTCCCAGTAATTAACATATTCATAGAGCGTTAACCAATATTTCATTATCATGTATTTTAATTTGTGTGCCAGTTACTGTGCTATTTAGAATTTAGTAAATTCTTCTTTAATAAATATATAGCTTTGATTTCAACTTTAAACAAACTTCTGGCATGTTTGGAATATTTCTTGGTTCTCCTAATAAACTAATACTTCTCATTTGAATTTAGTTTTGATAGTTTGAATAGTTGTGCACTTACATGAATTATTACATGAAGTAATAATTTTACGTTTTCCTTTGATCATAAACAGCTAGTATTTGATCACAAATAATTGCTATCCTCTTAAAGGAAAATACTCAACCAATTAAATCTAGGCATCTTTGAAGGAATTCTGTGGGCATCCAAAGTCTTCCAGTATTGCCTTCAATTGTAGTTGAATAGTTAAACGTACATATTTTCTTAGGAAGGAGAAAGCCCTTGAACTATGTATTTACAATACAATCTATTTGTTTTGAAATGTATTAGTGAAATACTTGTAAATATTTTATGTACAATATGTCAGCACAATAGTATAAATTTTCTTATAAGGTATAAAATAATAACTTCTGTAGTTGTTAAAGTACAGGTAGTCCTAGACTTACAACAGTTCATTCAGTGACTGTTCAAAGTTACAATGGGACTGAAAAAAGTGACTTATGACCATTTTTCACACTTACAACCATTGCAGCATTCCCATGGTCGTGATCAAAATTCAGATACTTGGCAACTGATTCAGATTTATGATAATTGCTGTATCCAAGGGTCATGTTTTTTGCAACCTTCTGACAAGCAAAGTGAATGGGAAAGCCAGATTCATTTAACAACCGGGCTACTAACTTAACATCTGCACTGATTCACTTAACAACTGTGGCAAGAAAAGTCATAAAATAGGACAAAACTCATTTAACAAATGTTTTACTTAGCAATAAATTTTGGGCTCAAATGTCATAAGTCAAGGATTACTACCTGTTTTAATTTTAGCATGCCTAAGAGATATGCTACTGAAAGTGATTCCTTCTGTGAAAGAAAGTGACTGATTTTTCCAATTTGGTATATTTTCTGTTCATTTATATACTGCCAATTAATATTGTGAAATAATGCATTTCTTAAAAGAAAAACACGCACACACTAGCAAACGAATAATGAAAGAAAACTGTGAGCGATCCCTGAAAGTAGATCAGATGGAACTGGGTGGAAATTCCATTCAGCCATGAAGTGGAATTGCGCAAGCTATGTATTTCCATTTTTGTGCTATTCTGAAAACCTGGAAGTTATAAATGGTAAAAGAATAAAATAACATTTTGAAAGCAGAGTTTAAATAACTGAATCACTAGTATACAGCACTGAATGTACTATAGCTTTATTTTTAATACCTTCTGTGATTAATTTTGTGAGCTTTATGTTCCGTTAATTGACTATTGTATTAATGTCTTAGATCTTACAAACATCTTAGATATTACTGAATGTAATATCTATGAAAAGCGTTTTTGATCATTTGAAATTATTAAACTACATTTAGTTATTCTGAATATTTTTTGTTTCATTCCTCAGAGAAGAAGATGAATATTCTGAACTGCGATCAGAACTTAGTCAGAGTCAACATGAGGTCAATGATGATTCACATAGTATGGACCAAGATCAGACCTCTCTTCCAGAAAACCAGTCAACTATGGTCACAGCTGACATTGGTATTTTGAATATATTTATAGTTTTAAAAGATGGATTATTTTTAATAAAGCATATAGTGCCCTATTTCAATAAATTTAAATAATTAGCAAACCTTCCTGATCTTTTAAAATGTGAGGTAAACAGCTGCATTTAATAGTAATCCAGTTTTTTTCTAGCCTGTTTGAAGGAAAAAGAGACATCCACAGATGCTGAAAGGAAAATAAAAATATCAAACATTTTTTAATAATGTAAGTTTTTAAAATACACATAAAACATCAATACCCAGAAATAGATATAAAATATTAATTTCAGCAACAAGTTTGCACTTGAGGATTTAGTTGCAGTAAAAAATCAGAAATGACATTGGAGATAATCCTTTTTTAAAATGTTTGCAAAGTGCTGAAGTAAATCATTCTCATTTGTCCATTTACTTTTTTTAAAATATTCTGAAATATATTAATTAAAATGTAGTATTTTCTCCAATATTATATTAAATTATTAGCTTTTGAAGATTTTACTTTTCTTCTTATGCAATTAATTGTGTAAATTCATAGATTTCTAGTACTATTAGATCAAATAACAAAGGAAATAAAAAGCCATGTTCTTCCAAGACTTGTTGCTTTCCGAAAGCTGTGTAATTTTTATACAGATGGCAGGTTTCAAATAACATTTGGCTGAGCTGGGAAGTGTTAGGGACATTTGTTTGTGTCAGAATGACTCTAGTAATCATGGTTTTTGTCAAGCTCCAGCAGGTTTTGTGGTTCCATTGCCTGGGCCTATAGCCAATGTGCTGTGTAGAAATAACTTGTGACAGAAAGAGTCAGTATATTAAGCCACATTTTAAAAATTCTGGATTCTGATGTTTAGTTCAGAGAGATAACACATTTTCAATTCTAATAGTTACTGCAGTCATTTTGATGTCTTCTAAACCTACCAATAATTTATTGGTAAGAGTATGTTGTGTAGTGTGTCTCTCAAATTTTCCTTAGTATACATGTGGAAATCTGTGTTTCTTATGACATATAAATTGGTGCAGCTAAGAAGATTAAATTACTATTGCACTACCTATTGCAAAATATTTGAAAAGTAAATGTTTCATTGGATCTGCAAAATGTAGAAAATTGCTGTGGCAAAAAAAAATCAGCATATAAAGGAACATTGAAACACTACAATCGAAGATAATTTTATGCAAATCTACTCACCATTTACAAACTATAAACAATGATTTTCCAAATAGATCTATATCTTCCGTACAAGAGTCATTCTGGATAGAAATACTGAATGTGAATATTTAAAATATTTGAAATGTTTTCTAAAATCATGTATGTATGTTTATATGTATACTGAAAGTTTTGTTCCTTGTTTTTTAATCCCTATATTATTATAATCCCTATATTTCTATAATTCTTTCAGAGCAAAATAAAACCACAAAATAGAGTATAAGGGGGCAACTTTGGTCATTATGCATATTTTTTATGATGTACCATTATAAAGCAATCATGTGTTGATAGTGGTGCAATTACTGTAAGATCTTAAAAGCAAAATGTATGTGTGGGTATCATTTGTTGGTAATTAATACTGATTGATTAATATACAGCTAAATATGGCCCAGCAAATTTGGAGATGCATATTTAATGATAAAGTTGCCCAAGGCAGGTTTCTAGATGTTTTTGTTTTAGGTACATAATTATTTTATTTTAGATAATCCTGTTTGGGAAATTCACTAAGTTCAGTTTTGAACAGGAAACAAATACTGTATTAGGCAGCAGCATGAACCTGAAAAAAGTTGTTGTTTTAAGAAGCTGCCAGACTGCCCTACATGTGACACCTGTTTGCCTTTGAATCTAGTATACCTTAATGTTGAGCCTATACCAGTCAGAAAGCAAATAGTATATTTGTTTTCATTTGTATGCCTTTTTTTCTACTTTACTTATAACCGCTTTTTTTTAATTTGTTGATATATAAAATTTGCCTCTGTCTTGTTATAGGTGAAAAAAAACCCATCAAGGACTAAAAAAAAACCCCTAATTGGGCATATATTGTACATTTTATGTAATCTGCTTTCTCCTCAAGATGTAGACCTCTTTTGCTTTTAGTCTTATTTCCTGAAAGAAAATTGCCAGAAGGCCACAATGTAAAATGTAAGAATGAGGAAAGCACAGTTATGTAAAGTATGACAAAATGTATGCAGATTATTATGGTGGTTTGAATTATAAAAAGAATAACTGGGTTCTTGGTAAACCTTAAACTGCAATTATTCTATATGATTGGAGAATAATTGTATCAATTCAGCAATTTCATTGCTGCATCTTTCTCTGAAACATGCTAATTATAAAACAAACATGTAGTTAATGCAGAACCATGATTTTAATTGTAGACAAATAGCTTTCTCATAGGTATATTAAAGCTTTGATTTTATTGTAGTTTATCTTTGCAAACAAGCAGAGTTCAAAAGTATATCCCTGAGGTGGTCAATCCACATTGACATTGATTTTCTTTGTGGCATTTTAACCAATTTTAAGGCTTATCTCCAGGGAAACTCAGAGGTTATGCAAGGTCTATACTTTGCCCGTTTCTATTGTGTGCTCATCCTTTTACTGAAAACAGCTATATGAGTAAATGTTAATTTTTCTCTTGTGTTTCCTTAGACAACTTTATAAATTAATTACACTGATATTCAAGTATTGGCAAATAACAGAAATATATTTTCTTCATGCATATCAAACAGGAAATTGTTGCATAAACTATCATTCACATATGACGTATAGATTTCTTTCCTCCCAACACTGTTGGAATGAATTCCTACAGTAATCACCTCTTACTGAAGCAGTTGCATATTTATATTGTGCTTACTATTTCACCCTTTCCAGTTGCTTGAAATATCACCCCTTAAAGAATTGTAACATTGATGTGGAAATATTTCAAGCAAGTGGGCTGATTTGTGCAATAAGTACAAATTTCACATCCTCCCATATAAAACACTATAATGGGAAATATTTTTATAAATTAGGCCTTAGAAAAAGCAATAGAACTCTTAATCATTTATCCCAATATAAATGTCAGAAACTTTGATATGCAAAGTATTTCAGCTTCATCATTCTTATTTGTATTTCTGTACGTCAGTGGAGTTTCATAACAAAATATCTCAAAAAGATAGACAGATAAAGTTAGGATTCTTCATTCTTTTGTGCTTCCTGTCCACTGTACTGTAATTTCTTTTCTCCGTAGAGCTCAGTTCAGTGAAAGAATCTCTTTCTGTTTAACTTGCAAGTAGAGAAAATGCAGTGACCATAGTTCAGATCTCAGTGTTTGTGTTGAGAATGTTTTCCTACCCTTGATCGCTTTGAAGTCAACAAATTGTATTTGTATATTAAATATATATTAAATTTATTTAAGCATAAGACTAATTTTATAGCCATATATTTTCTCTTCTTTTGCATTATATTTGTATAATTACCATACAATATGTATATTCTCTCTAATAAAAGAGAATATACATACTGTAGCTCAGAGTTGAACTTTGAAGTCTTTAGTGCTCTAAGCCAGTTGCTTGCAGCTGCTTCATTACCAGTTAGGTGGTAATATCAGTACTAGTGAGCATGGGGTTTCCTCCCTGTTGCTTGCCATTCTAATGTTTCCTCTTTGGTATTGTTTCCTCCTTTCTACTTAGGGTATTGCTTTTTCTTAATCTTTTGTCTAGTGTGTTTATCCCTATTTATCTAGGTGTTGGTTGCTGGAGAGGATATGTTCTGATCTTTTTGTTTCCTTCTTAGCTTTTTATTGTCTCTTTTGAATGGTGTGTAAATGTGGTTTATTTCTTTGTCTATTAGATTTGTGTGAATGAGAACTTTCCAGGAATTCCCTACACAGTTTTCCATTGAAACTATGGTTGAGTTTGTCTATGTCTTGTGAGATTAAGGAGTTTTCATTATGTCTTCTGATTTCTGGTTGGTATTTATGGATATCCTCTGCTAATCTTCTGCCTGTCGGCCCTACATGGTGACTGTATTTATTCTGTGTACTATATATTGTAACATCCACCAGGACATTCTATTGTACAAAATCAGGGGACAAATCCCACATTGATTAGTACTGATGATGTTACCTAGTCAAGTAGTGAAACAGCTGCAAGAAAACAACTAAGCTCAAGAGAGTATCCAAGACTACATACTGTGATTCTGCCAGTGGAATTGTTTCATATCAAAATGTATTAAGTATATCTGTGTTAACAAAATTTATGTTTTGAGATCAGTTTTGTAGTGTTCAGTTGCTCATTGAAGGTAGCCTACAGAGACAGAAAATATAGCAATATGTACACATTGAGTTTGAGGAATTTGAACTACATTAATGAAAAATTATTAAGTTACAAGTTTGAATATTTTACAATATGAACATCTTTTTTATAAATTCATCCAGAGTAAAAACTTTTAGAAAAACTCATTAATATTTATCAGTACCTAGCAAACAGTTTCCTATGCAACTAGGTTCTTCACTCAAGAAGCTTTTCCTGTTTAGTTCATATATATGAAAGTAAACATTTAATTTTGATCTCCAGATTAGGCAGTAATCATTTACATTGTCATTCTCAGGTTACTTTTCAACAGAATTATAGCAACACATTACTTTGATGAATCAAATTGATTTATTTTTTAAAAAATGGCTTTCTTTACTAAGTAATAAATATGATCAGAAAATCAATGATATCCCAGCTGAATAGACCAAGATTTTTACATATCTTGGAATTGATTTTGAATCTACAGCTGCTTAGAATTAACAAATGGCTTGAAAAGCTGTTGTTGTATGCCCAAAAATCTTCCAATGCTATAATTAATTTCCCTAGTTCTAACACTAGTTAGAAATATCAGCCAAATCTAATTTTCCAGGAAGGATCATTTGTTCATTTAGTCCTTGCTGACAAGTTTATCTCTTCTTAAGAAAAATACATGACCTTGGAATTGTCTTACTACAGCCCTTTAGCCCAGTCCCAATGGTAGCCAGAGTCCTTGATTCAGATCTGTAAAAGGACAGAAGTTCTGCAAAGGTTCAAATAATTTTTATGGGAGATTTTACAATAGGCCACTTTCTCTGTCCTAAAAGGTGGGAGCATTTACAAGCATTGCAAGATTCAGTGTTTTACCTTGAATGAACCAGGATGATGAAGGAAAATTCAGTGATATCCCATGTTCAAAGCACCTTTGTCCACATTCACATGAGACTATCAAGACCTTCCATCTGTCTTGCTATGCTACACTACTCCTTATACTTATACTTGGCACTCTGAATTAATATTCCCCCTTGTTACTAAAGGATTGAGTTGATCTAAAATGGAAGTTGTGCAATTTTTACAAATGGATCAATCTATTGAAATATTAAAGTTGTTAAATTCTGCTGATTTTCTTAGTAGAATTCTTAAATAGAAAATACTTCTAATATATTCTTCAGTGATACAAAAGTTTGAGTGATTCTATAAATTTGTCTTATGTAGAAAGTTTGCCAACATTTAATATTTCTCATTAACTTTTTGTCCCTTTTGTATGGTAATTCTTCATTATGTTTTATTAGTTCATAACTGTATTATTGCTTTCATTTTGGTCTGTGGTCATAAATAAAATAAGTGAAAGGACTTTGGATTCTATAAACATTACCTAGTAAATTCAGTAGGAATATATATTGTTTGCTTGTCACTTCGTTATTTCACCTATAAAAGATAAGTATATTGTTGAATGCCATTAAGTTTATTCCTCACCACTATCATTATATGGGTGGACTATACTAATTCATCTTCTGACCGTTCAATTTAATAAATGTAATCAGGGATGCAGTGCAAGCAAAAACAGACATCATCTCACTTTCTTGAACAAATTGTAATGAGGATATAGTGCTCTGGTATTACAGACACTTATAAGGTATTATAAACATAAGTGAGCCATGCTAAAGATTGCTTAGAAGAATATAATTACATAACACTGAAGATTTCCGTTTTGCCTTATTTTTTGGCTTCAGTGATATTGTGTAGATGATTCACATTTTTGGCAGTGACCTTACCATTGAGGTCCCCAAGTTAATGGTTTTCTCGTGTTGTGGAAAATCAGACTCCCAACTTTTAGGCTGATTTGTAGGTCTCAAAGAAATCTAAAGAAAGCCAGATCTGATTAATACTTGGATAGAAGATTATCAGGAAGTCCCAGAGCTGAGAGTAAAAAAATAAGCAACCAACCTCCATTTGTATTGTTCTGGAAAAAATTACCTTGATTTCCCTTACACAGAAATTGAGCAATAGGAGCTTTAAGAAGGACTTAAAGAAGTTTGTATTTCAGCCTATTTTTACCTTAGTTGTCAGGTGATCATTGGTAGGTTGCAAGATTAGGATGTTAGTATTTTCAAGGAAAATTTGAATCTGTTGAGCATCCTTCTTCTTCTTCTTCCCTAATCCCATTAGAAAGATGAAGACTACCTCTTCAACTAGCATCTTCAATGCTAATCTGACACATTCTGTTTTATTTCAGATACCTGTAGTGACTTGAACTCTGAATTGCAGAGAGTGCTGACAGGACTGGAGAATGTTGTCTGTGGGAGAAAGAAGAGCAGCTGTAGCCTGTCTGTGGCAGATGTTGACAGGCATATTGAACAGCTCACTACTGCCAGTGAACACTGTGACTTGGCCATTAAGGTGTGGTAATATTAATGTTAATCATAACTGTTTATTGAATATAATGTAATTGGTCCACATGTATCATTTATTTGATAAAGAAGCATTTGTTTGTTTGTTTGTTTAACAAATTTCTGTGGCTGCCCATTTCACACATAGGCGACTCCAGGTATCTTATAACATTTAAAAACCCACCAGATAAAACCTATAACCCTCTCCAACACAGAGAAACAATATACCACCCCATGGCAGCAAGCACACAATCATATCAGTCACTTGATTGGCTTCATTTCCATTCATGGTCCCTATCTGCTGATAAAGCCATGTTTTTAGGGCCTTTTAGAAAAGCAACATGATGGGGAGTCTTGTTTATGATTATGCACTGAATTGGTCTGGGGTAGTGCAACCTTACCCATGACCAAAGAGGGTAATTCTACAAGAGCCAAAGAGGCCTAACCCATAACCACTTCATCTTGCCAGGATTCTGTTTTAGTCTGTTGCTCCTCATCCAGACCTCAACAGGCACAAAGAGAGGGTGGTTGTAGCATTGGTTAACTCAGAGATGTACGGCATTATCATTATCAACATATTGATGATATCTTATCCCAAGGAGAGATGGATGATCTCCCCCAGTGGTTTCATGTAGATGTTAAACAGGAACAGATAAAGTACTGACCCTTGATGGACACCTCAAATCAAGGGTTCAGACTTCTTGCTCCCAATCAACATCAACTGAGAATGGTCCCAGAGACAGGAAGTGAACCGACATAATGCAGTGCCCCCCACCCCAACCCAGAGCCATTTCAGATGGATACCATGGTTAGTGTTATAAGTTCAAGTCTAGAGATCATGAAAAAGAGCAACCAGTGCTGTTTCCGTCATATATCCTGGCCTGATATGTACCCTATATATCATTTTATAGATTTTTCAAAACTTGTACACTTTGTAAACCATTTTAAGAGATAATAAGATGTATAAGATATACATCCTATTTGAATTATTGAATTATTATAATTAATAATTATCAAAACAAGTGTTATGTTTGTGATTTTCTACATGCTACATTTCTGGTGCAAACAGGAAAACTCTATTGTTTAAAAATTGTTTATTTATTCCAAAAGGATTTTGTTTTATTCCTTTTTTATACTTCAGAAATGAAGTTCGTTCATGCATCCACAATCTGAGAAGCTCAGGGAAGGCTCCTGAATTTTTATTTAAAGGTGATCTGCGTAGGTCACCTTTAAATCTGTGCTGTTATATAAAATACCAAGTTAGAAATGAGAAGTTGTGGATAGTAATAGAAATTAGAATTCTAATGATACATTTAGAAGATACTTAAGAGGGAAGTAACATGTTGATCAAAATATTTGAAAAATATTTAGAGAAATTTTCAAAATGAGCCCACCATTACAATAATAGAGAAATATGTCTTCCTACAAACAGATAATTAGTTATTAGTTAATCAATGTTCCTGCCACTTTTACATACACATTCAGAATTGAATGATCATAGTTCAGCCTTAGCGTAATATACACTTTCATTAAGAAATAATATTATTGCAACCACGTACATTTTAACTGGAATAAGGAGTATTGCACAAATTTTGGCTGAATTTATACATCTTGATTCATGCTAATTTTTAAATGCTAATCACATGCATGATTGAGTTTTATTAGTGACTAAACTTGTTCATTACTATATATCCTGTTTCCCCCAAAATAAGACATCCCCTGATAATAAGCCCAATCGGGCTTTTAAGCACATAGCAATAAGGCCAAGCGCTTATTTCAGGGATTAAAAAAATATAACACAGGGTCTTATTTTCAGGGAAACATGGTATCACTTTCATATAAGCAGGTAAGTTTACAGGTAGTCCTCAACTTATGACCATAATTGGGATCAGAACTTCCATCACTAAGTAATGTAGTCATTAAGTGAGTGGAAGGGTTTCATTTTGGTCACATATTCACCTTTTCTCAAAGAAAAGTACTAAATCCTTCTTCTGCCACTTCATGTGAATGGGGCTTATGAATAGCCATGGCATAACATAAGCATGATCTTAGTCATAGAAATCACTTTTGCTATGACTATAGCAAATGTAATACATGTAGTCCTCGACTTAAAACAGTTCACTTAATGATCATTCAAAGTTACAACGGCACTGAAAAAAGTGACTTATGATCGTTTTTTACAGTAATGACCTTTGCAGCATCCCCATCATCATGTGATCAAAATTCAGATACTCGGCAGTTGATTCATATTTATCATCGTTGCAGTGTCCTGGGATCATGTGATCACGTTTTGCAACCTTCTGACAAGGAAAGTCAATGGGGCATCCAGATTCACTCAACAGTTGGGTTACTAAATTATCAACTGCAATGATTCACTTAACAATTGAGGCAAGAAAGATCGTAAAATGGGGCAAATTATCTTAACAAATGTCTCATTTAACAGAAATTTTGGGCTCAATTGTGGTCAAGTCAAGGACTATTTGTTTTGCCCATATCTTTGGGCAGTTTTAGAATTCTCTATCTTGGAAAACTTTGGCAACAGATTTTTGTCTCATGTTCAATTATTCCTATGTCCCATCTTTCTTTTCTTATTAGGTTTAAAACTAATAAACTAAACTAACCACAAAAAAACCAAAGCAGCATAACATTTTCTGACACAATTGCTAATCCTTAGAATCCCTGTTTTGGCTTGTTGCCAACTGAGATGTCCTCACCTGGCAAAATGTAGGGATGGACTAGGATTTGATATCTGGGAAGATACATCATGATAAAACTGATTTAGACAACACATATGCTGCCAACTTTTGTCCCAAAATGTGTAAATATACATGCAAAGAACAATGAAAATTTTCTAGAAATCTCTTCTTTTCAGTTCTACACGAATTCTTTCCTTTATTCCTACACATTGAGAAGAAAGATAAAAAGGCAAGAAGTGAGTGGTTTTTGCTAAACTCATAGCTGGGATATTTTAGGTTAATCGTACTAGGAATAATAACTGTGCCTTTTTTGCTTCATAGTCAACTGTAGCTTTGAAGTCAGACTAAAGAAGAAAAACACATGCACAACCACACACTACATATGACAACTAAGTATAAAGGGAGAGGACAGATCACAAGTTCTGTCTGTCTTTACAGAGGACCAAGGAATACATTCCCTACATCTCATACTGGTGGTTTCCCTGCTCCAGTTCAATTGGGGAGGGGAGAAAAGAGATTTACATGGCACCGCTTATTGTTTTATTACTCAACTGCTCCAGGCATGATTATCTGTTCAGAGACAGCAGATTTAGTGCTCTTCAGAACTTCAAAGTTTTCGCAGTAACAACTCTTTGTCAAAAGAAGCCAGCTGTCAATTGATTAGTGACAAAATGCTAAAGTGGAAGAGCCATTTCTTTTAAAACTTTGCAAAAAAACAGGTCTCCAACATTTTCCGTGCTGCCATCCCAGACATTGATAATGCATGCGGCTTCCTAAGAGAACCGAGATGAGCAGCTCTATCTTGGTTTTATTCCTGGAAAGAGATGAAAAAGAATGGCAAACAAAGGAGAGTGCCCTGAATTCCAGACTGAAATTGCAATCGGCTATTCCCAATTCCCTTGCGTCAGCTTATTGCATAGCAGATAAAATAGTAAAACACTTCAAATTTATTCAAATTGAAACTGCCATAAGTTACTGCTATTTGAACAGAACACCTTTTAGACTGTGTCTATTCCAGATAAGGAACTTGTAGTGTTTGCATTAGTAAGTGGTAAGTTCATTCAGTTAACAGTAACTTTTTTTCTTAATTAGTTAATGAAAGCAGCAGTAAGTCCACTTAATATATCGACTGATTAAGTGGAATGCACTTTGCTACCCATTTTAGAACTTAATTAGAATGTTTCATGTACTTTATTGCCTACTGAGCAAATATGCTCTACAAATGTCAATGGTTTAGTATTGCTTACATTAGCATAACAAGATGTGAATGAAATAGGCCCTTTTTATCTTTAAAAAGTACAATTTCCTCTTGACTGAGTCTTAAACATAGCTGTATATATTTAGTTGGGAGGCAAGCGCAGCCCAAGAAAGTTACAAAAATGAAATAGAAAGTTGAGAATATCATAATTACAAATTTTAAGCAAATTTGAGTTATGTTTTCTTTCCAAGAAAATCACTGTTATTTCAAAGTGAATGCATGACAATATAAAATGCATAGCACTTACAACAACAGCATGTGAATTCCAGCTGCTGTTATGAATCTAATACTGCAAATAAGTTGTAATAAGTATTGTCTTGCAAATATAGTTGTAAGTAATCTGTGTCGACAAATCTCATTGAAATACTCATAATTTCTTTAGCTCTAAAGAAATACCTACAGATTTGCATAGTATCCTTTATCTTACTTTAAGGTTATTTTTAGTTTTTCAAAAGTAGCTGGCCTTTTACTGTTCAGATTAGTTTACTAAAAAGATATATCTGAGGGAATGCTTCAACATATTCTTCCAAGAAAACCAAGAAAATGTCCATTATGTTTAGCTGTTTTTGGGAGTGGGGTATATCTGTATATATTGGATTCTCTATTTCTTTCCTTTGCCAGCCCTAAATCAATTTTTGTCCATTTCTGAGTTAATTAATTTAATAAATATCCACAAAAATGTTTGGGGGGAGAAGAGAGAGAGAATTTTGGTCTCTTTGTTGGGAGCAAATAACACTGTTTTTTATAACCTTTATTGATAGTCTCCCTGTAGAGATCTGGCTGGCTCCGTCTTTGCTGGTCGTTTGAAAGCTCTTGAAAACTAAACTGTTTTGGATACCCCTAAATCAGGGGTGCCAAACTCAAGGGCCGGGGGCCAGATCTGGCCCATGGGGTGCTTAGATCTGGCCCGTGGGGCCGCCCTAGAAATAGCAAAGGACCAGCCCTCAGTGCCTCTGCCAGTGAAAATGGAGCTCAGGAGGCCACATGTACCCCCCCCCCGAGCTCCATTTTCACTGGCAGAGGGTGACAGGAGGCCATCGCATCTGAAAACGGAGCTCTGGAGCCCGTTTTCACTGTCAGAGCACTTGGGACACCACAGATACCCCCGACATGAGTGACATCAAGCTGGCCATGCCCACCCGGCCCCCAAGGTCAAACACAACCCTCATGCAGCCCTCAGTGAAATCAAGTTTGACACCCCTGCCCTAAACTGCAATTTAATATTTTCAATTTCTTTATTCCTTTTCTTTACATTGTGACATTGCTGGGCTTTGTTTTGTTGTTGTTGTTGTTGTTGTTGTTTGCATTGGGTATGTTTTACATTGTATATTTTTTCTGTGTAAGATAGCATGCTTATGAAAACAAGAAGTTTAAGGAACTCTGGTTTAGAAAAGACTTAGGATTTTTTGTTTTACTTTGGTTTTTTTATTGTATATTTATTTTATTTATTTATTTGTATATAGATATAGCCAGAATAACACATATACTCTGGCTGGTTTGTGTATACAGGGTGTGTGTGTGTGCGCGCGCGTGTGTGTACAGAGAGAGACCTAAAAGCCATAAGAGTAAAACACTGATCTTCATAAAAGATTAGGAAAAATTCTATGAAATGTTGTATTCTAATTCAAATGGATCCAAATAAATTTGGGCAACGATGTGAAGTTTTTAGTATATTTTTCCGATTATGTTTGAACTTATCTATTGACAAAGGACTAAAATGGTAGTATAAATGATCAAAAATGATAGTTTTTATCTACTAAACAGCAATGAATTAATATGAATGTGTATATTTAGAGATTCCTCATGATACACTCCTCAAAATTTTTTAATTTATTATGTTTTTCAGACAGTTGAGGAGATTGAAGGTGTGCTTGGCCGAGATTTGTACCCAAATTTGGCTGAAGAAAGGTCCCGATGGGAGAAGGAATTGGCAGGTTTGAGGGAAGAGAATGAAAGCTTAACAGCTATGCTGTGCGGCAAGGAAGAAGAATTAAACAGAACTAAGGCCACCATGAATGCTATCCGCGAAGAACGAGACAGATTACGCAGAAGGGTGAGGTTTCTTGATTGACATCTAATTTTGTGAGAAAAATGAAATTGCTTCAATAAAGAGCTGTTTCATCTCTCTCTTTCTCACTTTATCTTCTCTGTCATAAGTTGGAGGGGGTTAATAATTTGGCTGATTCTTCTTATCCCTAGTGTTGCTAGAATTGCCAGTAAAAGATAATTACATAAAGTAATTCCAGTCTGTCCAAATGGAGAATTCTTAGCACTTCCATATTGGTTTTCACCTCAGATCTAAGAAATATAAAGGAAGGTACTTTCTATCTCCCTTCCCCAAATCCAAAAATACAGAATTTAGCAAAATCTTGTGAGTCTCCTAGAAATGCAATGAATGTGCAGTCCAGTGCCTGGGAAACTTTTAATCAGAAATTCCATTTTTAAATAAATGAAGCCAAAACACACTACATAAAGAAGACAACAGGAAGGCAACAATCACACATAGTATTCCAGAGTATCAAAGTAAATGGTATGCATTATAATTTGAAAAAAAATATTGGCTTTCCAAACATGTTCAGAGTTAATTGTAGAGAGGATGGCTTGAAACAGAACATCTGATTTGCCTTAGGGTCTTCCAGTTTAATAGAATATAGGAGATAACAAAACTCTAGCATCTTTTAGGAGACTGTGCTTTTCCCAATTAAACAAACAGTTCTGCCTTTAATGATCTAGTCAACAAATTTAAAAAAATATCTGTCCTCTGAAGTTATAGTCCTAGCAATCTGATACAGCTAACTAGTGTTCTACAGTTACGCCATTGTATCTAAAGGATTATATGGGAGAAACTACTAAGAATGCAAAAACTTAATTCTGTCTTCCTAGTGTTAGGGTAGGGCTGAATCAGACTTCATTGATATTTTGAAAAGTGTACTTCAGTCATATGTGGGGCGGGGACTTTTTGGAAGCAGGATGTTTAATATGTGTGGTGTGTATTGAGTGCATTGAACATTTTTATACAAATACACATAGCTATATATTTACTTCTCACTGAAACTTCATTTTTCACATAAATTGGATATGGGAATTAAAATCAACATACTTTTATAATTTTCCTTCTCATCTGAGGAACTTGCACTAAAAATAGTAATTTCTGAGTGCATTTCTTATTCTTTCCTTATTCTCTCATTTGTTATTTTTACGCATCTTGCTGTTCTGCTATACAAATAATCTCACTATCAAAACTTCTACTCAGCACAATTTAATGTGTCTTTCAGCCCCAGAAACATATTGCATATCTAATCAAGTGTATGGTATAATTAGAGCAGTAGAGCAGAAACCTTTTAAAAGTGCATAGATCAGGAGTATGCAATTTCTTGAAAGTTGTTCTCTTGTCAGTGTACTAAAGCAGCAATTCTGAGCTGAAGGGACCCAATCAGTCCGTCACACAAAAAAGCAGAAATTTAAGTTAGTCTTTGCATCTTTTTTTAAATTACAAACAAGTTAAAGATAAGGTATGAAACTGGACTTTCTTTTGTTCCCATTTTAGAGAAAGGGCGTATATATCAAAACTGTCAGCTTTCTGTACTACCTGATATTGAAGGCTTTTTAAAACAGCTTCCCTTGCCTTCATATCTTCCAGATCTGTTAGCCTAACATAGCTACATTTTCCTGGTCACTTTATTCCATTCTCCAGCAGGCAACAGAATTGCATTTTTAATGTGGGGTAATGTGCTCATAGTAAAAAAAAAAAATGACAATAAAAGTTACCTTACCTTATTTGAAACAGAGGTATCAAGTAAAGGAGCTTTGCAATTATTTCTCTGATGCTGTATATATGTATAGGTGCATGTCTACGTATAAACACACATCGCCATGCACAACTTTCGGTACTAGTGTTTAGTGGGCTGTGGAGAAATGCCATTCACTGGTGAAAAAACTGTGGGACAACCTGCACCAGGATAGCCTTCTATCATGCTAGTCCTAGTGTGATGGCATTTCCTTGACGCTTATCAAACAAATGATCAATGGGATGCTGAGGAATATTTCAGTAGTTGGGGAAAGAATTGGTAGGAGAATAGGAAAAGAAATTCCAGGGACAGGTATTCATAGCGGGTCCTAATGGAGCCTGTCAAAATCTGAATGTAGTCCATGGTTCTGTCTAGATTCTAGAATGTAGTCTATAAGGTTCTGTCCCTGGTCTTTCTAATCAAGTTATCGTACTTTCTATAGTGACTACCATAAACAACTTTTCCTCCCAAACTGATACTCAATAACATGAATAGGAAGGTCCAATGTACTTCTTGATAGAGACTCCATGAATGAAACTAAATCCATTTTGAACCTTGATCCTTATCACATTTTATGGGAATTAAATATATAAAATAACATTTTGATCCCTGTTCAGAATAGATCCTGCACTGCAATTATTGATCTCCATCCCTGAAAGAAATAGTCTCACTTAGTGTAAAAGCAAAAATAATATGGTTCTTTTTTTCTTTTTCTTTTTTGCTATTGTTAACCTGTAAATTTTGATCTATAACACAAAAATTGAAACATAGTTTCTGATCACTAATTGCAGAATTTTTATTCTCCATTTCCTCCTCCTCTTATATTGAAAATTAGGGAAGCTTTGTACTCTAAACTAATGCTAATTTGCTTAACAGTAAGTTTATTTCTCCCTGGAGGAATCTGTCTGTAACAAATGTCCATGTCAGGCACATGATGTAATGGTGTGCACCAGGGAGCTTATTTGCATTTGTAATACAGACTATAGCTGCCACACAAATTAATGTTTTCTGTGACCCGTTAAATATTTTATATATGCAACTCTAACCAAATGGGACTTTATATTACTTCCCTAGGGGATGAGAAAGAAACCCTTCCTTAAATTTAGTTTTTCTTCTGTACACATTAAATTGGGTACATAAAAGAAGTTGAAGCTTAAGAAATCAATAGGGCTGTTACTTTAGTCCAATATCTGTAATCAAACAAAGTGCTCTCAGTTGGGTTTGGGAGGCTTGTTAGAGGGTTAATTAATTTAGATATTTAATGTATTCAGTTAACAGTTTGTTCTATTTTTAAGTATAATAACTAAGAAATGACATGTACCTCTTCAAGGTCATTAGCAAATGAAGTAATTACTTAATTTTTTTATGGTGCACATAATGTAGCTTTACTTCTTTGCAGAGTAACCATATAAAAAAGAGCAGTTGTTTGCTATCTGTAAAAAACATTTGTACTGAAATGTGCATATTGCTTAGTAATTCTGTTTACAAATTGATTTATATTAATATGTAATATTGCATTATATATTGATGCAATACAATGCTATGCAAAATATTTGCAAATTCATATATATTAATGGTGTATTTTTAAAATATGTACATCTTGGTTAAATTAAAAAAAAATCAGGCTGATGTTGTATACCTATGTGGTTCCTATTTATCTATAAGCTCATGGAAATATGTAAGCAATTTCTAAACAGATTTGCCCTTGCTTTGATCTGCAGTACTGCATGTATATTTGTAAATACACAATATCTTCAGTTTAAAATAAACTTGGATAAATAAACATGTTGAACATCTGTTTTAGATCAAAGGTACAAATCATTCATATCTATCTTACTAGTAAACATATTGGAGATAAAATCATCTATTTTCTTTCTGAAAAAATATGAAAGCCCTGAAAACTGGGAAAGTAAACAATCAGGAAAGTAAACCTAATATGCTGGCTTTTTCCTCATCTGGGAAACTAGAAACAATGTTCAGCAGTTCGCTAATGTGTTACGTATCTCTATGTTACTTGACTTTATGATCCTGAAGTATTAGCAGTTGTACATTAATTGAACTTTTGTTTTGATTATTGCTGTCATGACCAATATATTTTTCTTTGTATTAAGTTAACCACCACTTGTTCTTCAATACATATCAAATTATATTCTCTGTTGGCATATGGTTATTTACCATGTACCTTATACCCCTAAATGGTGTCAAGCTACAGGAGGTTGTATGCCCCCTTTTCTTAATTATCAACATTTGATGGTAAGAGTATTCAGTTACTACTTTGAGTCAGGGGAGATATATAATATTGATTATGGAGCCATAAGATAGACAAGTATGACATGTTGATGAGGTATGCCAGCAAACAAATATTTCTGCAAGGTTTCCAGGATACAGTTTATTTCCTGAAAATCACTTCAGACAAAATCTCAATAGTATTAGATAAAAATAGAAATATCTGGCCTAGTCAGTTAACAATGAAGTGATCTCAATGTCCCCTCTTCCAACTGACATTTTATGTATTTTCAATATTTGGGGGAAATATAGACATCATATTTATTTATGTTTGATTTCATAACATTGAAATTTAAAGTCCTTTGTCACTGGTTTCATTGATGCAGTTGAAATATAAAGATAAACCATTTCTGCTTTAAAATATGTCTTGCTTTCAGATAGTTTGGCATTGTTCATGAGGCTTCTTTCAGTAGTTCAGCTAATGATATTTTAGTGGAACAATTTCCTATTGTGGTTAAAATGGTTATTACCTTTCTTTTTTTCTGTTCAGTGAAGTGCAGTTAAAAAAGTGCCATGTTTCCAAAAGAAATCAGATCCATGACATCTTCTACCTATTCAATTTACCTTTCTTTTTCTGGCCATTATGCCAAGCATAATACCAAAATAAAGTCTCCATTTATGTTTTTCTCCCTAAAAATGCCTCTGCGGTGTGGCATTCTGGTGAATAAAACTAAAAATGATGTTTAGATTCCCAATTAATTTGGTCAGTTTTTCAGAAAATCTTCAAAAATTATCATTTCACTAAGGCTATTTTCCTAACTATCTTCAATAATAAGCAAAGTGATCTCTCTTCTGCAGTTACCCATTTGTCTGAAAATATATTTTTTTCTTTTCAGATTCTTTTTAAGTTGGAAATAAATCATTTACAATGATAACTCACATTCATTTTTGAACTTTTTTTTATTCAACACAAATTTCTGAAGTCTTATTTCAGAGTGATATTGCGGGTGTCTTAAGATCAGAATTTTTACATTATTCTGTGAAATGCTTAAGAACTTGCAAAAGCTAAGCATCTCTCTGCCTTTTAGTAAAGCTTTTTTTTTTCTTCAAATTTCTGAATGAGCCTGAAAAAAGATGTGTCTGCTTTAATAAACAGCAGAGTGGTATTATGGAATGCCCTTCTTTGGAGATATGGTCCTAACCTTCCACTCCTTTCACATTTAGGAAAGGTATCAAGGTCATCTTCAACCAAGTTTTTTGAGGTAGATCCTGGATTTTTTTCCCCTTTTACTCTGAGCTACCTTGACTGCTCAATAGTTAAAACATACGTTTAGTTTGAAATAGTCAGTACTATTTCAACTCTACCCCGAATTAAAAGAATTAAGGGTCATAGAAAGGGAGACAGTACAATATATATTCTAAGATAAGAATCCTCTAAATTTGATTTTTCAAAACCTGAGCCACTTGTCTTGATAACAAATTAACTGAAAATATTTGGATGTTTTCTCAATTTCATAATCTAATAACCAAGAAAAAACATGATGCAAGCTTGTTTCTTCCAGACCATTATTAATCTTCCCTTTTCCTACCTTGAATGTTGGATTCCTGACTTCTTTAGCCAGAAGTCAGAAATAGTATTTTAACAGGAACTTTTCAGCAAACTTAGTTAATACAATGATTAAAATCTATCTTATGTGAAGGGAACTAGGAAAGAGCACAACAGATTAATGGCTTGTTTCCAGATTCATAAATCATGTTCCATGAAAGATGATGACAACACCTCATAAAGGATACCAATTACTTTGGATATTAATGTATCCTAGTAACTACAGTGTATCTCCTAACAGTAAATCATATATTAAACTTTATTTAATCTTTGCTGATTAAGCTTTGTTAGTTTAGGTCTGACTTTTCCAGAACAAACTTAACTTTTCAAGAATTGTTTTTTAGAGAATCATCTGTATCTATAGTTCGTTTCAAATTCATGTTCATCTTAGAAATTCCTTAACCCTTTTGCATATTTTTGTCCATTCTGTTGCCACTCGTTGATTGCAGCCCAATTTTTCTCATCACTGAATTTTCACTATTCCTGATTCTTAATGAAGGGAATTATTTATCTTTTGCCAGTGAAAAATTGACCTTTTTATTTTATTTATTATTTTCTAGAGAAAAAACTAAAGCAGCACATAAAATTGAGATTTCTTATATACCTTTCTTTATACTTGGAGAAAATCAGTAAAACATATTGCATTGTCATTTTAAATAAATTTATCCTTCCAGTTATTTCATTGGTTCTTTGGAAATTTGGATTATGGGCAGACACAATGTTTTGATTGATTTGGAACTATATGTGTCCCTATTGTTTTTGTCAGCTATGTTTTAAAAAAAGTATTTAATTCTATCTAAAAGTTCTGTAAGACAGTTATCTATGCCATACCCCTTTTATGTTTCTTGCCAGAAATCCATTGATTGCATCTTCAATATATGCTTTCTCTACAGACAGAAAATGTTTTAAATATATGATTATGTTAGGTAAAATGATATAAAAATAAGTATCCCTTTGTGATATCAGGTGTCAAGAGAAAGCTTTTGAATCAAAAATATTAAAGGTTTGTTATTATCAGTTATCCCAACTTGAAGCAGAAATGGGTTTCTCTTATATTACCAAAACAAGTTAAAAAAAATAGAATAATAGTATTGACTTACATAATTATATTTTTGTAGGTCAGAGAACTACAGACTCGATTACAGAGTGTCCAGGCAACAGGCCCATCAAGTCCAGGTCGCCTCACTTCTGCAAACCGTCCCATTAATCCTAGTACTGGAGAATTAAGCACCAGCAGCAGTAGTAATGACATCCCCATTGCTAAGGTGAGTCCTAGGACATAACTGCTTACTTTTGCTGTTCTGTTGCGCTACTATTCTATAACGGTCCTGAACCAGCAGGAGAGATGTTGTAAGAAATTTCAGCCTTGTTTGGTCATAATACACATTCTAGTTTATATATCCATTTTAAGATTGAGTTTCTGAACATAGTACCTGAATGAAATGAGAATTTTAGAAGATACTGTAAAACTCATTTTTGTGATTGGTTCCCTATCCTACCTTGACTGTTTCTAGATTGCAGAGAGAGTGAAGCTTTCAAAGACGAGATCAGAATCTTCAGCATCTGACCGTCCTGTTCTGGGATCAGAAATAAGCAGCATAGGAGTAAGTATAATATTCGCACAAAGTGCATATTTAGCAACTTAGTTGACAGCCATGAGATCAAGATTGTATGAAAATCACAGAAATAAAAGCAGCTCTCATCTTAAACCAAGCAAGTTACCCTGGGCTTTAAATTTTATAACGTATGGGTTCATGTTCTTGGTACTTCTCCTCTGAAGTATGACAGCTAAATTTCTTTTATCCTTCAGGATAAAGATATAAAGTGTACACAATCATGCATTTGGATTCTGCAGTAAACATCTATAGTCAGGGTTGCATTTCCTGCAGCTGTTTTTAAGGAGGGCAAGCATTCAAATGGAGCACCTTTAAAATACATACTCGACGATTATGCTTTTTATGCGGCTCTGTTAAAAGTGATAGACCAATAGTAGAGAAAATTCAGACAATAAATCACTATATGAACTGAGTTTGGAATCTTTATCCTTCCTCTCCCCATCAACATTTCCTTTTCTTTGTATGTTGATAGAATATTTTGAAAATATTTCTTTAAAATGTTCCATTTCCCTAGACTCAGTTGAATAGAGTTGACAAAATTAGTATACAAGTTTCATGAAATGGTCTTATCATTTCTTAAGAGGTGATAGAATTATTAGGAATGCACTCAATTACATAAATAGAGGAGCATGAAAAATGGCTATTTCTTCTGAGGTTGTTTTTTCAGGCACTTTGTACTCTACTTGACCACTCATTCTAGAAGTTGCAGGCTAATCCAGCCATGATGTGAACATCTAAAGCAGATTTACATGGAAGTTTTGTTAACTTGTTTTGTTCATTGCTTTTAGCTTGAAGGCAAAAATGAAAAATATAATTTCTAGGAAAACTACTTTCTTTCCCACCCTATTCCTTTGTTATTCCAACATATTTAAATCTGAGTTGAGTAGTGGCTCAATCTCCAGTAGATAAAATTATTTTAATGACTATTCATGTTATTTATACAACAAGGTACAAAACAATATCCAATATCCAAATAATATTCATAATAGTTTTCTCAAAACCTGTGTACAGGTATCCAGTAGTGTGGCAGAACATTTGGCACATTCTCTTCAAGACTGTTCCAATATTCAAGAGATTTTCCAAACACTCTACTCACATGGATCAGCTATCTCTGAAAGCAAAATTAGAGAATTTGAAGTAGAAACAGAACGGTTGAACAGGTAAGATGATATTTTTATGTGCAGAGCCACTTTTTTAAAAAAAAAAATTTTGCAACAGAATAGATTTCCCATTTTAACTTTAATCCAAAGGTGGCACTGAAGTGAGTTATATGAGAATGGGCCTTCTCCATTTTGAGGCGAAATTACAGAAACATTTTGTGAGTTTTATCTGGCATCTGTGGCTTTTGTTTTCAAAATTAAAAAATGATGATTTAGGAACATGCATTCATCATTTATACTGTACAGTTTCAATTATTGTTTGTCACTGTTAGGAAGTTTTAAAAGAGCAGCTCATAAATATATTAAATAATTGGGCCATGAATTTATCTGCATAAGAAAATGTATTGCGAAATAAAATTGACCTTCTAGGACAACTACATGTGCAAACTCATCATAAGTGCACAAATGTTAAGTAGATTTTATATTTATCAAAAAATCTTTACATACCGGTATATAGAACAAGAAAGAGAGCAAGAGTAATCTCCTTCAGTTAATTGACTTATTAACTTCTTAATTTTGATTTTTGTGAATTAAGCTTATACCAGCTGGATAGCAATATGGAAATTTATGATAATGAAAAGAGTACAATCCTAATCATTATCTTTTTTCAACAACATAATGTAGTCATCACTATTATGTCATAAAGGGATTTGTCAGGATTTCCATATTGCTCTGTAAGTCATAACAATAGCTGATGTTGTCTCCAGAGAAATGTGGTATAAAATATTTAAGAGTGATGTGGGTAGATCAGAGCGAGAGAAGTAATAAGCAGGAATTGCCAAATCAGGCCACCATGTGAGAGGATTACACTCCACAGCCTCATACAAATTCATAAGAGCATACACCTCCAATCAGTTATAGTATTGAAGAAGCACCAGCTGTGAAAAGCTAAGGCTGCTGCGATCCTAATTGGGATCATTGTCTCCATTTTGGCTCTAGGCGCTGACGCTTTATCCAGTTAAGGCCCTTGATAGATCCAAGGAAAGCATAGATGGTTTATATTAGTTTTCCTCAACTTAAGGCTTGTCTGTATAAGCTGTAGAACTCAGATAGAAGACAGATAGGATGGCAGCAACCTCTACATGAAAACTAAGAGGATTTTCTTTTCCACAGTCGCATCGAGCACTTAAAATCTCAGAATGATTTATTGACAATAACTCTGGAAGAGTGTAAGAGCAATGCTGAAAGGATGAGCATGTTGGTTGGAAAATATGAATCCAATGCCACAGCCCTCAGGCTGGCATTGCAATACAGGTATAACAATGAGAATATATGAGGAAAAATAAATAAATGAATTGATACATGTTCTTATGTTGCTTGAGTTAGTAGTACTTGACTTACAATCACAATTGAGTCCCAAATTTCCATTGTTAAGCAAGGCAGTTGTTAAATGAGTTTTGCCCCATTTTACGCCCTTTTTGCCACAGTTGTTAAGTGTTAAGTGAATCATGTGGTTGTTAAGCGAATCTGGCTTCCCCCATTGACTTGGTTGTCGGAAGCTGGCTGGGAATGTTACAAATGGTAATCACATGATCCTGGGACAGTGCAACCGTCATAAATACATGCCAGTTGCCAAGCATCTGAATTTTGATTATGGGATTATGGGATGCTGCAATGGTCGTAACTATGAAAAGCAATGATAAGTCCCTTTTTTCAGTGCTGTTGTTGTTTTGAACAACAACAAATGGTTGTAAGTCGAGGACTACTTGTACTATAAAAAGTTTAAGGACTGCACCAAAGTATTGTGTTTTCTCTTTATTTAACTTAAGTTCTTGCCTGCTGGCATTACTGTTAATATTTTCTACTTAGCAAGTGAATTTACAGAGATAACCAGTAGTAGGTCATTTTCCATTTCAAGTCTATAGACTTCATATGATAGGCTTGGAAGGGAGCTTGGACATTTTCTAGTCCAAGCCCCATCCCAGGGCAGGAATTTTCAGATCATACCAGACAAATAGCTACCAACCTTGGTTTGAAAACTGTCAGTTTCAGCTCCATAGGGCAAGTTATTCCACTGTTTAATAGCTCTCACAGTTGGGAATTTCTCTATTTCAAATTTGTATCTTTGGTTTGATGGATTGTCAGTTCATATGACAATATGGCTACTAAAGGAAAGTGACATATATTTGTATTTAGCACTTCTTTGGTTCATGCTTATACCTTAAAACTCCAACTTATTTCCACATCAAGGCTTAACAAAGTATTTAAATATTATTTTTAAGAACAATTTAGTGAAATACATAAATGTTTATCGACCTGCTAATAAAAATAATCCGTGTTTGTTATTATTCATGCTAGAAATCCAAAATATTTTTGGCACTGAAAATGTCTTCAGGGAAGTTCTTTATCAATTATTCAGGCTATTCCTTGTTCAAGCCACAACAAGACATAATAAAAGAAATGCTTCAAAATATTTATATATAAATAAAAAATATTTTTTTAAAATGCTTCAAAGAAAAAGTTTCTGCCCCTCTAATGCTTATTCATCCAATTCAACTGTCCCATATTTTGCTCTGGGATGCTTGATATGCTGTAGGACATATGGAGGGGAAAAGTTTGGTTTCATCTAAACTACTTAGTTCTATATTAAAAGTAGGTTTTTAGAATTGGTGTGATGATGAGTTCTAGAAAAAAAATTGTGTCTGTCTTAAACCTCTAATGAAACCTAAGAAAGTTGTTCTATAATTTCATAATATCCAGAGTTAAAGGCTTCTATTCTACAATCAAAAGTTTACTATGGATTTTATTCATGCAGTTCTGCTTATGTTATTTATATGAATCATTATGTTCTCATGTTATTTATGTGAATTATTCAAGCTGTTATTTAGGAACATAGAGATCACCAATGATCACCATACTTGCTAGTTTCCCACTCAACAGAGTGGAGGTTTAAGTAGATTAATTTTCCCCACCAAATATACGTGCACTGATTCAGTCTTTTTTTCTCCTCAGTGAACAGTGCATTGAAGCCTATGAGCTGTTGCTAGCGTTGGCTGAAAGTGAACAGTCTCTCATTCTTGGACAATTCAGAGCTGCAGGTGTTGGATCTGTCGGTAAGTCTTCATTGAATCACTTTCCCTCTAATAATCCAATTTGTACTTTATTTGCTATACATCACCCTTAAAGGGAACATTACAATAATGAATTATCTCATGGCTACCTGTGTGCTTGTTACAACAACCAAGTACAGTTATAACAAATGATTCAATTTGAAGCTAAATACAGAATGGAAGAAAAAGTGCTTTGAACAATAGCTCATCTTGATATAGGGTTATAAGATGGAAATCCATAAACAATCACATCAACAATTGACTGAGGAGGTTAAATATTTTATCTACGTGATTAGTAATTTTAAAATGCTATTTTTCATCCAGTTTGTTTCTCAAAATTAGAAATCTACTGGAATATTTCAGAGAATGGAAAGATTTCATTCATTACCTTAGCATCTCCACAGTCAACAACATGTTATATGGAAGTTTTTAAAGATCAAATGATCATCTGAGTTCAGTGTAACAAGACAAATTTCTGTCCTTTGTTTTAACATATTGGAATTAATTATTCACAGTCACTGTGGAGAGTTCCAGTATGAATCTTTTCTTCTAAATTAGAAACAAGTTTCTTTAGAAAACAACATATTTATTTATTTTAAAATATATTTAGAACAATAGCTTTAAGAAGCCAAAGTTAATTGTATTCTTATTTCTTATAAAATGCAAAATAGTTTTGACGAAAGCTGCTCAAAAGAAATAAAAATTATAGCTTTTGTGATTTTTGTAATAAAAACTATACAAACTATAACATGTCCAAATAGAAAACATTATTCCTGACTCATAGAAAATCAGGACTGAACAAAAGTAACCTGCTTCTAATCAAGGAAAAACCTAATCTACAACTAAGGAGAAATTTCCTGACAGTCAGAACAATTAATCAGTTGAGGTCCACAAGTTTTAAAGTTGCCAAGTTTGGAGATGCCCTGATCTAGAGCCATATGGGATGATAAAGCAGGGATTAGGGCTCTCCACACTACCAAAAGCACTCATTGGAATTTATTGTCGGTATGGGGTCTGTAAAAGCTGTTTCAAAACCTTTCATCTTTCTTTCCTGTAAACCCTTCTTAGTGGATTTGGAAGTATGCTTCAAATTGTTGTCTTGTTGCAACATCTAAACATTCAGCTTCAGGTTTTTCATATTCATATTTGTACCATTTAATAAATAGGTTATATAAAATGTACACTTCACATGAAATACCAGGCTTTTGAAATAAAAAGTGTCTGTCACTATTTCTCCAATTAAATCCATAGATATTATTTTATTTTAAATTGTACAGTGACATCCTTTTAGAACATAGTATAAACTTTTTAATACATAGAATAAAAACAATAAAATTATTAACCAAAACAGCAGAACATGAGGTATTGGAAGCTATGAAACAATTGTATGAATAGATATTGTTCTATTTCAGGTGGTAGAAAAAAATTAGGAGAGTCTGGATAGAGATAGGGAGCCTTTATGGCTGTGATTCGGTTCTTATAGAATCCCATTCAATTCGTGATACAGCTTTAGTTTTTCTTCAGATCTCATTGTTCCTACAAAGATGTCACATGAGGAGCAAGAACAGAGGATGAAAGACTCACTCTGTGTAAACTGTGTGGAGAGTTCCTCCTTGTACCACTGCCAATTTCACCTCTTTCTAAGCCCAATTATTTTTGAAGTCCATTACATGCTAATGTCCTCATGGGAACATAGAAGTTTGCTTAAAAGCACATCGACTCACATTAATGCTTCTGAACTGCTCCAGTATTATGTTGTTCTGATCATTTGCTTGTGAACAGGGGATCAAACGGGGGATGAAAGCATCACCCAGATGCTTAAAAGAGCCCATGACTGTAGGAAGACAGCTGAGAACGCAGCCAAAGCCTTGTTGATGAAATTGGACGGAAGCTGTGGGGGAGCCTATGCAGTTACTGGCTGTAGTGTACAGCCCTGGGAGAGCCTTTCTTCCAACAGTCATACCAGGTAATTATGGCACTTTGGCATGGTTAATCTCCAATCATTTGATTTTCTGAATGAATTAGAGGCTATTTTGGATGGTTTTTTGCATTAGCTAGCCATCCTCCTACAACCTGTTCAATAATATTGGTGTTCCTAATAAATTATTACAGGGTGATCTCAATCTGTTACTGGATTCTGTTCCAGTTTTTAGTAGGCTGTTTTAAATATATATTTTTGGAGATTTATTGTATTTGAAATCTAATCTATTTCATAAACAATATCCTTTAGTTTGATAATTTCTCTGCTACTTCTTTATTTTTCAATTTCTTCCCACTGAAACTTAAAGTATATATTACTAATACAATGGTATTATATGAAGTCTTTGCAGAACTTCAAGGAGTAAGAATCTGATTTCTCCAAGTTCCTTGTTAACTACATAAATGAAGTCATTCGATGTAATTTCACTTGATGTTAAAAAATGTAATGCAATATATGGGATCAGTTTGACATTTAGAATTGAATATACAAATATAACGTATTTGCTTATCCTCTGTACCTAGAGAACATTTTATTGCCATATGGATTGGTGAGCTTGGATATGTAAGAGGATTTAATCACCATTTTATTTAGCTATTACATCTATGCACCTTCCTTGGAAATGCTTTGGCAACATCCATAGTTTCTTCTGGATGATCTCTTCCTAAAACACAGTACAATTATAGGGGTTGAACTGTGCAACCACAGAACTGTATAAAAGATTGAAACTCATAGATTCTGTATGATAAACAGCGTACAATGATACTCCGAATGTTCGGTATAATTCTTTTGCAAACTCTGTGAAGGAAATGGGGGAGCCTTTCTCCTTGGAAAAGACTTTTCATGTCAATGTGAATAATTTCTTCTGCTGTTTGAGACCCCTTAAAACGGGGTTTGTAATTGAAGTGTTGACCTGGGCTTAACTTTGGCATCAAAAATGAGCTGCTGAATGTCAGATTGCCAAGCACATTACTGGGAACAAATGCTCAGGCAACCACTGGGGACAAGGAGGTTAAAGGCGATAAAAGGGAGCATTTGCAATAAAATGGGAAAAAGCAGCACGCAGGCTGTTCTTACTAGGCGGTAAATAAAATTAATAGCTAGAATTTCAATTTGCAGCCTCCCAGTCAGACTGCCTATTCCTTTGTGAAAATAGAAATACATCTCTGGTGGATAAGAAGTAATAATCGTTTTAAAGACAAAAGCCCAGCCTCAAAGCATGTTTCTAAGACACACAATTGATTGAACTTGGAGGAAAAATAAGACACTAGAGGGAAAGAGTTAGGGTTACTTGATATGTAAACACAATAGTATCAGGGCATTAAAGTCTATTTGTAGCATAAACTTTCAGGGACTAGAGGTTACTTTGTCAGATAAATATGGATTCTAATCCATATTATCTCATTCATATTCTATTTAATCTGTTTGAAATATTTCTTCCTAGAGATTATTACAACCATCCCTTGGCTATTGCTAGATATATAATATTAGAATACTAATTACAACCTAATCCTTCTGCTAAAAAAGAATTGATTTATTTCATTTCATAAAGTGGAAGCCAGTCTTCTGCATGCAAGGCCCTGCACTCTTCAGGCCTGAGATATATTTTATTGAATTTATTAGAAGAGTGGTCTTCTAATACTTTTGTGCCACTCACATAATTCAAGTTGATTCTACACTTCAGCATTTTGTGGAGGACAAGTCATTCTTTCTCAGTTGAACAATCTTACACGTTTGTTGTGTGAATAAAGTGAAGAGAAATCCCCATTTAAACACCTTGAACTGCTGCAGAATAAATAGCTAGAAAGTGAATGTATACATTGTTTACAAGTACATGAGATGGCATTTAGGTAGTGTAGAAGAACCTAAAAGAGCCATCAGCAAAATAACTTCTGAAACTTTCTGCAATTGCAAACTCATTTTGATACAGCATTACCACTGTATATTGGTGTACTCAAATAGTTAGATATCCTAAAATATACCCTCATAAATACATGACCATTCACAAGAATTGTAATTATTTTCTTCTAACCCATACTTACCCACAACGATCTGCTCTCTTATGAAATTTAAGGGCAGAATGATATCACTTCCAAAATTCATATTTACTAGTCACTCCTATTTGGTCAACATTAGATTAGAAATATGGCAAAGCTTATTAATTTAAGGAACATAATATATTCATATCCCAAAGCATATTTATGCTCTAGAACCATGATGGCGAACCTATGGCACGCATGCCACAGGTGGCATGTGGAGCCATATCTCTGGGCATGCGAGTGTTGCCCTAGCTCAGCTCCATTTTTGGGCCTTCTGGGCCAACCGGAAGTCGGGAAATGGGCTGAGGCCTTCCAAGGGGTGGGGAAGGCCGTTTTCACCCTCCTCAGGCTCCTAGAAAGCCTCTGAAGCCTGGGGAAGATGAAAAACGGGCCTATCTGGCCCACCATGCCATCACGTGCCAAAAGCGGGGGGAGCGCGGGGTTGTCGTATGCACAGGGGGCGGGGTGCATTGAATTATGGGTGTGGGAACATGCGTGGGCAACCCCCCCCAGCACTCTCCCCACTTTTGGCACACAACGGCAAAAAGGTTAGTCATCACTGCTCTAGAATATGGAGTCATATAATCAAAATATAGTTTTGCTTCACTGTGTTTTTTTGCAACTATAGCCAATGTTTTTTTACATTTGTTTTACAAATATGGATCCGTTCAGCCTCTTATGTCTTATTAAACTTATTTTTAAATTTAGAGTTGTCTCCATTACGTCTCTCCCATAAAAGCATGAGGCTGCCTTAACAAGTATGGAAATAAGCAATATGTATAATTAGTTAATAGACTAATCCAAATTTAAAATGTGGGTTTGAATCGATTAAAGCCATATTTAGAATTTATATTTATAAAACATGTTGAAAACATCTGCTGTAAATATACTTTCTTCTTCATTATTTGACTCAGTTAAGGAATCTATGGAGTTCAGAGCAGAATAAAAATCTGAATCTAGCCTTTGCTGATAGTTAGGATATAAATGCAACCTTGTATTGATTTTTAAAGGCTGAACAGAAATTGTTTAGCTCTGATATATGCACTATGATATATTAGATTAGGAGCACAATGATGTATTTAGAAGCTTGCTATATTTCTGACTATTTAAGAGATGGAAAACACTTGCTGTGTATGCTAATCTTAGGCAATTTCAAGCTACATTTATTGAATTAACCTAATTTGAATTAGGTTTGAATTTGAAATGAGTTAGAGCAGCCTATAGGTGTTCTATAGATAAAATCTGTAAACTTTACCACTTGAAGGGAAGCCAATTGAATTGCAGTGACTAGAACAGAGACAATATATGCAGATTAAGAATCATTAATAGGAAATATTTAAAGTGGCACAATCCAAAATCACTGAAGTTATTGGAGAATGTGTTTGCACTTATATTGCCTGACTTAAGAAAAAAAGACAAATTTAAGCTTTGATCTGAAGTCTATTCTGGAAAGAAACGAACGTAGGAGCACCCTGATGTACTTTACTGCATAAGAGGGCAGTCACTTTCTTCCAGTATGAAATACATTTAGTAATATTACAGTATTTTCTATACTGTATATATGGATTAAAAAATGCATGGAATAGGAAGACACCACAAGGGCTCTTGTCTAGGCACCGCTGTTTTCTGCTGCAGAGAAGCTGAAATTAATATCTCAACAGATAATGATTGAATCAAGTTCCTCCCACCCCCAGTTCTGCTCCTGGGATTAAAACTCAACTACGGGATTTAAACACAGATATAACAATATAAAACCAGAATTCAGAACATTATGAGAGAAGTATCCAGGCTGCATTTGTAATAGGCACACATGCATGGTCTAGGGCAGCGATAGCTAACCTTTTTGCCGTTGTGTGCCAAAAGTGGGTGGAGCGCGGGGGGGGCATGTGCGTGCATGCCCAGACACATAATTCAATGCACCCCTCCCCCCACGCATGCGTGCATGACCCCATGTGCTCCCCCCGCTTTTGGCACGCGATGGCATGGTGGGCCCATTTTTTGCTCTCCCCAGGCCCCAGAGGCTTTCTTGGAGCCTGGGAAGGGTAAAAATGACCTTCCCCGCCCTCCGGAGGCCCTCCGGAGGCTGGAAATGGCCTGTTTCCCATCTTCTGGTGGGCCCAGAAGGCTCAAAAATCCGCTGGCCAGCGCATACATGCACGCTTGAGCTGAGCTAGGGCAATGCTCGGGTGCCCACAGATATGGCTCCCTGTCCACCTGTGGCACGCATGCCATAGGTTCGCCATCACGGGTCTAGGGCCTAAATTGGTTGATTGATCAAATTAATGTCCCATCCATCTCACTATATAAGTGATTCTGAGTGGCTTACAAGTTAAAACACCAACATTAACACATAATACAATAGGTTTACTTTCCTAGTAGTTCATTAAACTGAAATTTAAAAGTTCAGTTACCCTCGTAAGTTTTATACCACATCTGATCTGCACAAGCATTACAAGATATCTCAGAATTGATGATTATGTAGTTTGTATATGCAAATTTATTCTTTAAAAATGTGCTACTTTGATAAATGGAATTTAATGACTACGTATATGATAATTATCAGTGGCTAATAGTTGGGTATTTCTAAAGGAAGGTTTCTAGCATTGCAGATAATAATTCATCTACTATAAGCTAAAAGCAGAATTCTCAGTGAATTGCCTACACTTTAGTTGATTTCTTTCTTTTGTGGATCGTTTCTTTGGTGATCTGAAATGGATGATCTGTTTTTAGTAAAGATCTATCCTCAGCTATTTTCTTTTCTGGAGAGCTGAGGGTTATAGCATATCATACAATATAGTGTAGTATTATTATTATTAATATAAATTTATTAACCACCCAATTCCATCCAGTGGACTCCAGTATGGTTGAAAGCATATCATTGGGCAGAGCTAGAATTTTCCATTTTTCCCAGGTGTTGATAGAGGAAGGAGGTCTTTTTAAAATGTATTTTAAATATAACTTGGATTTTTACTATAGTATCTCAAAATGGAAAGAAACCATACCAGAAGTTTTCAGATGTTGTAGTTAATGTAGATATTAATTGGGCAAGGGGCTCCTCTGATTCTTTTGATTTCTCTCTTCTCTCTCTTAGTGAATTAAAAGTTTCATAGACTTTTGAGGTGTTATATTTGCCTATATATTTGTAAAGTTTATGTATTTGTAAAGAGAAAGTACAGTTGTAGGCAAAACTGTGAATACTCCTGACCAATTGGTACATTTAAGTTACTTTCTGAGCCAGTTATTATTCAATGGGGTTCAAACACTCTACTGAGAATTGAATCAGAGGTGGGCTTCTGCCGGTTCGCCCTGGTTTGGGCGAATTGGTAGTTAAGATTCTGCGCAGTTTGGCGAACCGGCAAATCCCACCACTGGCTGGCCCCGGCCCTGCTCGTTTTTTGGGCTGAAAACAGCCTGAAAATGGCTAAAAAACAGACGGAGCGGGGCCAGCCAGTGATGGAATTAACCCCAACCGGCTGAATTCTACCTCTGCCTTTGAGGCGAGTGGCCAGGAGGCATGAGTGACATACCCACCCAGTCACATGACCAACTGGCCACGCCTACCCAGCCAGAGAACCAGTTGTTAAGTTATTCAAGTCCCACCACTGAATTGAATACACATACCTTTGCATTTAGTTGACATTATTTCTATTTAAAGATGTTAAAAAGTATTGACAGAAAGGTCTGAATTTCTGTATGCCATAATCATAGTTTTCTTACTTTGATTCTGTAAAACAGTGTATAAACAGTGAACGTAGAAAGTTGATGTTAACTTTGTACTGTAGTTGTGTCAGCTTGTATTCACCTCAAGACTGATTGAAATATATAGGATCCTAAAATTTTGCATAAAACTGTGTATTTATACCCAAAGGTGCTTTTCAAAAGGCACTGAATAGACACTAAAGAACCTTGAAAAAGCTTCTGGGATGAGGAGTGAAACATCTTCAAGGAAAAACAAAGAAAATCCAGTTGCCTTTTGAAAAACACCTTGGGACAACCATGATTTGGATGGCTGAGAATCTCCATTGATTTGCATATTTACACCTTTCTCAATTATCAATGAAGGCAAAGGGAATTTAAAAATAAATAAATAACGTGACTTGTAAGCTGCTGCTTCACAGCCTTCTTATTGCTACCTAGAAGAGTTAAGGGGCTCGCTGGTGAAATGCTGCTACATGAAAAGAATAGCTCAGGGAGATCTGTGTACTTTGCCAATATTTTCTGTAACTTCTAGGATAAACATGCTTGGAAATCTTTAGAAGACTGGCAAGCTCTTTATTTGATAACTTCTTTAAAATATAAAGACAGTTTTGAGTTTAATAGAATAAAAAGGAGGCTTAATTATAAAGCCATGTTAAGTATGGCTACAGAAACTATTCATGTGGTATGTCTACCTTCCTTCTCTTTGTCTAAAATGGATGGAAAAATATTGCAGCCCAGTGCAGAAAATGATTTATTCCCTTGCTGATAACTGAGATCATCCAGCATTCCAGACAGGCAGAGCTAATGGATGACTTAACCCTTACCCATCAGCTGATTACAGGTCCTCAGGAGACAACATAGTTTCATAGGTTGTAGAAAATGTGGAATTGTTTCTGTCTCTTTTTGGTGGCAGTATAATTATGTTCAACAATGAATGTTAAGGAATGAATAGAAGACTCAAAATTAATCTCTATAAATCTTTTTTCTTGGATGACTAGAATTGCAAATAACTGAGTAAAACTTAGTTATCTAGAAATTCTGGAACTTATAAACATTTATTTGAAATCATAGCATGTACAATCAGGATCAGATTGTCTGTGTGTTCTAATTTGAGATAATATTGCATAAAAATTGACAGTGGGCTTATGTAGCTAAAGGCAGGATACAAATAAAATAATAAATTACAATTATAAAATGTGAAAACCAAATATTTCTGTCTTTAGATCACATCGGAGTATAGGTCATACTGATTATAGCATGTAGTTAAAGATGATAAAGTGATAAGCTGCTTGGCTTCTCTTTTGGCAAATATTCTATCAAGTCCACTTTTGTGTAATCTAATTTAAAAATCTTTCCAAAAATCTTAAACCAAGATAGGTCTTATCCATCAATTAAGTTATTCATTGGCTCTTAGCACTGTTTTACTGAAAAAGCAATTTATCAATATTTGCAGTACACTGAGATATGTTTTTATTTCTTTTATTTTTATGCACACAAGGACTATTTAGAAATATCTTTCCTAAATGTGTTTTCCCTTTTTTTCTAAGTACTACTAGTTCAACAGCAAGCAGCTGTGATACAGAGTTCACAAAGGAAGATGAGCAGAGATTGAAGGACTACATTCAACAACTAAAAAATGATAGAGCAGCTATTAAATTAACCATGCTAGAGCTGGAAAGCATCCATATTGACCCCCTCAGTTATGATGTCAAGCCTCGTGGAGACAGCCAAAGATTGGATCTAGAAAACGCTGTACTTATGCAGGAACTCATGGCAATGAAGGTATTTTATGTAATGATGTATCAGGCAAGGCAATCTTGGTATCTTGACTTTAATATATAGCTGCAATGTTTTTATGTAAAATCAATTTATTTTTAAACAACAATTCAACCCAGAACAGTAGTGAACTATAGAACACAAAATAGACATATGTTTTGTATCTAAGATTAAGAATACCTCATTTTATCAGATATAGAATACTGCACGCTAGTTATGCAGATAATTCTGTTGATCTGACCTACTACATTGATATTCTGCTGTCTCCCCCAACAGGAAGAAATGGCAGAACTGAAAGCACAGCTGTACTTGCTAGAAAAAGAGAAGAAAGCTCTCGAGTTGAAGCTGAGCAGTCGAGAAGCTCAGGAACAAGCATATTTGGTCCACATTGAGCACCTAAAGTCAGAAGTAGAAGAGCAAAAAGAACAGAGAATGAGATCTCTCAGCTCAACTAGTAGCAGCAGCAAAGACAAGTCAAGTAAGGTGAGTTACTGTCATTGACTTACAATCATTCTTTTAGTGATTGTTCGAAGTTACAACAACATTGAAAAAAGGGACCAACACTTACAACCATTGCAGCAACCCCATGGTCACATGATTCAAAATTTGGGCACTTGGCAACTGGCATGTATTTATGACAGTTGCACTGTCCTGGGATCATATGATCACCATTTGTAACCTTCCCAACTGGCTTCCAACAAGCAGCGTCAATGGGAAAGCCAGATTTGCTTTACAATCATATGATTCACTTAATAACATCAATGATCTGATTAACAACTGTCATATAAGAAAGGTCTTAAAATGGGGCACAACTCACTTAACAATTATCTTGCTTAGCAATGGAAATGTTGGGCTCAGTTGTGGATATAAGTTGAGGATTCCCTGTATATATTTGGATAGTAAGAGATTAGGCTTATTCAAATTTGTTCCAAAGCAATTATCAAATGCTTGAAGTGGGGAGAATTTTTGTCCTTGAAAACTGTAGGTAATGTTGCATCAATCCTTTTGCTGCAATGGTTGCTAATTCATTATGGATCAATTTAAAATTGTATCTTTGTTTTTTAGTATGGGGAACTACCTATATCCATATGTAGCTATGTATATTTTTAACATTGCAAGTTTGCTTACTGATGTACTTCCAAGGTGCATAAAACTGAGTACTAACAATAGGAGCTTTTCTCTGCTAGTCCCTATTCTGTGATATTCCTTCCCTATAGTACAAAGAGGATTTCGTGCATACTATATTTAAGAGGATTTAAATCCATTTGTGTTGTCTTTTAAGTTTTAATGGTATTTGTGGATAGGTATTTTGAAAGCTGTTTGTATCTTTTACTATTACATGTTTTTTTGTTACATATTATGCTGTTTTTATTTGGAAAGACTATGTCCTTGAGAAAGGTTAAAATGAAGCCGAATGACTGATAGCCTGATGATAAAGATATGTTTTTATGATTACTATAAACTTTAAAATGTGCCTGGATTTATGCAAGGTAATCCTTACCTTGTCTTGGTTTAATTTGCAGGAGTGCACAGATGGCACATCAGCATCATTAACACTAACTGAGCTCAAATCTTACAATGAAAGTGAGCTGACTACAGAATTGGCAAATGCCCTCAGACGGTAAGTGAGATGTGTTCTTTCCCCCACTCCTTTTCCGAACAGAAAGGTGCTAATAAATCTGTGAGTTTATAGCGGCCTTTAAATTACTCAGATGTTCTCACTGTTCTGCAATTATGTCGTTTTTGAAGTATCCATTTTCTCATTTCATATTCTGAAATGCTCATCTGCATGTCCCTCAGGTTTTCACAATATCTATAAACCAGCAGATTAATTATTGCTGTTAATTCTCACAACGTACATGAAAACTCTAGAGGACAAAATAGGTGACTATGCTAATCAAAAATCATGAGGGAGACATGGCAAATTTAGAAATGGCATTCCTGAATTATCTCTGTTAGTTTAGATTCCCCATAAGAATAAGCTGCCAAGTTTTATATTAACAGTAATACTGGAAATAACTAAATGAAAAAAGAGAATATCAGCAGTATTTCCTATCATGCAAATCTTGACAGTTCTCCTAAATTGCTTTCTAATTCTGGCCAGAGCGAAACAATTTAATTATCTTACTACGCTGTGCATTATAGCAGGCAATCCAGTCAACCATTTTATTACCCTTAAGAGCATAAAGGAACTACTTGCCAGCAGTTTGATGCTTTTAACTGTCATGTTGATAACTTTGTCTGTTGCAGCTAGAAGGGTGAGAAAGTAGTTGCCGATATGCTCATACTAATATTGGTATGCCTTGTAACTCCTGTATTGTGACAGCTGCATTGTCACTACAGGTAGTCCTTGTTTAGCAGCTACCTTATTCAATTATTGTCTCTTTACAGGAAGGAGACTCCTGTGCCTGTCAGTTAAGTTTAGGTAGGGAAGAACTGATCCAGATCCTGTCTGGGCATGCAATTTGAAGCAGGGGTCTCCAACCTTGGCAACTTTAAGACTTGTGGACTTCAACTCCCAGAATTCCTCAGCCAGCTTTGGGAGTTGAAGTCCACAAGTCTTAAAGTTGCCAAGGTTGGAGACCCCTGATCTGGAGGGAGGAGCTTAGAATGGGAACTATCGGAAGCATTTCAAGCTGCCTCTCCCATAGAGAAATTTTGGGGATGTTTTTCCTGGATTTTTTTCTCTGTAGGCTTCATATTTTAAATCAGGTTTGTTTTTTGTTTTTTTGCCGACTTCTGCTATCACATCAAATTTGTTCCTATTCTGTTGATGAATGGTCTTGAGCCCCTTCTATACTTTCTGTATAATATTGGTTTAGGTTGAAAATAATAAAAGAAGTGGTAGGATTAGAAGAGATGTCAGCTGGAATCAAAATAGGCTGAGATGTTAAGAGCTTGAATATGTATATAACACCATTGTTAGCCTTATGGAAATAAAAATAGAAAGTAAAACTCTTGGATTAATAAGAAGACAGACATAATATCAGTCAGTAAGCTTACTGACTCCTTAGTACCATGGTCTGCAAGAAGAACCAACCATTTAGACCAAAACTGATTCTTCCCTTGTTTTGCTTGTTTAGCAATGGAACCCTTAATATGATAGATAATAGTTTTTCTTTTTAAAAAAAAACAACCTACTATGCTTGGCAAGGTTATAGAAAGTAGGAGAAGAAACCAACGATTAAGATAGATGGAGAAGATCAAAGAATCTACTGGAATATTCTTGGAAGGGCTGAGTGAAGTCTAATTCAGTGGCACTTTGAACAGTCCCCAGTCTATTGCAGTGTCTTTGGTACTTGCAATGGAGGGCCATGCAGCCTGTTCAGGAATTAGGGAAGACTGTTAGAAATCTAACTCTTTTTGTGACCAAGACCTGCTTTCCTTGCAAGCAAAGAAAACATAGTTATAGCAATATACATATTCTAACTTATCCTAATGTATGTATCCATTGTGTCAAAAAATGGTCTATGGATCGTCTGTTTCCTTTTCTGATGTTCAGGGTTGCTGCAGTGTGTTTGCGCTTATCTAAATAGTATTGTTACACAGCTTCTCTCATGGGAAGTATTTAGACATTAAATTATAAGATTCTGCACCTCCAAACCATCTATACCAGATCACAACATCCCCAAATTTGAGAATAGGTGCTTTGTAAAATAATTGATAGTACCTCTTGCCTATCCTAAAATAATAGTATGTACTAAAAATAAGATTATTTTGGCATGAGTGTTAAATATAACATTGTTTCTTGAGAACAAGTAGGCTTTCTTCCACAGTCTTAGATGAGAGATGCAGGCTTTGGTGTTTCTTTTTTATATATTGGGCTTTATAAATTCACTAACAGGTCAGGAGCACAGAAGAGCAGTTACTCCACAGGGAAGAGGAATGAGCAAAATATCCTATAGGGAACAATAATACATAGGCAGAATGGAGAGTAAAATGATCTAACAGAGACCATTTTTTTAGGAAGGGAAAAGGGTTATTGTATCATATTTCTAGGATTCTATTAAAAATGCATGAGAGAAGGAATGGATTAAAAACCTTTGAAACAGATAAGACTAAGGGACCTCTCTATCCATGTTACACACAGTTGTGTATGAGACAGTATGTTTCATTTTAAAAAGCTACTCAATACTACAATTAAAGAATTTAGCAACCAGATATACAGTACAATAGTTCTCAATTTTAGTTCTGCAGGTCAGATCTCAGAATGCTGAAAAATTCTATTTAACTAGCATGTTCTTGTACAGAAAAACTAAAGCAATTGAAATCCTGAATCAAATTTGAAAATAATGTTGCCCTACTTTAGCAATCTCACCCTGCTGCCAGCCAGGGATCATGCTAACCTGCCTTCCATGCATGAAAAGGTTTGGCAAGGTTATAGAAAGTAGGAGAAGAAGCCAACGGTTAAGATAGATGGAGAAGGTCAAAGAATCTACTGGAATATTCTTGGAAGGGCTACTTGGCACCCAGGTTCAAAAGTTCTACTGCAAATTTCCACCCACAGAAGCTTCTGCTTATCCTGGTTTTGCTTACCTTTGCAAAGAGCCAACACCAACCTGCAAGTCTTTCCGCGAAGGCTCACTGCTGCTTTAAAGCAGCTCTCCGGTCTTTGCACCATGGAGGCAAGGCAGAAGCAAGTGGTAACTGGATATGTGGAAACACTTTTGGAGTGACCACAGCTGCAGTTCCATTCTCTCTCTGGTTCCGGGGTATTCTGTGGACTCGTGCTTTGAGAGTTCCTGCCCCCAAAGCAGCCCCATGGGATGGATCTGCCCAGGGGAAGGAAGCACTGCCACTGCTCAGGGTCCCTGTGGCAGTTTGGCTGAACTGGCCAAGACTTGGGCAGGAGAGCTTTGCAGGGCTTTGGCCATAGGATAGATTGCATCTCCCAGACCAGGCTAGGGTTGGGTTGGGGGGGCGCGGGAGGAAGGCAAAGACGATGAAGAAGGTCAGCTGGCAGTAGTAGCATAGTCCTCAGGCTTCTTCATCTGTGGAAATGCTATGCAGGGTGCCAAAAAGGCAAAGATGGGGAAGGAGAGTTGGGGGGGTGGAGACTCAAGGGCTTTTGTTAATATTAGATTGATGATTGGCCACAATAAAAAGCTGAAATCAAGGGATGAAATTTAAGGCTACCTCACAAATTTCTTTTTTTCAACTACAAGCTAATTTGTAAATAAAAAGTATGTTGAGTAGCTTTTAATTCTCCATTGAAAGGAAAGAAGTTACTTACTGATGAATTCTGATGTCAGTTTACCGGTAGTTCATCTTTAACAACTGCCTCATACAGTGACTGTGTGCAATTAATATGGTGATGAAAAATAAATGACACAAAAATGAGACCTATACAGCTCGGTAAAGCAAAGGAAAGTTGAAGTAAAATCACATGCACAGTCATGTTCAGTTAGCAATTGCTTAACAAATGAATTGTGGGCTCCAATTATGATTGCTGAACAAGGACTACCTGTGTATATCACTTTTCCATCATAAAAATATTTTGGTGCCTTTCACAAATTAAACAGCATATGATTTTTTTTATAACATAAAAACTTTGATTCCACTTGTAAAACATTAACAGAAGTCTCTACTCATTAGCAAAGGATAAGGAGAACTAAATTTGAGTAGCAGTAAATTAATAAAAAATGTAATTAAGTATAAAAAGATAAAAAGCATTATGTAGAAAGATAGGTCAAAAATTGAAATAATCCGGCATTCCTTTCCTAAGAACAATTATAGGGTACGCATGAAGAATTTATAAAATATAAAATTGAATATTTATATTGTTTTTGGACTGTAGATTGATTCCCAAGTAATATAAAAAAGGATGTCATTAATGGAAATGATGCTCCTTATAGTTACATGCAAATTCCCATTAATATTAGTATTACTTTTTAAATTCCTTTCATCGTTTTTGTTAACTGCTACTTGTCAGAGCAGGGCTTGGAAGGGGATCCTGGCCAGATTATTTCCAGACACCTTTAATTTCTAGCATTTTGAGGAACTGGTGGCAAATATGTCTGTGACCCTAGAGAGATCCTGCCCACTGGTGATGATTCTGAGCTTAAATGGACCTGTTTCAGTGTAGTGCAGTTTCTCTGTTCAGTGTGGCTATAGATAATCTCTTCAGATACTGATTTGAACAAACAGCTAGTACAGCTCTACTTTGTACTTTTTCTGACCTCCATGTGTTCAGCCAGGAGTTATGGAAAAGAGTTATATTTATGTTGGCTTGAATAGTCATAAAAGCTCTTGGCATGATCTGGATGCCGAATGAAGCAAAGTACCAGATTCCATTGATAGCTGTATTTGGTTTCAATCCAACGCAAGCACAGGATCCTTCAGCCTCCTTATTGAATTCTTGAAAGCATTGTATCCTTTAGTAATACGTGCAGAAGCTACTCCTTAGAAGTAGCTCTCCTGCTATTCTTCCAAATCTGCCATATGTGCTATTAAGCCATGGATTAAACCCTGCCCTTCAGTTAAATTAGATCAGTCTCTGACTCAGATAAGATAGAGTGTTTTTTAGTCTGCCTCGTTCTCTCTAATTTCATTAATAGAGGTTCACCTCCTTAGCAAACTTGCTTTACAGGTTGATTAGTGATGACAATATTGTTGAAGAAGCATTCCTTTAAAATATCGGTTGCTCAACTAGAAAGGGCTTGTTTTTGGCATTGTAGACAGTGCCACCCGGAGGCCAGATTAAGGCTGCAGTTGTAAATGAAAAGTTAACAGATAATGTTGTACAAACAGTAAATTGTACTGGCTCTTTGATAGTGATGGGGGTTCATAGACTTTTTTTCAGTATTGTTGCTCTGCTATCTTCTTGTAGCCATTCATCGTTACAAATCAAAGTTTTTAAAGAAAAAAAGATAATTACAATAAGAAAGTAATTTGAATGCTATCTTTTAATAAGTTTAGGACCAAGCTTTTATTTCATTTTGACAAAGAAGTTATATTTTTTGGCATTTTCATAGAAACTGGACAGTATTGTTAATCCTAATGGCAATTTTCATCTTTCACAAGAGGTATTTATAGTAAAAGGTTTTGTATACATCTTGAACTATAAGAACTCTCCAAAACTGACTCCATGCTGGTATTTGTACTGTGCCTGTTGATGATTCAGATACAATGATTAGTGTGTGACAGAAGACAGGCAAAATACTTCTCTGTCAAGCAACCATATCATCTTTCAGGTTTGTATGGAAGTCAAACTAAAAATGTAGTTGCTTTAAAGAGGGGCCTGCTTGCCCTCCCACACTTTGTGAAGCGCCTCTTAGCTAGAGATAGAAAACTAGGTACATACTTGTCAAGTCTGACTTGCTTAGTTTCATAAGAATATGGGTTGGCCATCTTGGAATTGCTGTACAACAAAAGCCATAGTAGAAGGCATTGAGAGCCAGTGTGATGTACAGGTTAAGATGCAGGACTGGCATCTTAAACCAATGCCACCTTTATCTCAGTAGCCCACTCATTGCCTTTAGGCAAGTCATTCTCTCCCAGCCCAACTTGCCTTGCAGGGCTGTTGGGAAGAATAGGAAGAGACAGCAGCATATCCACCATTTTGAGCTCTTGAATAAAAAAGTGGGATATAAATACAAAATATATTTGGATCCCCCCTTCTGATATTCAGCAGATGCCTCCCCGCTAGTCTTCTGAAAAGCCTTGTAGATCTGGCGTTTTCCACAAGCCTTTGTGATGTTGTGTGGTCTGGGCCAAGAAAGGTTGTTTGTTGGATGTGATGGTTGTATTGCTTTGGGGATGCTGGCTTTTACATGTATTGTTTATAAGCTGTCCAGGGTTGTGCTACATACATGGCTAGCCACATAAATCTTATTAATTTTCCTAAGATAAGGGCATACTTTTACAGCCAATTTTACCAGTTAATAGAAAAGCAATTGTGTTAATAAATTGGTAATAGTATGTAATAGCAATAGCATCTTCCATACTGAAACAGCCTTGGAGTGACTCATTAAGAGTCCCGCTTGTGAATATCATTTGGACTCAGTATGGGCAACCCTCCAGCAGCATAGTCACTTGCAACAATATTATTGTTGTTATATAATAGTATTGAGATCTGCATCACAGGAAAATGGTCCATGCTGTCACCCCTTTATGCAACTCAAACCTCAGTCAACAAGTTAATTAACATACAAACACCACCAGTATTGCTGTGGGTTTCATGCTGTCAGAATAATCCATGTCGCTCAGATTGCAGATGATAAATAATATTTTGTTCAACTTATTTGCCCTGAGTACATCATTTGCTTTGTACTTTCCAGAGAAAAGAAACTGAAAGGCAGAGTGCAAGAGTTGGTGAGTGCCTTAGAAAGACTAACTAAGAGCAGCGAAATTCGGCATCAGCAATCTGCAGAGTTTGTTAATGACTTGAAAAGAGCAAACAGGTAATGAGTTCCTCCAGTCAATGGCAACATACTGTATACTGAGCTAAATTCACATGTTTTTTGTTACACTTGCTATGAATCACTATATGGAATATACATGACTGTCAATGTATTAGCAGAGTGTTGGATTTAAGATTCAGAGCAGAGCTGTGTTGCCAGCTGGGATTGAAAAATTGGTGTGGGGATCCCGCCCAGTATGTCAGCAAGTCAATAACCATTTAAGATGCTGCCAATCAGAATGGATGTGTAGATATGTCTACCTTGACCTATGTTTTCTATGTGTTTCCATAGTAACCTTGTGGCTGCCTATGAGAAAGCAAAGAAGAAGCACCAAAACAAGCTGAAGAAACTGGAATCCCAGATGATGGCAATGGTGGAAAGACATGAGACTCAAGTTAGGATGCTCAAACAAAGAATTGCTTTGCTGGAAGAGGAGAACTCAAGACCCCATACCAATGAAACATCCCTTTAAGAGAGATTAGTTTTCTTTAAATCAATGTGCCATTACAAAAATGACTTTTTACAAGACTCATTGAGATAGTAAACACAGTTGTGAATTGATACAAACCAGGCAATGTTGGAGATCAATACCTCATAGTGAGATTGCAACTTCAACAATACACAGCCATGGGCAGGAGCCCCCAAACTAATGTTTTTGTATAATTGAGCATACTCAGTGCCTGATGGTAAATGTATCAGTTTATCACATTTCCAATGTAATAGTTTTACTGATATTATTACAGATTCTCTTATAAATTTCGAATTTGTATGAGTAAAGTATAATCCTCTTCTCTTAATTGTTGAACGCTCTCTTTGGAGTCTACCATAACAATGAAGTAATGCTGGAACACCAATGCACTCATAGCTATCATTTGGATAATAGCATTTCTTTTCCCATTTTCTTTTCCCATTGTCGGTCATTCTGCATTCCCCCTTACAATGTAAAGCAGGTATCTGATGCCAGCCTCTAGGTGCACAACAGATCAAGCGTACAATTAGATTTTACTTGCTTTTTCAAGTGATGGAAAATCACAATAAGTACTGCACATATATAGTTATTGTAGTGATGGTGTAAGTTGCTAAATAGCTGTTGTAATTCAAATCAAAAGGAAGATGTAGTGGAAAGGTGATTTTAAATTGGGCTTTTGAAGACTAAATTAGTTCTAGCTTTTTGCTTCTCATTAAATAGCAGTAAGAATATGGGCAATGGAAGAATTTTATGTCAAACCAACTGGAAAAACTTCTTTGACACTATAACTATTTTTCTGTCTGATACTGTAGTGCCATTTTTAGGATGTGCCCACTGAAAATGCCCCAGAATTACCCTGTTGCATGGTTTGGTAAACCTGCAGTTTGCCATATCAGTCACTCATGGGAATAGAATCCATGGTAATTCTGAGACTAACCATCTAGTGCAGTATTTCTCAAATATGGCAATTCTAAGATATGTGGACTTCATCTCCCAGAATTCATCAGTTTGGGAAACACTGATCTATTATCTAAAGACAAGCTATTTCACTGCTGCTATCCGTCACAAATAAGAGGTTGTTCTTAATTTGTAGCAGTTAGGCATTTATAAAAGAGACGATGGAGTATATTGCTGGACAATATTTAATCCTTTGCACTCCGTATATAAATTACATGGGTGTTGCAAAATATTCTAGAATGGTGTATATGGGGCAAGATCCACAAAACTAACTACAATGCAGCTATTTAGTTCCAAAATAACAATATTCCACATTGCTCATTTTACTTTTTTTATTTTCAGATTGAAACCAGCATAAAATGTTAAGGAATGTGCCTGAGTAAATGAATGTAAATGTACTTCCAAAAATGTTTTGGGAACATTAATTTCCAGAGGGATCAGTTATGATGCTAATACTGTCCATGTAGCTCAGTAAACCATATCAATTAGAAGAGAATGCATATTATGTCCCTTAAATTTTAAAGCCTTTTTAAATTGAAATATCTTTCTATTCTATTTTTCTTTTGTGATATAGCATAAGCCCAGCAATAATTCTTTTTTCTTTAGTCTGCTGTATAGATGTCATTGGACATTAATCTTTTAAGGATAATCCTCCATCATGGCAGATGCCGTGCTGTGGTGCCTTCCTTTTAGAATGCTTTCTCCTTGTACTAATTCTTGGAAAGACTACAATAAGACCAATAGTCCTATCAATCTCTTCTTAGTCTTTTGAGTGTTCTTTCACATTTAATCTTTGTAGGCAATTTAATACCTTTTTCAATCAAACTGAAATTTTTCTTACTCTTCTCTTTTATAGTGAAGATCAGCACCTAACCATATTTTCAAATGAACCAAGTTAGCTAGACCTAACCTGCATTGTTTTATTAGGATTACTTAGAAACATTAAATTATCCCAACTTGGAGTTGTCCAAAATAAGAACCATGTATTTCTTTTCAACCATTATTGAAAATAAACCCTGTGCATTTGAATTTGGCATAGACAGAACATTCCAGATTGCCCTTTCCAAAAGTGGAGTTTTAAAAAATGCACAATGTCCTATCCCTTGTTCCTGTACCATGCAGTCTTCTAAACACTTGCCTCATGAGTATCTGAGCTGATCTCTATGACAGGTTTGGGAAGGAAAGGATAGGGAAGAAAAACATCCCCTGAAGCTAGCATTGATTAATTCCATCTTTTTCATCCAATAGAGGAAAATGGCCTTCTGATCATGACAAATGTTGACTGTGATATCCTTCACCCATGATTCTCCCCAGCTTCATGTAATACCCAGGGTATTGCTCTGCAACTTATTCACATTAGGCTTCATTTGGCTTCAGTTTTCTTGCCTTTTTTCTGCTTGACATTTTTCAACATAGTACATCTGTTTTACAACAAATGCTATGATATTTAGGCAAAACTGCACCAATTCCATTATCTAAGTAAATCAGATATTTATAAGCAAGATTTTTCATGGAGAATATAGTAAAAAGTGAGGGGAATTGATCTCTGGTTCCTTTTTTCTTCACAAATTGTAAACCACAAGATTACTGAAAAGATTACTCATTCCCATTTTAAAATTTCTTATTGCATGATTTAGCATTTTTTGTACTAGTATTTTATCATTGTACTTAGGATAGTCTAATTATCTCAAATCATTCTGGGTTTTGTTTTTGGATTAGCAATAATTCTTATTAGAAATTGCTAATTTGAAGAATACCTACTTCTGGTACATGGATGTAATTTATTTGATTCACTTTTTTTCTTTCTACTGTAGTTAAGAAATCTTCAGAATTGTACTGTGAACTACATTATACATTCCATATTTTACTTACAATTCTTAACCTATTTTAACTGACATGCCATTCAGCTGTTTTCCCATAAGGTATGGTTCAAAACACTTTTTAAAATAAGGTGAGACTTGTAACAAGGAAATACAAATCTGAAATTTGAAGGTTCTACTGCCACTGTGGAGGATGGCTTGCTGCAGCTTAATCATGTAAATGCTTAGAAATGCATACTGAATACTATACATCAAGCTTTTCAAAATATATTTGTTTCAAAATTGTCTTATTTTCAGCTTGTGTACCACATCGAACTATATTTATGGAAGCTGAATTTGTATATTGAGTATAATGCTTAAATTGAAGAAAAATAATAGCTAAGGCTATATAGTTCACATCAAGTCGGCTGCATCTATGGAAAGGGAGTAAATAGTCTGAACAAAAGATCTGTAACTTAGTACTTTTTCACTTCCATTCTTTAGAAATCATTTTTCAGCCAATAAAAGAGAAGCAAAAGGAGCTTTAGTTATCTGACTTCACAGAATCCTTTACACTTTTTGTCCCCGATATTGCCAAGCACATTAAACACTATAGTAATGTAGGCAAGCTTGGAAACAGTTTGCATTTATGTCAGCTAAGAAGAAATAACAAATCAATTGCAACTAAATAAGGATTGGTATGTCTTGGCCTGCACCTAACTCCTCATTCCCTAGAACTTCCCTACACCTGCCTTCTAATACAATTAATACAATTCAGTATTTAAAATCCTGCACATTTTCCTAATGAATATGTGAAGAACTAGGTGGCAACATGCGTATAGGATGGGGAAAATGAAATTTATGTACATTCCTGGGTTCAGCTTAGCACAAGGTTGGGCTAGTAGACCTACAAGGTCCTTTCCGGCCCTAGGATTCTATGATTCAATTGGAGTTCAGATGAATCCCAGCAAAGCTACAGCAAATAATAATCAGAATAACAGGAATACATTGATCAACTGATGTGGCCTTCATTTCCCAACTTTACCGCATCAAAACTTTCTGCCAAACTAAGCAAATCAGCCAGGAAGCTAATCTTTGATCAGCATAGCTGTAATTGCATGTTTGAAGGTTAACCACTGAGAGCTCCTGTAGATATTAGAGCGCCTCCGTATACCAATAACTTCTTCCAGCAGACTTTTTTTTATTGTGTTGCTCATTTCCTGCACAGGCATGCATTTATTTTCCTCCCTCTCTGCTCTAGGGCTATTGTCATCCTTTGACATAGATAATAGAACACTCTGGCAGGTTTTTCTGGATTTTACTGCTTTTGATACCGGTTGTAACATTTTCTAACGGCCTTATCTAGGCTTTTATTTTATCCAGTTGATGGTGTCAGATTCTTTTGATTCCAATATCTGTTACAAGAGCTAACTACTTTTTATCTGTTCTCTTGCTGGCGGGATAGAAAACATTATGTAGATTGACTGAAGTGGTGCATAATCTTGTTCTGAATATTAAATGCCAAGGATTGATGACCCCGCTAACCATTAAACGTAAGAAATCACTTTGAATTTTCTTATGAAATGTTCTTACAAAATATGTGTTTGCAACTTCAAGGCAACATCCTTAAGCAAAGCTATCACATTTTTATCCCAAAATAAAGTAATAGCTTTAGTATCCTAACAAATATCTTCAGGTAAACCCACTTGGGTGAGAAGATATAGTTCATTACATGTAGTTCTTGCATTAAATCTTTGGCTGCATTTTTTTTTTTTACAATTTTCTTGATATCGGAATAGAATTTGGGTGGCTATAACAAAAAAATCTACAGTAACCAAATATGAGAATGTCAATAAAACTAGTTTTAATTTGCATGTAGATTATAGAAGAATGCTGGTTAATTTGGAAATGGCAACATAGAGGCCAATAGCATGAATCATCCTGATCTAGTTTGGCAGTTCGTTTCCATAGTCTTGCTCTGAAAACAAGAGTCAGCTTGTAAGTGTTGCTAACGAATAATTTGATCAGGATAGACATAGATAAAATATACTGACTAGCTTCTCTGTCCCTACAGGCAAAAGTGATTGTCAGCACACATAAAATAAAACCATTACTCCATATCCCAGTAGAGTTATGAAAGAATGTTAATTTAAAACAGTTCACTACAAGCCATCATGGTATTTCATTCCAAATTTGGCAATGGCAGCATAGATTCAACAAGCATCAAAAGGCTTTTGAGTTATCTACCCAGTCTAGTTTCAGTGCTTTGACATACTTGGTTTGAGCGTGTTACTGGCTCTGAATAAGAAATAACTGAATTATATTTAGTATGAATTTTTTTTAAAAATACTCAAATTGGATCAACTGGAAGCACTGCATTTGGATTGAAACAATTCACACGACTAACAGATGGCAGCAAGAGATACTGAAAGTTTAACTGCCATCTAGTTATCTGGATTTTTGCCAGAGATATGGTAGCCCTATTGTAAAGGTAAAGGTTTCCCTTTACCTTTGTGCAGTCATGTCCGACTCTAGGGCATGGGGTTCATCTCTATTTCTTGGCTAAGGGAGCCAGCATTGTCCTAAGATGTTTTCTGTGGTCTTGTGGCCAGTATGGCTATACGCCAAAGGCACACAATGCTGTTACTTTCCCACCAAAGTGGTACCTATTAATCTACTCACATTTGCATGCTTTCCACCTGCTAGGTGGACAGGAGAGCCCTAATTTTAATTTATACAAATTGATTCCTTGAATTGATGGGTTTTCAGCCAGCAGAGGATAATGCCAAAAGAAAAGAATGCAGAATCTTGCCATTTTCTTCCTGCAGTTCCCAAATGTCAGTGAGATAAGAGAAATCTGCACCTCCTCCAGCATTCCATCAGTGGCGTTACCTGAGCAAAAACTTTCAGATGCATCTAGTATCTTGGTTTTGCTAAAGTGGGCACACATGCTAGAATAGATTCACCATCGTAGTACACAGTTAATATTCATTCTGTCTATTAAGCAAAAGCTAATTTCATGATGTAACTTACACTGTTAAAACAGGCTTCTAGAAATTGGTGCATCTGACATATTGTGCAGAATGTTATTTGTTACTTTTCAAGGCATGATTTTTACACCAGCTTGAATGTATTGTTATTTACAAAACAAGCACATTTTAAATTAAATGTCAGTATTGTTCCTGTTTATATTGACAATTTTTTGTTGAAAAACCACCATTTTCATTGGGTTTTCTCATTCTAAGTTTTTTTAGATGCTGTAAAATAGCCATTTGTGTTTATTTGATACAGAATTGTACAAACTGTAGTTATTTATACAGAGACATTTATAACACTTTTATAAATGTTCTTATATTCTGAATAAAAATTTAATGCTGAAAAGGCATTCAATCTTCTTTCTTACAGATTATGTATTCATGTATTTTGCTCATTTTTGTAAAAAGCCCTGGATTGGGGAAGGGAGGGGGGGCTAAAATGTTTCTCAAGCTGAAGCTATTCTATGTGTAGGAATATTTTATAGCAAGGGTCTCCAACCCCTGAGCCATGGCCCAGTGTTGGGCTGCAGGAGTCGTGGGTGAGTGCATGCATGCAAAGCTGCATTTGTGAAAGCGACGTGCACGTGCACAGAAAACCATCCCATCTCCCCCTTACCCCACCACCACCAGTTCGAAAATGTTGGAGACTGCTGTTATATAGCTCTCTTTTCCATACCACTTGGAATGTTTTCTATACCACCATCTCCCAATCTTAGGCTATTCTGACTATGCAGACTTCAGTGCTGGCTTGGGAATTTTGAGCTGGAGGATATCCAATTTAAGATTACCTTCCATTTTACATTTGTTTATATGACAGTTATGACTGAAAATTGTTTAATGTCATATAAGAATCGTGCACAATCAATGTATTTCTTATATAACAAAACTCATCACTTTAGAAATGTATTTAGCCACTAAGTATAGAATATGGCACTTTTTAAAACCAATACCGGATAAATGCTTGAAAAAATAGCTTCCATTGTATATCTTTATTGCAAAATATGCTATCTTCCTGTTGAGCAGAAAGGCATCCTGCAATCAAGAATAAGAAAGTTATCCAGGAAAATTATTCAGAAAATAATCCAGGAAATTTCTGAGCAAGTTCAGCTAAATGTAGTAACATTATAGTTGTTTCTTTTCAAAATACATCTTGGTGAACACACAAAACCATACACATTAGATACTTGGCATCTGATTATATTTTAAAGACGATTTTGATTTATTTTAAAAATATAAATGGAAAACATATAAGAAGATCCAGGAAGTAATAAAGACACTGATGGCATTGCAACCTAGAGGGCAAGATGCTTGAGAAGGATGGTTTACAATTTAAATACTGCTATCATTTAATATATGTTAATGTATGTAAATGTTAGTTGCAGCTTCTATGCAATATGTCAGTTATAAAGTCCAAGCAACGTACTACAGTCTTGCAGTTCAGAAACATAGTATTTCAAATTATTTGTTACCACAAGTCCCATTCTTATAGTTGTTTCTTTTCAAAATACAAATTATCTTGGTGAACATACAAAACCATACACATTAGATACTTGGCATCTGATTATATTTCAAAGACAATCTTGCTTTATTTTAAAAATATAAATGGAAAAAAATTCTATCCTCTAACATATAATAGAAGAAATACTCTGCTAACCAACCCCCCTGTTCCTCATTTTGGTCAGGACCAAACTTTCTTGCTGTTAAAAATGGTAAAACAACAAAAATTAATGATTGCAAAAATCTGCAGTGTCCATTGCCTCAAATCTTCCATAGGTCTAAAGATATTTAAACCAAAAATATTAGATTACTGTGAAATAATAATCCAAATTCCCAAATGGGTTCTTATTACCCACTACTACTGCATTTTCGGTTATAATTTTAATTGCCATCTCATCAAAAACAAGCTATTACTATTGCAGTGTTATTCTTTTATATGATATAACAGTGAATATTAACAATTGCTTTATTTAAAAACAAAAACACCTTAGCATGTTTGAGAGACCACTCACTACCATGAATTAAGATTGATCTTTAAAGAATAAACTATGATTTTAAAAAAACTAATTTGGACATCAAATTTATATTTCCACTGATATATCTGCCATTATAGAAAGATTTTTACATTTTCTAGAAATAAGCCACAATGCATACTGAATATTCATTTTACGACACTGGACTACTTAACTGACTTACCAATAGAAAAAATGATTTTACAACATTTTACAATATGTTGCAAAAAGCTATTTTTTACACAACATTAAATTACATTAACAAAACAACTTCAGAAAAACTCATTTCAAAACAGGACTCCAAAATGCAGTTTATTTTTCTAAACTTACAGGTTCGTTTTAGTTCTCATTTATGATGTTTCTTAACCAAATAATAATTACTTTTATCACACCAAAAAGCTTGTATGTGTCCAGCAGTATTTTCATCCACCTCCACCCCCCACACACACATACAAAACTGCATTAGAAATTTTTTTCACATAAAAAATTACTTTGGAAACATCCCTTGGTTTAAAAAATGACTGCCATCTAATATGCGATATTGTTGCTTAAGGAAAGTCCAAAATCTCCTTGAACATACGGAACAAGTGAAAGATGAATCCTGATCGCTGAAGGAAAAGACTGATTCTCTGGTGATACTAAAAGCTGGATGTGTACTTCAAAACCCATTAAGAACCAGGTAAGAAAAATGGGATCTTCTTGCATCGTTTCTGACAAACATACTTGGAGGAACTAATGAAATGTATACTGAATATAAGCATTGGGGATATTTTGCATCCATCAGTGTTTTCAGCATATAGTAGCAGTTTAAGTCAAATTCCTGCTTCTGGAAAAAGAATACCGCATTTCGGTTTTAGTAATAGGCAGCTTTCCTGTAAGGAAGCCTTCACAGTGCACATGATTAAACATACGTGTAAGAATTCAAATATAAGAAAGCAGGAGCAGAACATCTGAACTGAGTGCTTCATGATTAATAGCTACAAAAATATCCATGTTCCACACACTTGAACTAGCATAGAAAAATCAAAATCTACACATCTAACCAGAAAAAGCTCACAAAATGTTTGATCTGAAATTTAAAATAGCATCTGAGGCAACACTGCTACCAGACAGAAAGAATGTCATTGATCAATTTCAGGCAGGCAGCAATGAAAAACCAAAGAGAGGCACTTACATTATCCATCACCTCTAGATTAAAAATGTCAAAAGCTGCTTTAAGCACATATTCATTAACTCATTCAGCACTTGCTACTTTGTGATAATAAGCAAAAACTGGGTAAAAGGTTATATTAATACATAACTTGACAGTGTGATAGATACATTATATATTGGACAGCCTTGGAAACAAAATCTAAGTTTAAATTGAAACAAACATGCACAATTGTAAAACAAATCTATTAAAATTCTGCGTAAATTTAGCCTATAAATCCAGGAAAAAAATGAAGAACAATTGAAGCGGGAATATTTCTTTCAATCTGTTTTCTCTGAACATTTCAGAAGCATCTAAAGAAAGATACGAAACTTCATGCCACACAAAATATATCCCTAACAGAATAGACAAAGGTTAAGAACAAAACAAAACCTTTACTAAGAATACACATAGAAATACTCCCCAAAGATGATTTTACAGTCTATGTTTTTATAGCAGACTTAACTTGATTTAAGATCAAGTTAAGTCTGCTATAAAAACAAGATTCAAGTGGACATACTTAATAATTCAATTAAGTGACAAATTACTAATTGCCATGCCCTCTGCTAAACAGCAGTGCAGAATCCAACAGTCAAACAGTATTTTTTTTTTATGGAGATGAGTTCAGACTCATTCACAGATCATTTATTTTTCATCCTTTAAAATGCCCCATTAGAGAACCAAAAATCAGTTACAGCCAATGAATTGTCTTTTCTTCACTGATATATAGAAACCTAAGAAAACCATATGCCTGCATTTTAGAATATGTGAGTATAATATTTAAGCTCTTTGCAAAAAATAAAAACATAATTACTAACTGAAGAGGTAAACAATCTGAAACGTTCACAGTGCAGGGCACCCAGGAACTATTATATTATTGTCCATACTTTAAGACATGATAAGGTCAAATTAAAGAATACAGCCATGTACAATATCTGGTAAAAGTGATAATTATTGCACATGTATGTTAATTTGCCACCTGTATAAGGCTAGGTTAATAACCAAAATTAGTCTTAGAGTCTCTAGGAAGCCCTCAATAAAGTAGTAGTCAGACACTGGATTCTCTTAAGAAATTATTATCTGCAAAACAGAAAACATTTTCTATATTCAAAAGGAAAGAAATGTGTGCCCTAGAAAAGTTACTTTACCTAGGAAAATTAATCTCACATTGCTAGAATTTCACTTAAGCACCTCATATTCAAAATATACGTAACTGTGCCAAAGTTCCTTATTAATGGCACCACACAAAGGAAGCAGCATAAAACAGTAACATTCCTGGAACTCAAGGTACACATCAGAAGAATATTGGCACTAGCAGCCTGAAAATCCAATTTTCAGTGATTGAGAAGTTAGCAAATTAGGCACTTTTATTACTACAAGAGTCAACCTGCATTAAATACTGACCAAAAAATTATTTTCACAGATGAAGATTAAACAAAAGAATATGGCATCTTTGTCACCAGTTTGTCAACTATATTACTTTTAACAGATATCCAATTAACTTCATGTTATGAATAAATGCTGGATGCAGTAAGCAGGCATATAGCCACTAGGTTAGTCTGTAATTCAATTATTTGCAAAATGATCAATAAAGAAAACTGAACTTACTTGGGAATTAATCTGCACCTATTTTGCTGTTATGAAGAAGAGGCTTACGATACGATAGTTATATATCAATTTCAGTGTATGATCCTTTAACAAGGGAAGCTGTATATTGCAGGAATTTTGCATGCAAATGGGCTTTCAAGCCTATTCTAGTTAAATTTCAGAAACCTCAGTGAATACTGTGAATCCAAACTGTCACAGTAAGGCTAGAGCACTGAGGAAACAAAATTCAATAGCAGTTTTTATACAATCCGTATGTACACACATTCCATCAGTGCATTTTGGGCTAGGACTATAAGTTCAGGTTTTATTGCTTGTTGCTATTCCGTTCCATATTTTCAGTGAAGTAGCACAAAGTGTTTTTGAGCTATTACTCTGAAATCAAACTCAATTTTAAGTCAGACCAAAATACTGAAATAAAATGATAGAAACCTAGTGAGCAGTACAAACAAAAGCCCTTGTGGTTGTTTGAAGGAAGGGATTAGCCTAGGGTGGGGGTGCCCTTTTGCCAACAATTCCATTACTGTGGAAACCCTTCTGAGTTAACTGGTGGTGTTTCTATAGCCAGTAAATGCACAGTCTCAACATATGGTGTTCTGAGGGGGGAGGGAAGAACCAATTTTGGATAAAATGGATTCAATGATGCTCCTTTTTCCTGATTCAGGTTGTCTGTTCTGCCAACGTGAAGCTGGTATAGTTAATTCCCTCTTGTACTACTTTTAGGAGATTTTAAACTCTACAGTTCCATTAGACTAGAAAGCCTCCTCAGACCATCCATGAAACTTCTGCCATAGGCAGTATAACTAATAGGGCTTTGAGACTGGCTAGAGCAGGGGTCTTAAACTCAATTTCATTGAGGGCCACATCAGGATTGTGTTTGACCTTGTGGGGCTGGGGTGGGCGTGGCCAGCTTATCGGGGGCACCTGTGGTGGCCCAAGCACTCCCAAACTCCGTTTTCAGCTGCGACAGCCTCTTGCAATCCTCTACCAGCAAAAATGGAGCTTGGGAGGGCTGCCCGCAGCCCTCCCGAGCTCCGTTTTTGCTGGCAGAGGCACCGCGGGCCAATTCTTCACTGTTTCCAGAGCGGCCTAGTGGGCCAGATCAAAGCACCCTGCAGGCCGTATCTGGCCCCCAGGGCCTGAGTTTGACACCCCTGGGCTAGAGTATTTTTTCCTTAGTTTGGATCCCACAGAAGCTATAAGCCACGTAGTTTCATACAATGTTTTTTTCTTTGTACTACTTCCAAAACTAATTTGTTCTATCTGTTACAATTATCTCCCTAAACATACATTTTCATATTTTATTTTTCAAAATACCTGCAATTCTGGTTGGAGACAGTTTTAGACATTTCACACATGGGGAACAGTAAAAGTTATATTAGACACATTCCAATATCACCATCATCTTCTCACTGGAGCTGAAACAATGGAACTACTGAACAGAAAGTAAGATAAAATATCACACTAGTAATACAATTTTAAATCATGCCTATATTTTAAAAAAGTTCCAATACAGTGCAACAATGAAGATGTGGAAAATAAATTGATTTGAATGATATAAGATCCCAAGCAGAACGATTCTCTCAGAACAAAAGGTTTCAACATTCTGAATCATAAAATACCTAGCTCCTTGCTCAGTACAGAATATTGTTTTCTTCAGAAAATCTGTATGTGTTTTCAGCAGCTGTACCGCAAAGTATCACAAATAAAACCATTATCATACATCAGAGCAATTTAAATGTGTAAAAGGTTAACACGGGGCAAGGGTAAAATACTCCTCCAAAATCTAGACACACAACAAATGAGTTTAAAATGCCCACTAATGCATAGCTAGGAACTACTAAATGATATACTGGAAAGCATTTTTGCAGGTAAAAGCTAGACTGCATTTAAAGTGCAACACTATTTGGTGCTATTCCCATATTACAATGAGAACAAAACCTTCCAGTCCACCACTAGGTCCCTGCATTGCTTTAAAACCTGAGAAAATGTAAAAGCTGGATTTAAAAAACCCACTCAATTGCTCTGTGTCAGGACTCTAGCCAGCTTGTGCAAATAACCAAGCTTCAGAGATCAAAATTTTTCATGATCGCATCATGGTCAAACTTGAAGCTCAGAAAAGCACGTGAGGAGAAAGAGAGCTTGCAATGACCATTGCATGACACCGACTGTCCACGTTCTAGTTGCTGGTCTTCACTGAGACAGCACAAATCATATGCTGTTTCTACATTAAAAAAATAAAGAATTTATCAGTCAGTAACAAATAAGAAATCAAAATAATCTCACACAACCCTTTAAGAAAACTTCAAATATGCAGTATATATTTCTTAGACATTCGCTAATTTAAAAATTGGACAGGGTGGGAACTATAATTCAATTATAGTTATATGGTTTTATGAGTTAATAAAACTGGATACAGTAGGGGCAGCAGATTGGAGAAAGCTACCTTAGGCAAAGCAGTTTTAAATGACAATGGCCTTTGTCCCAAGATTGTGTCCTGTACCTCCTTTAAATCCCTATCTTCCATCTTAACACTTATTATTAATCTTCAGAATAAGCAGTGACACCACTATAGCTTTGCGACATCTTTAGTAAGACTGTGATCATTAACGTCTAAAGTACACTTTTACTATAGCCATTTTCTCATAACGGTAGCTTGCAGAATAAAGGAACACAAGCATCACTAAAGTAATATTAAACTTTACAGCTTTCCTTGGAATTTATACTTTGAAAAGCTATAAATTCTTTTTTAAAAGAAATTATAATACTGAAATACAGTTCTCTATTCAGAAACCACTTCCAGCTAATAAAACTGGGTTTGGTAATGTACTCTAAAAACAAACCATGCCCTCTCACATCCTTTCCGTACTCGGCTTTAGCGCTATCGTAACAAAATTATTTAAACTGTTGTTTAATCCTCCTTTAGGAAATTAATATATGACTATAATGTTGATGAGGGCAGGGATTTAGTTTTCCCTGTTCAGTTGTAATAGGAAACTCTGACTCAAGCAAAGATTTTGCTAGGTTGGGCACTGTAAATTATAGAGCCCTAATCTCAGACATTTAAACTAAGGTACAAAGTTGTTTGCTGATTAACAAATAAGTAATATGTACTGAAATATAAATGCTAAATACTTTTATTTTTACATTCTGTATTGCCTAAAGTAAAATAATCACACATACCTGTTTCAAAATTATCTTGAAGCTTCTTTGGGTGCTTCTTTTCACATTTCTAGTCAAGAAGATAATCACATTAAACATTTTTTGGAAAACTGAAATTTGTGACTCAACCAAAAAATATAAATATTTTCATTCATAAATGGAGGATCTTGAAGCATTTGCTTAAATTTAACTGGATTATGCACTTTATTATCTGTATCTCCAAATTCTGTATCTGATGCACCTTCTAACAAAGTGCTTTTAAGCAGACAAAACTAAAAAAACAGAGCCAGTTTGGTCTAGTGGTTAAGGCACCAGGCTAGAAAGCAGAAAACAGTGAGTTCACGTCCTACCTTAGCTATGAAAGTCAGCTGTGTGACTTTGGGCCAGTCCCTCTCTCGATTAGTAATTATGGGAGGGGGGTGTTTTGTTTTGTTTTTCGCTAAGCCAATTTTCTATAAACTCCTAAATCATTCCATTTGTGTTTTTTCTTTATAGGAAAATGAGTATTTATTTTTAAATAAGTTGCCCTTCTAATGGTACATTTTAAACACTCAATTCAAGCAAACACATTTTCATATGCCAATCTATATACTTTTGGAGCTAATAAATATATCACAAAATTCAGAGAAGTGGAAAATCAGATTTACTTACTTGCCTGGAAAACAGTTTCTAACAGGTATTCTTCAAAGTACAGTCTGAATTACATTGTCAAGTGTCTTTGCTCTTTTACTTCTCCCACAATCATAGCCCTAAAGATTTTAATTTGAAGTCCCACAAATACTGCATTGTACTTGTCTCTCTTGTAGTTACTGTAGAGAGAATCCCTTCCTTTTTACCCTTCACTTCCTCTCTAATCTTCCCTTTGACTCAACCAAAACATGAACTTTTTCAATTTTCATTAGCTTTTCCTATTTGAAGGGGAGGAGGAGGAGGAATTCTTTTTCAGATGACAGAAAGGTTAGCCATAGAACATTTAACCAAATATACTACCAAAAAAAAAAATTATCCAATAGCATTTCATGCTGCGGGATTCTTCCTAGCTAACCTAAAAATATATTATTCACTAATAATCAATGCTTCCACTATATTACGCAGCAGCCTAACAAGACTCCAACAAAACTATCGCAGAATATTCTCAATATTGTCAAGATATTCTCAATACATCTAACATTCTCAGATAATATTAACAGAGCACATTCCCCCTTTTTCCTATCGAGCCCAGATAAAAGGTGGCGTAGTTCTCAAGAGTAGCAATACCAAAAAGCTACCTCTTGAGCGCAAAAACTTTGTTTGTCAACAGAGCGCTGAATACACAGGTTTATGTTATGTCACAAGCCATCTCAGCAATCAAAGCACTGAAAAACATTTCCAGAGCCACTGCTGGGACATCCAGTAGATAATGTCACCAGCACACAGTGCTTAATGCAAAATTTTTTTCCGAATTCCAATTCAAAGTGCTTTCCCATTTGCATTTACCTTTGTGCATCTTACCAAAGTTTGGTTCTGTTTGGCTGGCTGATTCTGAACTCCATTTGTTCTCTTTTTTTGATTGGGAATATCTTGATACTGCTTTTTGCCATTGCCTCGTGCATTCTAAGCAAGTAATGCAACAACAACAACAAATGAACGAAGGACTGCATTCAACTGAAAATATTGAGTTTTAGAATATATTTTTGTTTATAACAAAATACATCTAATTTAGCAAAGTATATTTATTTACTTTCATTAATTGATTTGATGCTGCCCAACTCTAAATGAGCCTGAGCAGCTAACAACACATCAAAACAATGTAACAGACATCGGGAAATAACAGAATCAAACGGAGACAAAAAAGCAAGATGACAAACCCAGTAAACCCCAAAATATCCCACCAAAAACCGACATCCAATAAAGGGGACACCAATGATTATGTTTAGTTTATTGTGAAAATATCTTGCTCCATTTAAAACGTAAGGATCTGAGAAGTTCAAGAAGTTACAAAAATATGTTTAAAACATAGAACTCAATTTTCATCAAACCTGACCTAATAACAATTTTTAATAGAAACTCACCTTTAGTTTTAAAGCTTCAGGCATATCCAAATGATTGTTATATGGCTTTTGTTGCTGTAATTGCCTCTGCCTTGTTGATTGGTCTCCCACGGGTGTATCTGCAAACACCTGCTGACTATAATGGAGTTTGGATCTGATTCATAAAAAAAAAATCTTTTTACAAAAGTTCAGATGACAATTATAATCATGCAATACAACTGCGTTAATAAGACTATTCTATCAAATAGTTATTTAACAGCATGTTAAATTTCTTTTTATGGCATTATTGCTTTGTTCATAAGGCACTGAAAAATTGAAAAACAGCCAATATCCAGACACAGTACGTATTCCAAGTGAGGTCTGACCAAAATAGACTAGGAATGAGAAAATTACTTTCCATAATATGGACTCTGCTTCTTGATGTGTTTCAAAATGATATTTGCTTTCTTGGCAGCTACATCAATTGCTGGCTCATACTCAACTCATAATCTATTAAAACACCCAAATCCTTTTCACATATACTACTGCAAGTCAAGTGTCCCCCAGCCTATACTGGTGCCTTTCGGTTTTTCTTTCTAGATGCCTTTTTCCTTGTTAAATTTCACCGTTCTTTTGGGCTCACTGTACAACACATTATGTATTTTTGAATCTTCTCTTTCTTTTCTAAAGCAGTAGCTGCTCCTAGTTTTGTATGAGCTGTAGCTTGAAAATCTTTCTCTCAATGACTCCAACCAGGTAATTAAGAACAATGCTGAACAGAAAGGACCCAAGACATTGTTCTGAGGCATTCTACTTGATGATGTACTTTCCAACTGAATATCATTTTTATTATTCTCCAATATGATCAATCAGCCAATCATGAATTCATCCAAAAGCTGTTTCATTTTTACCTATTCTACCAGGTCATTATTATTTTACATGATGTAATATAGTAATACATACATACTTCCATAAATTCAGCACATTACCTAAAAGAATATATCTTGACATTATAAATACTTAGTTAATCTTTAATTGACATTGGCTTCAGTATTAAAAGATGCTGATAAATAATACAATTAAATAAATTTGTGGAGTTCCATCCATATGGTATATCACAGTGGGGAAATTCCAATTTTTTTACTACCGGTTCTGTGGGCGTGGCTTGATGGGCGTGGCAGGGGAAGGATATTGCAAAATCTCCATTCCCACCCCACTCCAGGGGAAGGATACAGCAAAATCCCTATTCCCTCCCCACTCCTGGGGGAAGGATGTTGCAAAATCTCCATTTTCACCCCACTCTGGGGCCAGCTAGAGGTGGTAATTACTCAAAATTTCCTCTACCGGTTCTCCAGAACCTGTCAGAACCTGCTGAATAGCACCCCTGGTATATCAGTGCTTCTTTGGGGTTCATAGCTGGGGCAGAACATAAGTATCCCTATGGTTCCATAATACATACAATATAGTCAATTCACAGATGGAGAAATATTTGTCCAAAGATAGGACAGCATATTCATACTACAAGTATTTCTTTATAAATTTCTATAGAATTTAAATGAAAGCTGCATTTACTGAGTAACAATGTACAGTTGATGCTTGGAATGAAGTTAATAGATGGTAGATAGGTGTAGAGAGATACAGACAGACAGAGGATATTTTTTCCCTACAACTTCTATAAATGAACTTTCTCATTCACCTACTGAATATTAAATATTACAGCTGTGAAAAAATGAAAACATCTTGCTCCCATCTATGCTTTTTATTAATAATGAAAAACTGCATCACAATTTTTCTATCCCTACATTTAAGAATGGAACAGGAAATATAATACTTTCTAATGTTGTTAGATAAACTCCATAATTTCTCATCGGCATGGTAAATAGCTATGCTAGGCGAGGGAATCTTGATTATTATTATCATCATCAGTATTTGGTAAGCATGATCAATTATAGCAATCTGAAAATGCAATGTATCCAAAGGGCATCAGGATTGGGAAAGCTGATAAATGACATCAGGTAAATCATGTCTTAAACCAGAGGTTTTCAAACTTGGTAGCTTTAAGACTTGTGGACTTCAACTCCCAGAATTCTCCGAGAATTCTGGGAGTTGTCGTCCATAAGTCTTAAAGCTGCCAAGTTTGAGGACCTCTGTCTTAAACTATTATTATTCATTTCATTTACTGAAAAAAAAATACTTGCTTTCTATTTGAAAGCAATTAGCAAGTTTTACAATCAGTTACCTCTGTTTTTCTATACTGGATTTAGGTGGTGTGCTGCTACTAGCGGATGAGAACCCATTGTCACTATCTGAAGAGTCTCCATACCGTCGAGAAAGCCAGTCTCTTAAAGGTCTGTAAAGGGTTAACATTAGAATAGCAATATTCAGGTTTTTGAAGCGAGGTTTCAAAACCCCACCCTTAAAATCTTCAATACAGAAATGGAACATAACAGATTTATTTTCTCCTCTCATTTTGAACGCACCTGATGAAGGGAATGGTCATAAAAAACTTGTTAGGTGCCAAACCTAGTTTTGACTTCGGTGTCATGTCATTTCTATGGCAAGGCAATTTATCAATTGAAAACCATTCAATGTTCTGAAACACAGAAAAGAGATTACTTAACATTTTACAGATATGATAGATAGAAATAATAACTCCCATTAACCTTCTAATCAAAAAATAAAGCATATCTTTAGGAAGCTTTTCTATCACCAAAAACGTATTTTGAATTCTTTATACTGAATGTGCAAGTATTGTAAATACAGGTAGTCCACAGTTAACAACTGGTAATTGGGACTGGCAACTCCATTACTAAGTAATGCAGTTATAAAGTGAAAAATCACATGGCCACACTAACTTACGACGGAAGTTTCATCAGTTCCAGTTGCAGCTGTTAAGCAAATCATGTATGATTGTTAAACACATGTGATTTCAACTGTGACTTCCTGACAGCTTTCCCACTGACTTTGATTATCAGAAGCCAGCAGTTAAAGACTGCAAATGGCAATCATGTGACCAAGGGACACTGACCGTCAGAATTGTGCAACAGTTGCCAAGCACCTGAATCGCAATCACATGACCATGGGGACACTGTGACAGCTGCAACTTTCAGGACTAGTTATAAGTCTCCTCATTCAGCACCATTGTAACTTTGAGTGGTCACTGAACAAGGACTACCTGTAATGTAAACAAAAGGCTACTACAAAATGATTTCACAAACATTTAGAATCCAAGCATTCTCGTTTCTTCCTGATGTTCTCTTACCTACTGTTTGCAAAGTAGATAGGTGCCACTACAACAATTTTCTTTATCTCTAATAAGTCTGGCTTTATGAACATAAATGAATAGTCACCTCCAGATTGGACTGCTGAAATGCATTCTACATGGATCTGCTCTAGAAGAATATCCAGAAGCTTCAGCTGGTGCATAATGCAATAGCGTGAGTATATGCACCCCTTAGAACAGCATATTTTACATTTCTGCTCCGCAAGCTCCACTGGCTGCCAATTTGCTTCCAGGTCCAATTCAAGGTGCTGGTTTTAACCTTTAAAGTCCTTCATGCACGGGATTGGGCTATATCAGCTCACTTCATTAAATCTGGCAGAGAAGGCATGCTGCAGGTGCAATCAGCCAGGGACTTACATTGGGTGGGTCCCAGGAGAAGTGCCTTCTCTGCTTGGCGCCCCCCTCTTCTGGAACATGCTTTCCCTCAAAATTAGATTAGCTCCATCCATTTTGACACTTTGGAAGACCCTCAAGGCCTGGTAATGTTATCAGGCCTGGGGCTCCTAGGGAACCAGAGAAACGATTTGATGGCTCCATTGTTGAGGTGGCCATGCTTATCCTTTCTCTGCCCAAGGTTTGCATATTTATTTTTATAATTTAAAAATATAAATTTCCATGTTAAACAATAAATATCTGTTGTATTATTCAATTGCTGTATGCCACCCAGAATCGCTTTTGGTGAGATGGATTAAACAAATACAAATTTGTTTAATAAATAAAAATTGCACCAGGTAAGCAATTAAAGATTTAATTCAGTGAATCTTGGAACTGGATGAGATGGAAGTACCACTTCATAAGTGGAAATCACTGCCAGCATATTCATCGAGGACCCTCTTAATATACTTTAGGAAACTCCATGGATATAAAATACCGGTAGTGGTATCCTTTGATGATGATAGAAGCAGTTCAATTATATGAAGAATAGATCAAAGATATGATTCTTTGGGCTACTAGCACACTCCCAAATCAGCACATTTCATTATTCTAGTTTAAAGTTAGCAGATTTCAGTTCTCTCCCAAAGATAACAATGTGTCAAAAAGAAAAGAAAATAGCAACAACAAAGATTAAAAACAAGGCTAATCTTTCCTATCTCCTGTTCTAGTTACTTGGGGGCAGCAGGGCTCTGGAAACAGTTCACCTTGCATTGCTCTGCCTAAGGAAAGAATAATTTTACATAAGGAAAAACTATCAGACCTGGACTGTAAAAACACTGACTACCACAACTCTTTGCTGGCATCTAATGGTCATCCAGATTTCTATAGCTTAGTTTTGGCAGATAAAGGAATATTGTGAAGGTTTATATCAAAATGCATGATATTCCTCAATAATCTTACAATATCATTAATTTCTTAGTATCTGAGCATTCAATTATAGTTGAAAGGTAAGATTTACCCGAATCTCTCTTCTTGTTTTAGGATTAAATTTTGTGTCCTTTGGAATGCCCGGGATGATATACAATCGTGCTAGCTGATCATTGATTCTTAATTCAATATAGTCATCTTTATTAATAAAATCTTTTATATCAAAACCGGTTTCTTCAAATACCTGAAAAAGGATAAGATGAGAATAAAATTTATGCACACATTTTAGGAATAAAGCAACTGATTGTTTTATAGGTTGAAAAAATAAGAAATCTGATTGACTTTTGCTATAAAAATCTGGCTTGATTATGATGTCATCTGACTGTAGTAACTCTTTACTACAGCTTTAAGAAAGCAAAAAAGATATGTGCAGAACTACCAAACTGTCCAACTGTCATGTTCTGGAGAAGAGATATACTATCTCTGATTAGATACCGATTTTCACTCGCTTTTATTACTTAACTCTACATGGACTTAATCACATAGTATCTCTCAGGAAATTTTAATCAACTAGGAGGGGATAACTGTAAAAAACATATACCCTAAAAAACTCGGTAAGTTTGGAAATTATTTTATCCCTTTATCATCACTTGCAACAATGAAACCTGGAACACACATAAATGAATCACAGCTCAAATAAAGGCACCAGGATCTATTCAATGTAGAAAAGTATATAAGTATCTTGCATGTACAATATACAATATGCATATTCTATTCCTGAGAAAATATACAGTATTTATGTAGTTTATTTATGTAGACTAAGATGCTGCTTTCCAGAAGTTGTAAATGCTCCAACACTGGAAGTTTTAAAGAAGAGATTATATAACCAGTTGCCTGAAGTGGTGTGGGGTTTCCTGCCTAAGCAGGGGGCTGGACTAGAAGACTTCCAAGGTCCCTTCCAACTCTGTTATTCTATTCTATTCTATTCTATTCTATTCTATTCTATTCTATTCTATTCTATTCTATTCTATTCTATTCTATTCTCTAAGGAGACAACATCAACTTGATATTTAATATATGTATTCTAAAATCTTTTAAATTAAAAATGTTTGAATATTAGCAGGATGAATTGCCAAGACTGAAACTGAATTGTAACTTAGGCTCAAGGCTGAAGTTTTGCTAGTTGGTCAACTACATAACAAGAACCACACAGACAGCAAGAATATCCTCAGACTAATGAAGACATGCATAAGCAGACATGCTTGCCTTCCAGTGAAGATTTATAAAGGACAGGGCTGCTAAGAAAGGAGATTGTTGGTTGGTGTGGGTGTGGTTGTGGGTGGGTGTGACTGTGTGTATCATGAAGCAAGAACTGAAGTTGCTGGAGGAAAGGCACAGTGCTGGATCCTTGGAGGAAGGGGGACTGTACAGGGGCCCAACAGAAGCCTGCAGAATCAGTGAGATCCATAAAGCTGATTGGCTGGCAAAAAGGATTGAAGAAGAATTGGAAAGGACAGGCCAAGAATCAGTGCAAATAATGACGACTATGGTGCTGCTTTCCAAGAAGCTCAAGTGTTATTTTTCCCTCCTTATACCTCCTATATGCTGTATAAAAGGCTAAGAGGTAAAAGTAAAAACACTGTTTGAGCTGTCAAAAAGAGTCAACATAATAAAGGAATTACTAAGTATATGAATAAGGGAACAGATAGGTTAAGTAGATGAGGAACTGCAAGAAACTGTATGGTTTGTTAAGCTAACGAACTACTGTCTACATCTCCATATGTATGCTGTTATTATTTATAAAGCTTCAATTTGGAGAATAACAATGCATATTTGTCTGGATAGATTCTTATCCCTTTCCCATCCTCTGACAGGAATATGTCAAACAACATAATAAACAGAATCACCTCTCTGGCAGCACAGTCATGAGGAGCTTCCTCTTTATTCACTTTTCCTTTTGGAAAACCCCAGCCAGATTTTGCTAAATAACCCTGAACAAGTAGCACCTGCAAAACATAAATATTCAATCATAATTAAAAGATTGTAAGAGGAAAAAATTAACTCATGGTAAATAGACACACAGCTTAAAATACACAAGAGTTAGATACTAAAGTCTGAATTAAAGTAAAAAAAAATCAAAACCAATAACATACACACTTCTTCTATTACAGTAGGGAAAGATATGTGGAAGATCTGCATTTACAGACTGCCTTTAAGAGTGACAGGGGGACAGCGGTCGACCCCGAGGCGCCTTGTTTGTGGGGTGCCACAAGGGTCGGTCCTCTCGCCCCTTCTGTTCAACATTTATGTAAAGCCGCTGGGTGAGATCATCCGTGGCTTTGGGGTGGAGTTCCATCAGTACGCTGACGACACTCAGCTGTACATCTCCACCCCAGGCCACCCCAACGATGCCCTTGAAGTGATGTCCCAGTGCCTGGAGGCTGTGCGGGCCTGGATGGGGAGAAACAGGCTCCGACTCAACCCTTCCAAGACCGAGTGGCTGTGGCTTCCAGCGTCCCGATATAGCCAGCTGGTGCCATCGCTGGCTATTGGGGGCGAATCATTGGCCCCCACGGAGAGGGCTCACAACTTAGGCATCCTCCTGGACGCACGGCTGTCTTTAGAAGAGCATATGACGGCCGTGGCCAGGGGGGCTTTTTATCAGGTTCACCTGATACGCCAGTTGCGTCCCTTTCTGGATCGGGACTCCCTACGCACGGTCACTCAAGCACTCGTCACTTCCCGCCTGGACTACTGCAATGCTCTCTACATGGGGCTCCCCTTGGGGTGCACCCAGAGGCTGCAGTTGGTCCAGAATGCGGCCGCGCGGGGGATTATGGGAGCAATGGGGCGCTCACATATAACACCTCTCCTGCACGAGCTGCACTGGCTTCCTGTGGTCTTCCGGGTGCCCTTCAAGGTGTTGGTGACCACCTTTAAAGCGCTCCATGGCTTAGGGCCAAAGTATTTGCGAGACCGCCTTCTGCCACCGATAGCCTCCCACCGACCGGTTCGCTCACACAGAGGGCCTCCTCAGGGTGCCGTCGGCCAGGCAGTGCCAGCTGGCGACCCCCAGGGGGAGAGCCTTCTCTGTGGCAGCGCCTGCCCTCTGGAATGACCTGCCACCTGAGATACGCACGATATCAGACCTCCGGACTTTTCGTCGGGCCCTGAAGACACACTTGTTCCATCTAGCTGGGCTGGCTTGATCCCATCCTCTCAGTTTTAATTGAATTTGGTTTTAATTGGGTTATTTTAATCACTGGGCCGAAATTATTTAATTGTTTTTAACTTGTTTTTTAAATTTTATATGTTATGTTTTATCTCGGCTGTGCACCGCAGAGTCCCGCAGGAGAAGGGCGGTATAGAAATATAATAAATAATAAATAATAATAATAAAGAGTCAATAGTTAAATCACTGTCAATTCTATTCAACAAAGCTAAAAGGAAAACGCCTTACATTTTCAAGGGTCTCATCAAGAATGATTGCACCATAAGTTGGCACTCCCATTTTGTACTCTTTCCATTCGTCTAAAACCTTCTGCACATCTTCGCCTTGAGGAAGTAAAAAAGGGCAATGGCTGAAAAGTACAGGGAGTCAAGGAAATTCATTGACCAAAACACATCTCAAAACTTCAAACCACATTTCTACTGCTTTTTTTCTTCCTGTTATGCTGGAAGCATGCTGCCTTTAGTAAAAAAAAGTAGTTCTTTTGCTGAGTCATTTACTGGATAGGATTTAATGTCTATGATAATTAAAAACAATTTGGGAAATCCGTCTGACTGTGGAGTCAGTTGCCCTAGTACAAGTTGCAAATTCCTTTAACTCTTATTTCCTTATTATTGCCCATGGCCCAAATACCTCCAGCTGTATCCTCAGAAGCCCCTTGCATTTATCAGCCCTTTTATTTAGTTTACTGAGTTTACTGCAAAAGTAATTTCTGTTCTCTTTCTTTTCTTTAAAAAAAAGAACTCTACGTGATTTGTTCTCAACAAACTCTTCAAAATTTCTTTAACAGAGGGCGTAATGACTGGATTCCCCTACCATGTGGGGACACATTTTTTCTTAACAGCCTATCTCATAGCAGCCATTTTACAATAATTTCAACTGCAGTTTCTCTCATTTTGAAATGTGTTCCACGGGAGTTAAAATGTTGGGAAATTCTGCTCTAAATAACCATAAGAACATTAAAAATCTTAAAACATTCCTTAGTAATTTTTAAAGCCACCGAGACTAAGTTGTAAAAAAAAGCCAGCTTACATAATATGATCAAATTTATAATATGAAAAGGCTGGCAGTAAACAATTTTAGAGTGGGATACTAAGTGAAACACCATGTGACTCTGACAGACTTTCAATGTCATTCCCATTCTGTCATTAAGCAAGTGGCTGAGGTCATGAAACAAAGGATCTCATGACTGTGAGTTGCAATTTTATTGCTGGCTTCTCCAATCGCGAAGTGCCTGAAAGTCAATCATGTAACCCTGGGGACCGTGTGATGGTCATAAATGTGAGGACTGGCCATAATTTTACTTGTTCAGTGCTGTCGCTATTTTGAATGGCCACTACACAGGTCAATTGTTAAATGAAATCTACCTTAGTCACCAACAGTTACCAAAAGATACTTTAATAATGATTTTAGATGAAGCTGATTAGATCGATTTCAGTTTTAAAAACAAAATGGTTCTGCTGCCTTTGTTGACCCATGAGAGCAGAAATGAAAATGATAAAAAAGTATAATCTATTTAAAAAATCCTATTCCTTTTTAACAAACATGTTGCAGAACTTAATAAACCTATGGTTACAGCCCTTCCTCTTGAAATAGTTCTTTGATATATTTCTAGTTAATTATATTTAGACAAAAACACTGGGTTTTCAAACCCAGGGTAAATAGGATATCCTGCTATGATTATTTTCATAAAATGCAAATATATTTAATAGCGGGTATTTGAATAAATGTATAAAATAGGAAATAAATTATAAAACTGAAAAACAGTAAGTTCAAACCAAAAGCAGAACACTCAATCAGCCACCTAACTGGGGAAATGCCTTCCTGAATAAAACACTCCCACATTAAGCATTTTAATCTGGAATGAATTCCTAGACCAGAGTTCTCCAAATTTTGCGGTTTTGCGGATCGGTGGGAGGAGGGGATGGTTTGCAGGCACCATGGGCAAGTGCATGCGCACGCACGCAGCTCAATTTGCACGAGCAGCAGGCACACACGCACACCCCTTGAGCAAATGGAGCGCACACATGTGCACTCACCCACTGCTCACGCGAATGGGGATGTACACATGCACGCACATGCGCCACTTCCTCAGCCCCGTTTCAAAAGACTCAGGGCCTGGTAGTGGGCTGCGGTTCGGGGGTTGGGTACTCTTGTCCTAGACTTTCAAGTAGCTAAATGCATGGTTACTTAAGCAGGTGAAATCAGCTGTGATCAGGTCACAGAAAATAGTTTGATGAATTGTATATCCTAAAACAGGGGTCCCCAACCCCTGGCTCATGGCCCACTACCAGGCCTTGAGCCTTTTCAAATAGGGCTGCAGAAGTGGTGGGCAAACAGGCATGCACATCCTCACTCAAGTTCCCCAACCTTAGCAGTTTTACAGACCTGCGGAGGGAGGAGGGGGGATCAAATGGAGTTGCAGACGCACATGCTTGCCCACTGCACATACAGAACCATATCCTCTTCCTCCCCCCCCCCCGCTAGTCCACAAAGCCAAAAAGTTGAGGAATTCTGCCCTAAAACATACATATTAATGTAGGTTAATTGACTCCAAATTAATATGCAGTTCTGAACTTTTAAGTTATAAGACTTCATTCTAAGAAATTCAGGAACGATTTCTTTTCTTTCTTCCAGCAAGATAACAGTGTGCTATATAAAGCATCAATTTAACACTTAGCAGGGTAACAGGTTTTCAGTAGCCTTGGGATACATACTCATCTCCTTTCCTTTCAAAAGCATTAAATTTCATGCCAAGACTTTAGAGTGTTGATCGTCTTGAAACTGGTTTACTTGTTTCAATTTATACTATCTAGATGTTACATATCTGCAAGCACCTTTAATTCTATTTTATATTTCCAAATTAGTACTGCAAATAAATTATTATACAACTTCAAAAATAAATCTGTCTGAAAACTGGTGTGCAACAATACGAAGTCCAATCCTGTGGTCAGGGAAGTTAGAAACATGACTTACGTAATTTTAAAATGCAAAGAAGCCAAAAACACATTACTATCTAATTAGCATTCTCTAATTCAGATATATCAGAGAAACTGACCATGATTAGTTACATTTAATCCAGAGCTTCAACATACATGATGCTCCCACAAAATAAATTTCCAGATTCAGTTCAGTGGAGAGGCAATCTATCTTCTTTAACAATAGCTGAGTTCAATATATTGTGGCTGTTTATTTTGATATATAAACTCAGCCTTTTGAAATGTTGATCCATAATTTATGGCAGGAGTGAGCAATTACTTTCAGCCTGGAGGTCACACTTTGTTTACTGCCTGCCCTATACCTGAAGAGAGCTGCTGCTATTATTATTACCATATATATACAACAAAGTGAAATCACAGCTGACAGTTCTTTAGCTGGTGTTGGCCTTCATAGCGTTCTTCCCAAGAACCCAGGATGTTTAATGTATTAGGCTAATATATGTGCAAATCCAAGCAGTGTAGCCTTTTGAAATTCACAGATGGAAAATCTGTCAATGGCAGATTTTCTAAGTATTGTCCAAGACTTATTGTTATGGTATCCAGTGTGCCAATTATTGCCAGTTTATGACATAATCTTTCAACTTCAATTTTGAGAACTTGATACTTTGTGATCTTCCCAACTTTGTCTTCTATTCTATTATCCCCTGGTATTTCCACAGCAATTATTCAGTTTTATTTCAACCATAGCTAAATCTAGTGTAATATACATCAAGAATTAATCAATTTGCATTTGGAAATCCCACAATATTTTAATCTGCTCATTTTCTACCAGTTTTTCAACTATATACTCTCAGCAATTTTTCATAACTGGCACATAATTTTTACAGATGTTCCAGTGAATCATTTTGATGACTGTTTATCATTTTGTGTTGTTCTGTTTATAGTCAATTTGTGCAACCTTCTTGCAGAAGTGGAATATCTGATCTACTGTTTTTCTACTTTGCACAATCTGCACTTTGAATCATTTGGTGATTTTTCAATTCTGGTCTTGATTGCATTAACTCAAATAGCTTGCTTTTGAGCAGCCAAAAATCAAGCCTTCAGTTTCTTTTTTAAATGTTCCATTTGTAAGACATCTGTTTTTATCTTTATCCACTTTCCCCTTGATCTTTTGTAGAAATTGGCCATGTAATACTTTACTTTGCCAGCATTCAGCTCATGTTCTTATGAAATTATTTTGATGTTTTGTTTCCTGTACATTAAGTTCCAATTTTTAATTTGTTCTTGGCTACCTTTTACATAATCAGCCAATGCATGTTTTTCTTCCTTGACCATTTCTTTGTATTGATGTAATCCCCTGCTTCTATTTCAGTGGTGCAAGTATAATTTATTGTTGTTGTTGTTGTTATTATTAAATTTATAAGCCGCATGATTCCCAGCTACTCTGGGTGGTTTGCATATATTTTCCAATGCAACCTTTTTCCTACCCATGTTTTAATACCATTTGTATGTTAAACAAAATCACTAAGAAAGGATATCAGCTTTAGCAAAATCTCTTATCCCACACTGAGGTAATCCTGGTGTGTTCTGCATGTAGAAATCCAGGTAAAACCAATGGGCAAGCTCAATCTGAAAACAGACTCGAATTGCATTGTCTCGTTCTTCACTTGGGATGTGCAAAATAAATCGACTGTCAAAAGTAAAAAATAAATGTAAGAAATAAGTATATTGTTATTTCTGTGTTTAAAATACAACATAAATAAATTCAATACTTCTATAAAACAAGGCCAAGCTTCAAAAAGATTTAAAAACTAGGACAGGCAAGTTTGAGGCATTTGGAGACTATACTAATTCTGGACAAATGGCAATGGCTGAGACTAAGATCTATGGTGAGGCATTCTAAAGTTTGGTATAAGAATCAATACACCACCAAAACCAAGAGTAGTGAAATCTGAAGATTAAATTTCTTTAGGACAACAGTGCACAACCTGCAGCTCCACAACCATGCAGTTCTTTGGTATACCCTCTGAGATCCTTCAATCCAGGGTCTCAGGGTGACATAGGAGGAAAATAAAATAACTGTTATTATATTTCCTCATCCCACTTCCACACACCTGTATATAGTCCACTCAAATCAGTAAACATACCTAATACTACTGCCTCCTATTTGTCCCACAAAAACAACCCTGTGAGATTGGTTAAGCCAAGAGAGTATGACAGATTCAAAGTCACCTAGCTGGCATTCATTCATTCATTCATTAATTTTATATGTCCATCTAACTTATTCACTGTGACTCCAGGTAGCTTACAAAAATAAATCATCAATAAACCGCTGGCAAAAACAATCAAACCAGTTAGCTGTTTCACTCCATATCACCCTGGGTGCCCAGGCCACTAGCAAACGCAGGTCTTTAGGGCCTTTTAAAGCCTTTCAAAGCACCATTCACACCTAAGTGCTGGCCTAAAAAACCAGTCTTCTGGTTTCTGGGCCAGCACCTTAGCTTCTGTACCACACTGGCTCCTTATTTTAATATATAATTTTAATTTAAAAAATTAAAGATTAATTTAAAGTTATACTGCATCAGAATTTTTCTTTGCCTTGTCCCACCTACCGTACTTACTGGGATGTGGCCCGTACAAGTGTTTTCCATAGGACAAATAATATATCTCTTCTATAAGGATAAATTGTAACAACATTTTGAATAATTTACTGTAACAACAGGCTATCTTTGAGCTTAACACTAAAAATGTTGTGTAATATTTATGGAATTATTACTGTAACTACAGAATGACAAATATGAATGTAATTGTTAAACTATTAGAACTATCAAATTAATATTTTACATTTTTCATCAACTAAGAAAAATTCAGGAGTCTAATAACAAATCAAATCTTCAAAATATGTAGTCTGCACAATACTGCTTATAAACTATAAACTAGGTTTTTTTAAGTTATTACCAGTCAGGAGCCATTTTCATTATAACCAACAGTTAACTAGACATTCAATAGCAATTATGTCAAATGAGGACATTTATGTATTCCATTTATATGTCACTAAATGTACTAGGGCCTCCCAGCATTTTTTAAAAATCTTGAAACAGTTCTAAAGGCTGTCACCTTTTTTCGATTACAGTTTCATTAATCAAACATCTTTTCTAAAATTATATTTTTACAAGTAATTATTTAATGGACACTTAATTTATTTGTAGATTATTTACTTGCATCCGAGTAAGACCAGCCCAAGAGGCATCTCAACTTTTCTCTACCTTAAGGCAATTCCTCTTCTAAAATCATGGCTACCAGTTAGTGATACTAACTTCTTTAATAATGTTTAACTTTGTGAAAAGTTATTTTACATTTTCCATCCCTAACTTTTAAAGAAACATCCTGCCCAACTAAAGCAAAACAGAATAAGATTCTCCTTGCCCTTTCTGCAAGTTTTATTGCAAGTTAGTCTTTTGAAATGTGGCTCAGTTTAATTAAATAACTTAAGTATCTAAAGTCTGGTAGCTGTTAATACCACACTATATATAACTGTGAATACGCAGAAACCTAATTACTAACTAAAAGCTTTGGATTCATATAATTACAAAGAGCTACGAACATATCCTGGCCGCTACTTAAATCTAATCAATATTTTTATAATCAGTTAAGTCAGAATTGAGCCAAAATATCTGATCTAGCCTCAGGCCTTTTATCGTTTTATCCTTTATTTAATACATAAGGTTAATGGGTACTCCACCTCTAATTGTTTTCTTCCAAAATAAATGTTAATGCTTTTGATCTGTTTGTTAATTAAAACAGGCTTAGAATGTTCCCCATTTTTAAAAGAAGCTAACTTTTTAAATAAGTTATGTGTGAGGGAGGGAGGGAGGAAATTGACACTTTTTTTTTTTAACAATTTCAGAATTATTGGAAATGATCAGAAATCTGAACAACTCAAAAGGACTGTAAAAATGTTAAAAGGGGGGGAGGAATTAAAAGACCAAAAACTCATTTTATAGAATAGATCCGTGGATCTTATGGGAGGTTCAGACTGCACAAAGCCACAATCTCTGGCTTAACGGGTTGCAGGAACCCAGTCATTGTTGCAAGTAAACCATGGTTTATGGCTTATAAACTGGTGCGGAAATCCAACCCGACTGCAGTTTGTTTAATAATTCACGAATTACGGCTCAGCGTAATGGATGGATCTCATCACAGGGTACGGTCAATACCCAAACACCCCTCCGTCCAAAGCACTTTCATTTAAAATGATTTCAACCGAAACCGAGGCAACTGTGGAGGTCCCTCGGACCACACCGAGGAGGAAGGGGCGGCAGGCATTTTTGGGGGGGGGGCGGGGGGAGGAGAAGGACCGCAGAGGCCAGTCCCGCTGTTGTTGTTTTTTTTTTTCTGGGCGGAAGCGTTACCTGCACAGGTCGTCCAAGACGCTGCCGGGAATCTCAGGGCGCTTGGTCTCCATGGAGAAAGAGCGCAGCTCATCCCGACGCAACGAGGCCCGAAGAGCGCACGACACAGGCCGGAGGGGCAAAACCAAACCGGGCGAAAAGAGCGAAGGCGGGACCTCGCCGATTCCATCCCATAAGGAAAGAAGGGGGCTTCGGGAGAGCCAATCGGATCCGCCGACGTTCGAAGGGGGCGGGGCGAGAGGAGATCGTAGCCAATCATCGTGACGTAACCAAGATAAAGCGCTCTCTGCTTATTAACGAGCGAGCCAGGAGGGAAAGGCGGTTCAGTGGCCGCAAGCAAGCGGTCGAGAAGGATCCTTTCTGGAGAGGACGGAATATTTGGGGCGCGATCCCGCGTCTTTAAAGAAAAGATTAACGGATTAAAAAACTATGGCAGTTTTTTTTTTTACCGCGCAGTTCTTCCCCATGGTCTGGCCACCGGCTTTGCGCATGCTTTGCCTCGTAGGTTGTCCCCGAGGCTGAAGCAAAGCCAGACAGATTCCTAGTTAGCCGGTTAATTCCCTAATACCTGTAGCTTGTCATTTAAAGTTGGATTCATGAGTTCCCGGATCTGTTCCTTTTTTCCCCTCAAAGTGATCCTGCTTATTCGTTTTAGTGATTGTGTTCATATGAGATACCCATGCTTGACTTAATGGTGTTTGCTGAATCGAGTTTTCTGGAGTCCAAGGGTCTCCAACTTTGGCAACTTTTAAGACTTGTGGACTTCAACTCCCAGAATTCCTCAGACAACAAAGCTGGCTCAGCAAAGCAAAGCTGGCTGAGGAATTCTGGGAGTTGAAGTCCACAAGTCTTAAAGTTGCCAAGGTTGGAGACCCCTACGATTCTGGACACTTATCTACAACATGGTTGCCTAATTTCTAGTTTGGTGTCTCGTCTGAAACTAGCCAATGGGCATAGCTGATCCAGGTGCTGGCCCATTCAAGAAAGAGAAAGGCTGCTGAATTACTGTATTATAGTTCCCCTAGCTCTTTTTTATAAACTATATGTGCATTAGGTCAAGGGTCAGCAACCTGCAGCTCTGGAGCCGCCTGTGGCTCTTTCATCCCTTTGCTGAGGCTCCCTGTCACCAGTCAGCTCCACAATTGATAGGGCTTTCAGTTAGGATAGGTAAAAGAAAAAGGGCGCTGCACTAGGAGGAGACACTAGGGTGTGAGGGAACCGAACTTCCGGTTGGCTTCAGAATTGGAAGGGAGAGCTTCCGGTTAGGGCCTTTGTGGCTCTTTGAGTGTTTAAGGTTGCAGACCTCTGCATTAGGCAATAAAAAAAATATATCTTGTACCAGGATTTTCTTTTTTTTTTTAAGTAGCTCCCAAAGGAGTTTTTACCTTTGAGCTACTTTAAGAGGTTAGTTTGAAGTGGATATTACAACACTTAATATCATTCTGGCCATCTAAAGAAACATGTTCCACCTGTCACTAATTGGATGAGTAATCATATGGGATTGTTAGAGAACGGCTATGTAAAATGTAAATATATCACTGAGTCCCGTTATGTTCAGTGGAAACAAGATAGGTGCAGATAGATTTGCAATCTAAAATCTAGTAGATGCATTTACTAGTGAAAGGGAAACAATAATAAGGATATAATAATACTAGAATATGATATACTGGTATGTTAGATTCTGTAACCATTAGGTTCCTGTAATACATATATGCCTTTGTATTTGTATCACACATATTATGTCTTTATATTTGTATCTCTTGTAACAAACATATTCTGTTATTAGGCCTCTGTAATGTATCTGGTATTTGTCAAACATATGTCCCTGCCATTTGACCTGAACCCATATCAATCTTCTCCCTGTATTTTCCTGTGCCATCCAAGACCATGGTACGTATCTCCAAGGGATAATTTACACCTCAGCCCTAATTTATGTTTGATCTGGATAAACTCCTGTCCTGCAAAACCAGGGGGCCAAATGGCCAATTGAGTAAACAAAGGAATGCTCAAGGATGACTAATTGGGAAGTTTCTATTCCCCCTTGCAGGACAACAAGGAATACACAAACCTAAATTAGGAGGCCAGAATTGGGTACTAAGCTGGCATCTCTGAGGGTATAAAAGGATGCCATACCTTCCCCAAGGTGTGACTATCTCCTCGCATGCATTGTATCTGTATGTTCTGGATATAGTTCCACCCAGTATTTTGTTTTTGGCCATAAATAAAATCTGTTGTTTTGCAAGCCTCATCTTGAGTCTCTCTCTTTGGCATTCTGGTGACTCAAGTATATTTTGGGACTTTACATTAGGAAATATGCTCCCCTGAACCTAGTGGATGACTCATACTGATATACGTATTTGAACCATGGTTCATTCATCTGTTTTTAGAACTTTAAAATATTAAAGAAACAATATATCTTTGGGAAAGATATTATGATATTTTACATTAATAACAGTGGCACTAGATGTTTGTCTTTTTTTCCTATCTGATTACAATACAGTATTACAATATAGTAATCCATAGATGGAGTATTACATAGTATTACAATATAGTATTACATAGATGGGGTCACTGAAGCAGTTGGTGTGAGATTAAATGGACTCGGGAGATGGTAGAGGACAGGAAAGCCAGGAGGAACATCCATGGGGTCGCGATGATTTGGACACGACTTCACGACTAACAACAACAATTACATAGTATTTTATGTAAAAACAGTCACTATAAATTATATATGTTAGATTTTTGTTTCAACCTTAACTCTAATCCCCTTGCATTGTTATTTGTTACATTTTGCTATTTTTTTCAGGATTATGGGAGATTTTTTTCTTTTTTTTCCCTCTTGTTTTGATATTTTAATTATTTTTTGGACCAATAAGTTTACTATTGTTACTGTTTCTGTTTTGCTATTCTGTTTATTATATTAAAGTGAATAAAGTAGAAAAAGGATGTATATGCATATAATTACTCAATAAAAAGAGAAAATCTTAAAAGAACTAGTTGCTGAACAGTTGCCATCTGTCATGTCCTTGGTATTTATCCTATTTTTCGGACTAGAAGACGCTCCGGACTATAAAACGCACCTAGCTTTTGGGGAGGAAAATAAGAAAAAAAAAATCTGCCTCTGCCTCCCAGCATTCATCCACTATTCATCTGGCCCGTTCACCATGGCCCGTTCACCGCCACAGCCCATTTGCCACGGCTCATTCACCGCTGCAGCCCATTCGCCGCCACCCAGCTGCAACCGCTGCAACCCATTCTAGAACAGCTGATCAGCACCACACCAACCCTCCTCCCCCCCACTGCTCCAATATTCAGTGTATAAGACGCACAGACATTTCTACCTACTTTTTTGGGGGGGAAAGGTGCGTCTTATGCTCCAAAAAATTCAGTACTTGTCAGGAATTATGCCCATGTATATGTATACCATCTGCTCATAATTCTGTTATATAAATACAAATTGTTTTTGTGTCTTCGCAACATTTAAACATCTGTTCAACAATTTTAAACTGCAATCAAGGCTGAATTCTCTCTGTCTGAGAAACATAATGTAATTAATTTGAAGTTCTACTTTTGCAATTCAAAAATGGGAAGTCAAGCAAGACAATTCTGTATCAGCCAGTCTCTGGTAATGTTAACTAATAATTACTCCCTGAGGTTTGTGGATATATTATAGATATCAGGACAGGTGTTGTCTAAATATAATTGTGCCATGAAGACTTCCATGAAAACTTTAAAACTGGGATCCTAGAATCTATGCAACTTTTGCAGAGATGGACTTATGAAATGGACAGATTCTGTTCAGATGTTTGTAGTACTTGATTAAGGTGAAAGATGAGAAGGCAAAAATTGGCTTGAAATTTAACATTAAAAAAACTAAGATCATGGCAGTCCCATCATTTCCTGGCAAATAGAAAGGAAAGAAATGGAAGCAATGTCAGATATTATTTTCTTGAGCTCCTAGATCAAATCAGATGGCGACTGCAGCCATGAAATTAAAAGTTGCTTGCTCCTTGGGAGGAAAGCTATGGCAAAACCTAGACAGCATATTAAAAAGACATCACCTTGCCGATAAAGCAAGAATGAAATGCTCCCAGTTCGGACTGGATCGCCCGATCTGGTAGCGAAGACGGTGGGTGGTTCGGAGAACCGGTAGCAAAAATCCCTGCGGGGCCCCACCATGCCCAGCTGAGCCACGTGATCATCAGAGGCTTTTTTTTTTACTTTTAAAAGCATTTTTTCTACAACCTCTGGCCGAAAAAATGCTTTTAAAAGTAAAAAAAACAAGCCTCTGATGATCGCGCGGCTCAGCTGGGATCATCAGAGGCTTTTAAAAGCATTTTTTTTCTGCAACCTCTTCAGCCGAAGAGGTTGTAGAAAAAATGCTTTTAAAAGTTTTTTTTTAAAAGTTGGCCACGCCCACCCAGTCACATTAACCCCCCCAAGCCACGCCCACAGAACCGGTAGTAACAAATTTTACATTTCACCACTGCGATAAAGGTCTGTATAGTCAAGGCTATGGTTTTTCCAGTAATATGTGAGAGTTTGACCATAAGGAAAGCTTAGCATTGAAAAAATGATGCATTTGAATTGTGATCCCAGAGAAGACTCTTGAGAGTCCATTGGACTGCAAGGAGTTCAGTCACTCCTAAAGGAAATCAACCCTGACTCTGGAAGAATAGACACTGAAGCTGAAGTTCAAATACTTTGGCCACCTAATGAAGAGAAAAAGACTCATTGGAAAAGACCCTGATATTGGGAAAGACTGAAGGCAAAAGGAAAGGGGACAGCAGAGGATGGTTAGATGGTGTTATTGATGCAATGAACATGAATTTGGGAGACAGTGGAGGACAGAAGAGCCTGGCGTACTATGATCCATGCGGTCGCAAATAGTTGGGCACAACTTAGCAATTGAACAACAGTACTTGTGAATGTGCCTGCTTCATAGACATTCACAGTACTGCAGGCTACCAGCCTGACAATAGTAATTCTGGTATATGACAAAGTATGGAGTATGGATAAAAAGAGATTGGAGCTTTTAAAATTGGATAGAATATTCTGGCAGAAATTGCTAGACCTGGAATGAAAAGAATCAGGGTGGATTGATTTAAATCAAGTCGTTTTCAATCATGATTTAAAT